CACACACAGCGAATCACAATTTCGTCACTTACTATAAAAAACAATTATTTAACAATTTTAAAATATTGGCCCTCGCAACCGACAAATATGAAAAAGTGCTAAAGTTGAAAGTTTCGTGACTAGGCTAGTCAACAAAAGCCCAATGTCAACATTTTCTCCGGAACTGTAGGCTGGTGTAAGATGACAATAAAAAAGTTGTCAACTTTTCCATTATATGCTCGAGAAGGCTAAAACGGTTGTATTTGAAAAAGTATGTGAAAACGATTGGGTTCAGATGGTAAAATTTTTCCAAATTCTATAAAGTGTCCCGGTATAGTGCAAGGACTGAGGCATGACTGTGGGATAAGTACGCGTAATTCCTCGCACTACGACCCCGCGTCACAGGGTAACTGGAGTCGCGTCTTGTCCCTTGGGTCCCCAAATTAATGTCTTCAATCTATGCACCAACAACTGAACAACACTGCATTCTGTACACCAACAATCCCGTACACTTGTTTTGAGAAAGAACTCTGTTATGTTCTCGGCTTACAGTATTAGTGTTAATGTGAGCGATAAATTGACTGTTTTTGACCAGGACTCAATGAACAGCCACAAGTATGCTAAGACAATGATCAGTATAACGATACATCAAAACCCATTCGACTACTGTATGAATATATTAACCTAATAATATTTTAAGTAAAAAATTCACACCTGAAATTCATTTTTTAATGTGTTGCATAAGGTTCCCGTACAATTGCACCTGCATACATGGCACCTATTGATTTTTTTGTTTTGCGGATATTTGAAACCATACTAGCCCTAATCCATGGATTTTAGCACCCGCATATAGATTGAACCCGCGGATATACAGATGGGTTCAAATGTACGGTCACCGTTGCATAAGTCTAACTCGAAAATAGGAAAACCTATCATTAGTAAGATCGCACAGCATCCTCCCTAATCTACAAACACACAGCGAGCGTTTACCTCGTGGTAAGGAAAATTCTGGAAGGCCGTAGAGCGCGGGTAAAGGAGTGACTTATTACGTCACAGTAAAGATGGGCAATGCAAAATCACAAGGCGCGACTAATTTAACAGTGCCAAAATTAAAGGACTTGAGGTAGGCTACTATAAAATGGGCATGCTAACATTTCGTACAATGAATACATGAACATATGCTACCATTGTATTCACGGAATAGTGTTTATCTCTGTCTTCTGCGTGATGTTATTAGGAAAGATGCAATCCTAACTTGGCTTCAATATCACGGAGTACCAAAAGGCTTTGTTACAAACGACACTGCTGGAGGTGGACAACCAAATTAAAACAGCTCAATAGCACCCTCGGTGGTCCGGGTGCCTTATATCAGCATAGATTGGGGGATGATGATGACTTTTGTTCTCAATTTTGAAATCGACAACTTCCTTTTTCCGATATGTTGGTTCTCGGAATATTAGTAATATTCACAAAACCTACATGTGTCTATTCATTACGAGAAGGCGATTCTCAAACATATGTACACGAAAGCCAAAACGAAGTAGTAAGTAATAAGTTGATAAGTAACGCGGAGTAACGGGTAATTACCTACAACCAGTATCTTATTAACTATACCGGTAGCCTATCTTAAAAAGCATACAGGCAAAAGGAATGCAGGAGAAACAAGTCCGAGAGGTCAAAGATTTGTTGCTTCAGTTTCCAGAGTATCGCTTTACTGTTTTCCTAACACGGGTCACACCGTGCTAAGCGTTAGGAATACGCTCGCCACCGAACCGCTGGTTACCTTGCATGCATACCCTGGTACGCAGGTTCGAATTCATGCGGCGATAGTTATGTGCGAGAGAATTTCTGGGCTCCTCGCCGCCGTAGGGTGGACCACGTAACGGCTGGTCGGTTATGGCGTCCTCCACCTTCAAGTCCATGCTTCCGAAAACGAATAACTGGCTAACTACCCCGTACCCGACATATACTGGTAACTAGATGAGAGGCCGTTTTCCGCCATATGATTAAGCCGTCTTATCCGCTTTCTTCTCCTCCGGAATGAATATGTAAATCCTATCCAAACCATGAGTGAATTCTTAACTTGCCCATGAGCGCCATTAAGGCTTATATAGGCCTACCTCTATTTTGAGGAACAAGAGAACATTTCAGTTACCACCCAGAAAACACAAGTACTTAAATAGTTTAGGAGTTTCAATATTTCGAACTTCCTTCATATAAAATCTGTATGTACATATGTAATATGCACGATGTACATATTTCAACTGTGACGATGTATTTATTGTCATTGCAGTGATTTGAAGAAGAAATAATTGTAGTACATATTACAGCAGGGGTTCTCAACCTTTTTTCTGTCAAGTACCCCCCGAGTCACGAAACAATCAATGCGAACCCCCGGTAATCTGACACCGAACAAAGTTGTGATATACTGATATATAACTAACAATTTGTTGCAACACCAATTTATTGACCATATTTACCTAAATTAAATCGTCTTGTTGATATTATTGCCCTTGTCGTCTGCCCAACTAATGAATTCTTAAAATCTCTCCCTAGTTACAATAATCATAATCATTTCTCCAATGCTCGCAGCACGCTGTCTGTCTTTAGAGATTTCACAGTTTGTACGCAAAGCCTTGAATTTAACATTGTTGCGTCATAATCACAACAACGCAAGATCAGCGAAAATTCACGTTTCAATTGGCGTCTAGTTTCAATAGATACCTAAGCATTTCCCATGGTAGCAATAAAGGATATTAAAAACAGCAACATACAAAAACTCGACTGCCATCCAAGTACCCCTGGAAATCTTCTCGTGAACTCCTGGGGGTTTGCGAACTCCAGGTTGAGAACCCCTGTATTACAGTAGGAAGATTTGATTATTTTACGAAGTGACGACACAGTTCTACTTCGAGACTGCCTGCAGAATTTGTGAGCACCGTGGAATGATGTATATGGAGAGTGTTGAGAAATATATATTTGCTTTTCAGTATTTATAAATATAGAAATCTTGAAATTAGAAATCTTGAATTGTGAAACACGAAACTACCAACCTACATGTACCGTGTTTCCCCGAAAATAGGCTCTAGCTAGCCTGAATTTTGAAAATGATTTCAATATGAGCTCTCTCCTTAAAATAAGACCTAGTCAATAACGCGAATCTTTTTTTGACTTAGCAGATAGCAAGAAATCTCTCCTACACGTTTTAAATAATTGATAATCTATGTTATGCAGTTTTTTTTTAAATAAAAACGTGTTATTTATAAGTGAATGGATATCGATTTTCTTATTTTGTATATTTTAAAATTTAATAATTCTCTACATTGTAATTTTGTATTTGATAAATGAAAATAAAAGACATCCCCCGAAAATAAGCCCTAGTGTTATTTCTCGGAGAAAAGTTTAAAAAATACCCAGTCTTATTTTCGGGGAAACACGGTAAACAACTCTTATTGGACACGTAGTGGACATAACGATCGTTTCAAAATTTTGTTGTTATTGTTATTATTTGTCTCCGTCAACACGTTTTGAAGAAATCGCTTTTCTTTTCGAATACTAGACCAATTGCTTTAATATTTTCAGTGGTTAAAGAAAAAAATTTTCTCCAGAAGGCTATTAGTTATTTTTTGAAATAAACGGCTAATCCGGAGTTACCCGAATATACGACTCCTTAAACTCTCCACGAGCATTTATTTTCTGCCAAATTGACTATAGTCACTTTGTTTTCTGCAAGCCTTCACCACTTCACTCCCGATGGAATCGATTGGGTTGGGTTTGTGGCGCTGCGGCATGGAGATGACTCAGGATGAGTGGGTCTGTTACAACTTTACGACGTCGCTAGGGATAAGTAATGTGTAACCCGTTAACCGCCGTCGCATGGCGAGGGGTCCATGGCGAGTTAGCCTCCAACCGTGTGTCGGCATAAATTTGGATAGGATATTCATCCCGGCTGCCCGGGGGATAGGAAAGACGGATTAATCATCTTGTCAACCACAGCCAGACAGCCTTGAAATCTAAAAATATTAAAATCTTACTTATCATTCAAACATATTTTGTTGAGCTTGTTTTGTCACTCTGTCACTAGACTAGGCCTATATGCTATATAAATTCAGAAATTCTGTGGCTACCAGAATGTGTAAACTCATTTCTAAATTCAAGACTTTTAAAAATGTAAATGTCTGAATCTGTTACCTGGATGCTTCAGTGCTTTGTAATTTTTAAATTGTTTTATCTGCATGTCTAGTTCAGATAAACCATGAATATTTGGGTCTGGTACAGTGCACAGTGAGTACCAACATGTACTTCCAATTGGGCTGGCTCGACAATTTTTGCATATGACTGTATGCCATTCCTAGCCCCACCTGACTATTTTGTCTAAAAATTATTTCACTGCGACGTCACAGTGACGTAATAAAACAGTAAGGCCCTCCAAAGTATACGGATGGTCGTCCAAAACGTGCAGACGATCACCTGAAATCAAGCAAGCTCTCGTTTGCTCTTCGCAAGATCCCGATATGAGAGAGATTGTTAATGTTAGTGAGTTCCTTATCATCGACACGGATGCCATTTCGGGTGATTGTACAGTTGTAGCTATACTTTGGCAAGCTCTATGACATGATTGTGCCATCATAGTGGCGTAATTTTTGGATGACATAGTAGTGTGGGGGTTAGGAATAACATATGCGAAAATTGTTATGCAACTTTCACTGGAAGTACTTGTGGTACTGAATTATTCCCGACCTGATTATTTAACATAATTTTTTTGTGTAAAGTGTATCAATCCTTAATCATACTTCTCAGTCCTTATCAGCGAGCTTTTCCTCAAACTGTCAAATTCATCCCTAATCATAATCCTAGTCGGCCATCTTTTCTTCAAAGTCATAACGTTCATACTGTTATACCTTTCTTCGAGGGAAGTGTTGGATGTTATATGTATCTGTATATATATATACTGTAGTTCAGTAAAGTATCATGAGCATGATTATTTATTTATCCCTTTATTTTGTATTGTGAACTTAGATTATAAAGACACAATGAAATAAAAACTGTTGTCATAATATAGGCCTACTTGATTTAAAAAAAAAGATTTGGAATTAATAATCGATTATGAAGATCGATTCTGCAAAAGCGAAAAAATGTGTCAGTGAAGTGGTTAGTATTGCAATCTATTTATTTTCCTTTTCTAATTTTTGTACAAATTGTACAGATCTTTTACTATTACATCTCGAATTGATGTGAGGGCTCATACCTGGGAATTTTAATGTGCTGCAGTTAATGGCCATGTGTTTACCACAATCACCTAACTACTGAACTAAGTGGGAATTTCTGGGTTCAAACCTTGATCAATACAGTGGTCAAGACCCAGTGTCTAGTAAGGCCCCCGAACCAGGAGTCAAATCGAGTCTCCGCATTTAAAGCTTGAGTCCCAAGTTGAGACGAGTCAATGCTATTTCAAGTCACAGGTCAAGCCAGAATTTTAGTGAATTTCATAAACAGCAGTAGCCTCCATCTTGCGTCAAACTAGAATTTTATCGGGTATTGACAAACACCTCAACATCTATGCAGCCTCTTTTGAGTTATTGTTGGAACAAGCTAGTAATTTTTTTTAGTTTTTCAATTCATTGATCCACATTGTAACTTTTTTGTTTGCTACTTCAAAGCTTTCAAAATTATCTTTGAGTCCTACGTCAAGTCTCTCAGATAGATAGTCGAATTTGAGTCGAGTATTTTTGTTGATATGAGAATCTGATGACTGCTAATAAATCACAGCAGGTCGAATCTAGTCGAATCACTGGCGCGGGTCTTTTTAGCACTGCTTTAAAAATTAGATACACTATTTTTCATCTCCTTTTCGTCTCGCCCTGAATATTTTTATGATTTAATATAGACTTTTTAATCAATGATAATACTTAATTTTTTAGCCGGCAGACTGCAAGGCATTGATCGATAAGCTTCTCAGCTCAGATGATGAAAAGTTATGTGAAATATTAAATGCTACTAGTTGGTGGACTGTGGGAAAATGTGAACTCTATCATTGGGTTGAAGTACTGAACAGGTTTGGTCCATATATCCACTAGGTATACTTGTTCTTGTTCATTCCTTGTGAGACATATATTTCGTGGCCAAATTATGATATGCATTTGTGCTTGATTAGAGTGGCATGTTGATAACTACTACTTTTTTCTCACTCCCTATATGTTAGCGAATTTGTATGCACCAACTGCAAGGATATTGCAGCAAAAATGAAAAATGGCTATATTGGGTCGTTTAAAGCAGTGGTCAGCAACCACCGGGCCGTGGCCCATCGCCGCTCTGCGGAAAGGTCACTACCGGTCCGCAGAAAGGTGACACAAAAACGTACAATGCCATTGGTATCTTTATGTGAGGTTGGGTTTTCAGAATGGCAACTACAAAAACGAAAGATCGAAGTCGGCCAAATGTAAAAAATATGTGATGTGAATAGTATCACTTTTGTTTTTGAACGCATATAATTTATAACATTAGATTAGTTTGTTTGTTTAAAGGTGGTCCGCCAAGGTTTTGGTCAGGCTTTATCGGTCCGTCACTTAAAAAAGGTTGCCGATCAATGGTTTAAAGGTCTCATACCCCACTTTCACAGATTTTATTTTGTGATATTGCGTCTTTTTCAAACAAGCAGTTTACAACATGTTGTCACAAAATAAAGTTTGTGAAATTGTAATGCAAGATATTTGAACCATTTAAATAATACGTGTGAATTCATGATATCACTGTGAAAATATAAATGTTGTCGAAAGCAGCAGTTTTAATGATTTTAATTCATGAACCATATTTTTAGATTTATTTTATTTTATGTCCAAACTGAATTATCTGGGGAATCTCATAATAACAGACAGTTACATTTCATGTCCAAATTTGTATTTTTTTTATCAATATTGATTTATAATATGTGTATTCAGGTTTGATAGCATTTTGCAATCTGCTTCTACTCAAACATCTGGTTCAGTTTGGTCACTTGCAGCGAATGCTGATGAGAATTTACAGAAGCTCACTCTTGCTGTTCTTCATTTCACATCACTTTTAATCGAATATAGCTTCTCTCGTCATCTTTATAATTCTATGGAGGTTTGATAATGTTTTACTTTCTTTTTTAACAGAACCGGAATATGAGTACGATAATCTTGAGTCATAGTTGAAAATACCTCCTTCCAAAAAATTGAGCCATAAGAAAATTTTCATATATGACATATTTATGCACATTTTGCTCAGAACAAGGCACTTTATAGGTAGCCACTATTAGATAAAGATCTTCTATACCTTTTCATTTGAAAGTATAATTTTATCGAATACTATTCTAATATACTGTATTAGGAAGATCTCGTGTTTAAGAAGAAGCAAGAAGATATTTAAAAAAATTTGGGATAGCTTTTATAGTTGTTCTAACTCATTAGAGATATTCTATTTAACTCAGCGATTAACGTTTTCCTTAGACTTCACTTCTAAAAATATGGACAATGTCATATTTTATGAGTTAGCTGCTATGATATCGCTTTCTCAAATTTGATTCTTGTGAACAATGCTGAACTATTGGTTATTGCACCATTTGAATTGTTCATAACATGTGCATAAATAAGTATCACAATTAAACTGAATGAGTAAAGTGTGTTCCACATAAATCCAAAATATAATTTTTCCCTTAAAACAGTTGTAATTCTTTCCTGTTGAATTTTTTTTGTATTTCCCTCATGAAGCTATATTTTTCTATTTTTCAGCATCTCGTAGCCCTTCTTTCATCATCAAGTCTCGACATCATATTATCCGTTCTCAATCTTCTATACGTCTTCAGCAAACGATCTAATTTTCTCTCTCGACTATCTGACAAACAGAGATTGCCGTTGTTAAAAAAGTTGGGCTACTTAGCTGAGGTATATTGATCGTGTCACATTTATACTCCTTTCACTGTATGGTATTTAAATAGGAATTTATTTATATATTATGTCATAGTTCAGTAATCTAAAGTTCTTTAGTATATTGCTTCAATTATTTTTTTCTCTTTCTAGAACTGGGGAGGAAAAGAATATGGTTTTGGTCTTGCAGATGCTGCATGTGACATGCCTAAAACAGTCAGTATACTTAACTACTACTATTGCTTCTTTGTTTTGCTCCCAATGCATTTTATTCTTGGGTATACATATCAATAATGATTTTTACACAAAAAAATATTACATTGTATGATTGGAGAGTATTACTCCACACAAATGTATTTCTGTAACGTTTCACCTTGTGTTACATTTTGGATTTTATTTGAATTAGGAATATTTACTGATTTAGAATTATACTTAGCATGAACTACCAATAATAGATTTATTGTTATCATGTAAACATAATTTACAGTATTATCAGTTCTAACTTTACTATTTTTTTTTAGTCTTACCCGAAGAATTCGACAACTCTACACTATGAGTTTTATTCTGAGCAGACAGGAGAACAATCTGAAACAAATGAAAATGCAAGAAGCATGTTGTATTGTATTCATATTGAAAATGTGGATGAGGTTGGTTGTAATATTATAATGGAATTTTCTGTTTTACTTAGAAAACAGTGCAGTGCAGTTATTTCGCTCTAATTCAGTAACAGCAATGATACTGTTCTTATTTTATCTGTCCTTTATTTTGTGTTCGTTTAAAATATAGCTTATGTGACTGGAACAATGTTGAATTTTTGGATTTTTTGTTTGATATGGAAACTCCTATTTAAAATATTGGTTTAATAATTCTGTGGGTATGTACCATGTTTTCCCAAAAATAAGACCGGATCCTATTTCAATTTCCTTTCAAAAAATAACACTACGACTTTCATTTTCATTTATAAAAAACAGAATTTCCAATTGGAGAATTACAAGATTTTCAAATATACAAAATATGAAACCAATATCCATATACTTATAAATAACACGTTTTTATTTAAAAAAAAATTTGCACTATCGACTAGGTCTTATTTTTAGGGGAGGGCTTACCGATATGTTGAAATCATTTTTAAAATTTAGGCTAGGTTTTATTTTCAGGTTAGATCTTATTTTCAGGGAAACACTGAATGATTTATTTAATCACCTCTTTACTGATATCAAATGATTGTCGTAGATAAGCATAAGGATATGCTTTTCTGCTATGTTTCAAAGTATAGTGGTGATTTTTTACAGTTTGATATTATAATATCCAAATTATTATTATGTCTTTGTCATTCTAGATAGGTTCCAGGTTTATCTGGAACTTTTTCCCTTTGGGTATATTGCCACAGATCAAAAGAGTGACGATATAAAACGAAAAATATTTATTTCTTTATCCTCGTTTCAACTCTTTTATAGCTTGATTCGAATCCTGCAGAGATCATGGATTCATTGTTGCAAATGTATCCTGTACCAGAAGATAAAAGAATGCTTCTTTACACACATCTGAGACTTGCTTATAGTTTTTCCAAAAGAAATCTTCGATTGAAATGTGTTCAAGCAAGACTTCATGCGATATCAGTGTTAGGTGATTGTCAATTGTTGTCATCTAGATACCGGTATATCTAAATAGCTATGCTACATTCAATATTTCATATTTGTATTTACGCAAATATCGCTAAACTTGCTTCGTTAGCTTAATAGTTTTTATTAAATAAAAAATATGATAATTGTCTAATTAGGAAACTTAGCATACTTTCTTTTAGCTATACTTTTGAAGTTTCTATATTTTTGTGTAATCTTGATAGGATAGTATTTACATATTTATCCTGGATCATCTCCTCTTGTCCTGTCTTGTCGAATGAATAGACTTTATGGTGGAGGAAGCCGTAACCAGCCAGCAGTCCAGCAATCCTCTCGCACATAATTATCCCCCCACAGGATTCCCAGCGTTTTCCTAATGCTTAGCAAGATGTGCCACACTGCGAGCCGTATTCTGTCCTACAAGTACAGAATTAGATTGATAGATTACACGTCTAGCATTGAAGTTTGCAACACACTTGGTTGCATTGCTGTGTTTATGTAATAGGTTTGTGGATTTGAAACCAGTGAGGCTAGGTCATGTACTATGGTATTGTTACACAGTATTTCTTGGGCTGATAGAGTGATGATAGGACTTCTTTTCAGGCCGTATTCATATATCCTGTTTTAATCAGGATCTAAACTATTGAAATCTGATTGTTGACAATAGATATTTCAATAGAAAAGGATTTTTTTGTTATATTTTGCAGTGTATATGAATAGCCTGCAAAGTGTGTCAAATAATTTGTCGAACATTTTATATCCCGGATTCATTGAAGAGTTGGTCGATATTCTACAAGTAAACGATGGCAATATTGTGGTATGAATATTGATTTTGATGTTGTTGAAAGTCATTATACGTTCACATTATGAAAGTAATTTGACTTAATATATAAGGTTGCTCATTTTCTCATTTGAAGATTTAGAATTATTGACTTGAGTAATTGCACTATATTTTAAATTTCCTCCCTGTTCATATTAATATTGATTCTAGAATATTCTGAATTTTTTAATGATATGACATGATACACTAAAAGCTTTGGGACCTGGTATCTTTGATTAAAGTCCAAGTTCACTTTTGGGACATAGAGTAAGAGTTGGTATGGTACACAGATTGATAAGATTCTGATCTTTCCAAATAATGTGCCATTTGATAGAAGTGAGCACTGAATTTTTCGGAAAGATAGCCCGATGTATGGCTACATAGTGGAGCAATATTCATAGAAATATCAAAATTTTGAGTGAAATATCACGCTACAGGACACTTATAATTTAAAAGAGAAAAAAAAGTAATAATCTTTTGAAGGCTTCAACCATCTTCAAATACTTAGAATTTAAAATCGGTCGAACCGTTACTTTAATAAAGAAAATTTTTTTAACACAAATTGTTGCCCCGACAATAACAATCACAAAAACAATTCACATGTACACCGACTAACTATCCAATAGTACCTATAGTACAGAGATATAGGTTTCCCGATCTCGATATATCAGGTTGATCTTGCTATTGATTGGCGCAGAACCTTCCATAACAATCATCATGGTTGTTACAATCTTACAAATAACATAAGGTCGATTATTTCGCAACCCATCGAATTTTCAATCAATTTGAGCCATCAAATTCACTTTTCTCTTATTTATCTGTGATGCCAAACTACATACCCTTTCAGGACATAAAGGCTGCGGCTCTGAGGACATTAACGTCTATTGTTCATCTTGAATGTAGAGACAGGACACCGAGAGTTAGTACTGTTGTTGATGCAACTGGTGTTGCGCAATACCATGGATTTTTACCAGTATTGGTTCGAAGATGCATTCAGAGCATGACTGACAAGGAAGGGAAATCTGGTAGGACGGACGAGTTTTTGGAATCAATAATTTCTAAGCATAAACCTGTGATACTGGTCTACCATATAGCTGTTTCCTTGACACTGTTAACTTGATTTAATTCAAGTCTTGTCACTGTATAACCTGTTATTTCTGTTTCAAAGATAAGTCTATATATAGATCTTCATTTGTTTGTGGTCGCTTGTAACTCTTCAAATATTTCTTTTTCCTCCTTTATTTGAGAGCCTGAGACTTTATTTCTGTATTTGGGCCTAGTATAAAATTCTAGTAATAAACGAGTTTTGTATGTGAAGTTTGTTATGGATAGAACAAATAGGAAATCTACTTTCGTTGGGGTTTGGTTCAAAAAAAGTTTGGAATCTGAATATTTCAGATTTGAAAGATTTCTGATAAACAGTACTGTTTTTAGTACAATTTGCTATTCAAAGATGATTTTGCTGCAGTTATATGCAGTCTTATTTTGAAGCTAAATTTTAGATTATCTTATTACTTAGATATGAAAACAGCCGAGTAGACCCTCTTGTTGTTTAAATAGCAGTGTTATTTATGCAGCAGTTTAAGCAATTAAATCTGAACTGTTTTGTTCTAACAACTTCATTACCTACAATTTAACATCATTCTTAATAAAAAGTATATATACGAAAGAATAATTTAGCAAAAACTGTTGTCACTTTATTGCAGTTTACCTGTTTCTGAAGTTTTATTTTATTTTATTTGGAGAAGTTAAAATATGATTTTATGAATGTGTACAAATATACTTATCATTTCATGGTAAGAGTTTTTCATGATCATCACTTGTGTACCACTATCGGCGCTCCCGTAGTATGTGCAACAAGAGGGCGGACACCTGAACATAGTATGTGTACCAGGTTAGGGTTAGGCAATAATTTTATTCCAATTTGCCTTCTGTTAGTTCTATTACGAGTTCTGAGACTACCCAAGTGACGTAGTATTATTTGTACCTGAAATTATGGCCTAACCCTAACCTGGTACATATACTACGTTCCGGTGTGGCCATCTTGTTGTACATACTACGGGATTACCCAATTATCTACTACAAGTACTCTTGTGACACCTGCCACTTTCAGATCCAAACTAGGCAATTTACGAATTTAAGGAGAAGGAACTTTTCAATTATCGTTCTTTTTTGTTCTAATATTTAGATCGGAGTGAGTTTGCACCCAACTTTACAACAGCGTTGTTTTCATTTCTCTATCATTTATCAAGTTATGAGAGCGGGGGTGAGGCATTAGTGCAGAGTGGAATGATGGGTCCATTGCTGAATGTTGTCATCACTATGGGAGACCAACAGGAACAAACAACAGTAAAATTTTCCTACTTTTAAAACTGTTAAACACTTTTATTCATCATAAAATGTTGTCACGGTTAAATGTTGTCGCCATTTTATCTTGCTTAGTTAGTTCTTACTGGATGAATAGGTCAATGAGTTTTATAATGTCAGAATGATGTATAGAAAATGATTATGAGCAAGAAATCAAGTATTTTTAGGATTCTCCATAAACTGCAGCTTTGATTAATATTACTGTTCTTACTGATTTGGTAATAATTTGATGATGTAATACGAAATTGGCGAGTCACACATAAATTTTGCAGAGCGTTTTTCCCTGGGGGAGCAAGACAACAAGTTTGGATATCTCCCGCTTAACTTTGATATTTTTATAAATCCCTGATATTTATCGGAAGTATGAATCAATGTAAAAAGATTAACACTAATAGCTTTGTCAATCTATTTTTTGTGTTATTTTTGATGGGTTAATTATTAGGCCACTATTTTATAATATCAATCTAGATATCTTATTTATACCAGCATGTTAGATACTATCTAGTATGAGCATGATGACATTTTGAATCTATGATTGTGGCTTTTCTGTCACTTTTCTTCCGTAATTATATTTAGGGATAAACAAACTTCAGGTGCCTATTTATAAGGTTCGGTGGGCACTGAACGCAATATGCGTTCTTTGCTTTAATACTTCAATGCTTATAGTCTGGTAATTTAATTTTGGAAGTTTGAGGTATATTTAGACTTTCATATTGTATCCTGCATTTATTATTCCGCAATACATATTTATCTATGAATTCCAGTGAAAAATATAAGTTTAGTCTAAATTAGTTTGGGTTGGTAATATATTTTGATATTGAATTGTATGACTATGAGTTTTTCATTTCTGATTTACCTAACAATTAGTAGGAACAATTGGTTTCAGCGAAAGTCAAATTAAATAATTGAGAATGTTTGAAATCAAAACAATTACCTCAAACAAAATTTTGAATTGGTAATTTGTTCTTTTATTGAAATTTATAAATATGTTTATCATGTGCAAATTGCAAAATTTCTTTCTAGGCATCAACTTCCTTGTTTATTTCCTTATTAACATTTGCTAATCAGCAAGATGTCAAAGGTCACAATTGAAAATTTAGTAGCCGCTATGACACCTTTCAGCTCAAGACTCATTTTCATCCATGTTTCCAAAATAAGCTCGTTTTCATGGGTTTGCTATCTATCTATCTGCAGCCTATTTGTATTGGAAGTTTAGGTATAAATCAAATAGGTGATATTGTCTCCCTCCAGTTTGGTTGTGGGAGTAATCGAAAATTGGTTACGAAAAAGCTGAGATCGACTAGGTTAAATTTAGCTATCACTGCTTTTACAATGGAAGTGGTTGAGTGTTTTGAATCAAAATGATGAATATGGAACGTGTAAACCAGTTTGTAACTCGTGAATATGTCTTAAAATAAGCATCAACATTTTTCAGTGGTAAAGTAAAGAAACAATTTTTCTGATGTCAAGGGTCTAGGAAACATGCATTGTCCAATTCATCTAATAAAAATATGGTTACTTACACTCTTACAAAATTCTGGTACCAACATATTTGTTATAGAATTTATAATAATTCCATTTTAAAATTGAAATCGTTGTGATAAGGGATTTTAAATAATACAATATTGACAATTTTTCCTACAGTTTGTCACTAGAGCGGTTCGGGTGATAGACTTGATAACGAACGTAGAATGGCAAGCATTTCAACGACTCGGAGGTTTGAGAATTTTTATTGATAGATTGGAACATGAAGTCGGGTTGTGTGCAAAGGACACACCACCAGTCAGTACCCAAAAGGTAAGTTATATAATTCAATATCCTTAAGGTAGATAAATATGTTATGAAACATGAGTAAAATGTTTCACTTCATCTATCTCAACCTTTTTACTAAGTCTAGATTGCAGCTGATTCATCAACCATTTGCAGCTAGTTTGAGAATAGAAAATGATTTTCATCTGTTTGAAGCTTAAAATTCTGTTGCCTCTGTTCAAATCATAAATGTTATAGTTTTACTGTCAAATTATGCTTCCAGTTCCAATTTACCTGCAGTTTAAGTTCATTTCGATATTTGTTTTCGAAATGTAAGAGAAAAATTCCAGTATAAGCTATTTTCTATAAGCATTCCAAATATTTTCAATTTTGTGCAGTCGTAATCATATTGAATGTGATTTTATCAGGTATTCAGTGTCAACCACAGCGAGCTGCTTTGTTCAAATCTATTTTGAATTTCCTGAAGAAAGCCATGTCTTACCATGTATTTGGTGATGAGGTTCGACACATTATGGATGGAAGCCTACCTAATTCACTAAAACATATTATCAATAATGTTGAATATTATGGGCCATCATTATTCTTACTAGGTAAATTTTTAATAGTTCAATTGCATGACTGTATTTAAATAAACAGAAAGCAGATCTGAAAGTAAATCTATGTGTTGAATTTATTACAACAATTCTTTGTATTTGCTATCATTAAATAATTTGGCTGGTTTTTGTCCTTGCGCTTGTTTGCGTTGTAATAAAAGTGTCTGGGCTCTGTTGGGTATCCACGGTACATCTTTTTATCTGAAAAGATGACATATTACTCTTTTGTGATATGGTTAGGAAATCTGTAAGCTCTGTTTTTGGGACAAATTCACAATCCTATATTTCTACTTTATTCAGATCTGTTATCTGTGCTATTTTTGTAAAATTTAAAAATTTAATCCTATTATTCTATTTTTGCTTATTAAAATACAGCTTCACCTATTTTAATTTGGTTTGACGCCATAATTATATCACAATAATTTTGTAAAGTTTTCTATCATACTTTTACTTTAAGAACACTTTACTCAAACAACATTTAAAATCATACCTAGCTAGTTATTGAGGTCTAATAAAAGAACGCATGTCTGGTATCGTGGTTAAATGTATAAGTAAGACAAATTTGTATAATTAGTGAGTTGTGACTGTGAGTTTAAGATATTCGCAAAATAGTATTTTTGTTTCAAACTATCACTTCGAGGCAAATCATAAATTATTGCATGGTTGCATGTATAATTTTAGTTAGAAAAGTCCAGTTTCTTACAGTTTAGGTTTTATGCATATTTTCTCTGCTTACTGCTATCAACCTTTATAAGATATTATAGAAAATGACTGATTTACGTTAATTTCAATTGGAGTTTAATATGATGTTGGGTGTTCCGCTTTTAATTCGTTCAGGGATTTAGACATGTTTTGTGTGTTTTTTTTTCAGCAATGGAAGTTGTCACTGTATATGTATTTCAAGAACCATCTTTATTATCTGTTCTGCAAGATAATGGAATCACAGACTCGATGCTGAATGCTTTACTTGTTAAAGACCCACCAGCCACAAGAGAAGTCCTAGCATCGTTGCCAAATATATTCAGGTAAATGATTTTCTTTTTGCGAACATAATTTAAGTAGTTAACCAATTCAAAGATCAGCCCAGCAACTTTAGTCCTGTTTATTTTGTTTATATTCATTTTTATTCATGATAAAAATAACATAATCTCTTTCCACGAAATATCAAGTATATATATGAGCTTTCGTTAGACCATAGTCTAACTTCTTTAGATAAAACAAGATATGGCCTAATTATACAGCGAATAATTCATTAATTCATTCATTCATTATTCGCTGTATAATTAAGCCATATCTTGTTCTATCTGAAGAAGGTAGACTATGATCTAACGAAAGCTCATAAATATACTTGGTATTTCGTGGAAAGAGATTATTTTATTTTTATTTATCTTCATAATACTATCTCAGTCACGCATCCTTGTGGCAACAGCCACATACGGATCCGGAATAGAAAGTAAACAAGGAGAAAGGACCTGCAGTTCATTACACAATACCCTAGTACACCCCATATTCATGATAAATCAGGCTTTTTTTCTTTGTAGATATAGGTAAAAATTTAACAAAATCTGCAAAGTCACAAGTTGATCAATTTTTCATATCCTTTCTCAATATTTTTCTATTCCTTCCTTCCTATAAATGTACAAGGTCTGATGCAGTGGATACTGGGAATCTATATAGTGATAAACATCTCCTCTCCTTAGACTCTCTAAACAGTAACCTATTCTACACCAATATCCATCATGTTTAGATTCTGGTTATCTATGTCACAATCACTGCCATCATACCCACAAACCTTCAATAAACATATCGCTCAAGAGACCTACCCCGGTGGTATGCAAGAGGCCACAACCTGTCACCAAGCCATTCGATGTGGCTTGTCAGCACTCAGATGTTTCCCTGTCTAGCATAAAATCCTAATCTGACAGTTTATGTTTACTTATATGGGTAAATAGACATAATGTTTTTTGCCATGTAAATGCGTTGAATCGTTCAGTGTTTTCCCGGTGCCTTTATTACTGTAGGATAAACGATATCTTTTCTGTGCGGCCCAGTTAGATGTCTGAATTTGGTTATAGGGTTCACTGACAAATAATGTTGCACACTTTCTAATCGATAACCTCCACTACTTTTAATAAACTACGGTATTATATACTGGAATCTATGTAACAATCACTGAATTCTTAATCTTTTGTTAAACGCTTTGCCTTTCAGTGAAAGTATATTGTACAATTTTTAGTAAAAGAGAACAGTGTTGTCCAACAATACTGTTTTATTTTTCTTATATTATATTGCCACATCTTTTTTCAGCGCCCTATGTTTAAACGCAAGAGGACTGGAAGCATTCGTGAATCACAAACCCTTTGATAGATTGTTTAAAGTAATGTTGAGCCCAAGTTACCTGCTTGCAATGAGAATTCGAAGGAGTTCAAGTCCTATGGGTAAGAATTAAGGTTAAATAAATGTTGGGCGGTTTGAGATTCGGTCATTCGGTTCTCCATTTATTTAATATTGATTGTCATTTATTTCCAACAGTTTAAGCAGTGGTTCTCAAACTATTCAGGCCACGCCCCCTTTCAGAATTTGTAAAGTCTCCCGCCCACTTCAAAAATAACTAGCTGACAATAAGTTACGATTTATAGATAGTAAGACGAAAGTATGTTTTATTCAGAAAACACATTGAAAATATGTGGATGGAACGTAGATAATGAAATAAATGAAAAGTTTTGAAATATGAATATCCAAAATAAGGCGGGCGAAATCAAATCAACAAATATTTTCATTTTTAATTAGCTTAACGTCCCCTCAATTGTCTATGTCCCGTATGTGGGCCGCGTCCACCGCTTGAGAACCACTGGTTTAAAGTATAGTATCTTAATAAACTGGGGGAGGCAGGCATTGGCTCATATTAAAACCACTGAAAAAAAGAGTATAAGAGTATAGTAATGCAATTTTGAATTGTATTCTTCTTAGACCTAGATCAAGATTTCTATTGTGCCCATAGATTCTGCAATAGCCTTTTTTTGAACTTTGAACATACGCGTATTATTCTTGTCGTTTTCATTGTATTTGTTGAGCTAAAAACCACTTATCTTTTGCCTGATGTAACAATCGATTCCAAATATTTAATCTTAACGATGGAGAATACACTAAGGCTTAATTTTATTTTATACCCTACCATTACCAAAGTACCTTCGTGTCCATATATTTTAGAATTTCACTCTTGTATTAATGAAGTACAATATGATGACTTTATATACTTCAAATATATCCCACAATTAACTTCTGGTCAATGAAACACGCTATATCTTTGTTGAATAATAAATAACTCTCAAATGCTTTAATTGAATTCTTTAGGTAAAATGTTAACATATGCCTAATTGTATATACGGTTTCTTTGTTAGTATAGTTATTGGTATTCGAGTTCTGGAAAACTGTGATATATAAAATTATATATATGATTGATAGTGTACTTGCACATGACCTCAAATTTGTCATATTCTGTTCATGCACATTTAATTTCTAATTATCTAGACCGAGACACAGCATCAAACCTTGGTAATGCTATGGATGAATTGATGAGACATCAGCCTACATTACGCACTGATGCAATGAAAGCAATAATACAATTACTTCATGAATTAATTGCTATGGGATCTGATCCAAACACTGTGTGCACTAAGTATGATTAATTTTCTGTATTAAGTATTGCTATGAATGTCTATATTCTGTTCATTTTTTGTATTGCCAAGTTTGGCATAGCTTGTGATTTAAGTTATAATAAAAGAAATTTGTTAAAAAGGATCATTTCAATTCAAAATCATTTAAATTTGAATATTGCTAATATTGAACTTAGAAGGTTAAGTTCAACATAATGTAGTTAAGCTCTCAAAATTTCAAGAAACAAACTATAAAATTAGAGTACAATATAATATTAGCAGGTTGAAAGTTCGAGTTAGCACTCCTTGTATTTATTTTCAAGGAATCAAACTCTAGTCAAATTAAGTACTACGAATCAAAACTTCGCATTCTTGGAATGCTTCTTATAGGGACTTTTAAATGCGGTTCCAATTTGAATACCAACATATGTGTTAATAAAATTTAAGATTACCATACCAGTTTATGTATGACATATATCTGGCTAGTTCTGAAATAGTAGACCGGAAATATGCTCATAATAGACATGTATTACAAACTATTGAATTTTAAAATCCCAAATCACACATATTTTGTTATTAATAAACATGACCAATAGAAATCAGATCAGTTCTCACAATGTAATATTTTAGATTACCGTTGAATAAACCTGAAACAAGTACATCGACAACTTCAACAACAACACAAGAGAGTATGGTTGTAGAAGGGGAAGATACAGGTACATTCCGAATATGATTAGTCGATTTTTAGTATTCCACACTGTTTCTAACGAGCCCATGTGCAATCAGCAGCTCAAATACATTGATATGCTGAATTTGCATGAAGTATTCTTTCCTGGCATCGGTCACTTAAATTTTTTAATTTAAACTTTGGTGAAATAGCTGACCAATTAGGCCTGGAAACGAGATCTAAATATGTGATGCCAACGTAACTAAGCCAATGTGTTACTACCTTGTCATTGTCATCATATTGAATAGTTAGGTATTCAGAAATTCAGTAATATTTTTGAGTTTGATGCTATATTATTGCTAAAGAGAGAGCTAAAGGTATTCCGAATAATAATACATTCTATAATCTTATTTGATTTTTCTGAAAGGCTTTCAGAATATCGTTACCTCTAAACTTACATGAACTATGAATCTATTTCACTCCTAGCTATGAAAGGAATATCTGAAGCTATTTTTAAGAATAGTCTAAAAATATCAGCATTATAACATAGACTTTACTAGTGAGTGATTGCTAATAAAATAATATAATAAATTCATTTGTTTTCCACTCATTGCCCTGATGCAGTTGAAAAGTTGACTCTACTATATTGTGAGATTTCTACCAGCTATGCATGCACTACTATTACAGACTACACACCAGATAGCCATAAACTGAGTATTGAGTTTGATTTTGATAAATGAGTTATTTTTTTAATTTTTTTGAATATATTCTCTTTCAGAAAGTGAAGATGAAGAAGCTGCTGCAACACAGAAACCAGCTGCTTTAGCACAAACGTAAATAAAAATTTTGTTTGATCATGGTTTGCCATCTTTAGGACATGAGGGAAACTAAAACCTGTGGAGAGAATTACTAAAATAGATTTAGTACCTGTATTCCTCAAGTTTCACTTGTATTTTAATTTTTTGTTTGTTTGTTTATATCTTATACTCTATATTTAGTTTGACGTTTTGTGGGACCGCCCTTTTATGTTTGCTAGGAATTCCACTTCAGATGCTTTCTCCAAATGTTTGTGAACATTTATTCCTATTTATTTTATCAAACAACACATTCATTCCCATTTACTTTGCAGAATACTGCTTTAAGTTACTTACAATAATGGTTTTTGCTCAGTAATATTGATATTGTGATCTTTGGTCAAGCTTTGGGGCAGGTTGTCAGGACATAAGTACATAAACGCTCTGAATTTAATTATAAGCAACTTATTTGTATGTATTATCACAATTTTTTTTACACAGTTAATACCATTTTTGATTCTTGTAAGCCAGTTTAAGCAAGGAATATACGACTGGCCCCGAACCACCTGTCTTGTTAATGGTCGTCTTATGTTATCTCTAGAGGGTGATGTTGTTTGGTTGATCACCAAAGCCATACTCATTAAGAAATAACACATTAATAACTAAATTTGTTTCCCAGCGCTTCCCTTCTCCAATTGTGTGTTCAATTTTTTATTACTTATAGCTTATTTTATTAAGTTTCATTTCACAGGTTTTCATCAACAGAAAGCAAACATCCTGTTCCACTCCTTGATTACATCCACAATGTTGTAAGTATTACTGTTACAAGCTTCTTTCTAGTTTATTTCATTTGCCAACCAAAGCTTTTTTTTTTTTTAACAAAATTCTGAGAATATTTTTCAATAAAATCATTTGTACTGAAATAAAGTCTTCATCTATTTATTAGTGACTAGTATGACTGGTACAACCAGTTGCTATCAGACAAGTGGCCATACTGAATATATATATTTCTTACTTGTTCTTACCGATATTATATATTATTGTATTATTATATTATGATATTATTATATTATATATTCCATTGTATAAACTTATACAAGTTCAGAAAGGATTAGACTATTCAGGATTAGGCTTATCATGTTTTTGGAATAATATTTCGTCGTAATTGAAAGTTTAGGGAAATAAGACTAAATAGCCATATACAGCTTTAAAGGAAAATTGAACATGTCAATCATTGCTAATTACAATTGTGAAAAGTATCGATATTTTTTTTTCTATTCAACAGTTTTGAAGCTGATTCTTGCATTTTAACATAGTATTTCTGACATTATTAACTACCACCAAATTTGCTGAAATAAAACTTCAAATATTTTTCAGATGAAATTCATTCAAGCTATTGTGAGTAACAATGCAACTGATGATCACTGCCAGGAATTTCAGAACCATGGTGGATTACCAGTGCTTTTCACCCTTCTCCATCTTCCTGCACTTCCAATGGATTTCCCATCATCACCCTCATGCCAATCTGTTGCAAACCTCGTCAAATCTATATTAGTAAGCTTTAAATACACCTTAATATTTTCATTCAATCCTCTTTGTTTTGTAACTCTTTTTTTTCTCATCTGAAGTTGCAGGTAAATATCAACTATCACATGATGAGCATATCAAGAAGTACATTGAATAAAAAAACAATATCTGACCTAATTTCCATGCATGAATCTCGAACGAATAACTGTTTAACCATTTCCATATCCAACATGGACTGGTAACCGGTCGAGAGTCGATGGTTTGTCATATGATTAGCCACCTTGTATGAAAGTCCCATTTGGGTATTGCTCGATATGTTTTAGATTAATTTCGATTGTCTTCCATTTTGGGGAATTTAAAATTGTTTATGTTTTTGTTTTTCTAAAAAAGTTAAGAAATTTCAGTTATGTAAATAATTTACATTTCAAAATATTCCTGACATTTCCCATTATCAGAATAAGGAAACAGTTGTCTTAGTACTTGATATGGTTCGAAAGGAGTTGAAAAATCTCAATGTGTGATATTGTATTAACCTCTAAAACAGGGTTTCTCAAACTTGGGTCCGCGTACCCCTGGGGGTCCAAGATGACTGCACAGGGGGTCCGCAACGATGTGAAAAGGGTCTGAAACATATACAAATAAATCAAAATCTTATCGAATTGCCGTTAGCCGTTATTTACTGTCAGTATGTATTGATATGGATTTCAGACTTTCATGAGTTTATTTCGTCAAAGGATACATTATCATTCCTCGTTGGTTAGGCACAGAAATTGATACGATATAGGATGGGGAACCGTCAAAAATATGATTTACAAACAGGGGTTTGCGGCCCAAAAGTTTGGGAAACCCTGCTCTAAAACAATGCACCAGTTCCATATTTTACCATATTTCCTATGTCTAGTTAAGTTTAATTTGGTTGTGTTGGGCCTTCTTATCTGAGAATTACTTAGCAGCATTGATATGAAGGAATTTGAACCAGGCATCCGACTGTTTAAAAAAAATATGTGGTTTAGTTTTGGTGTATTACACATATATTTTCCATTTGATTTATTCTTCATTCTTACCTGAACCAATGTTCAAGGTTTCTCTCTTTATATTAATTCTAATTCTTTTTCAGACACTGTCAAAAAAGCCTCAAGTATTTACTGATGGTCTTACAGATTTTAAAACAATATTAAACAGACTCGAAGCTGTTTATAAACCAACACCAGTGCTAGATGATGAGATATGGAAGTATGAGATTTAAATATTCTATGGTATATTTAGTATATCATGCATGCAGGTTTTTTTCTCATTATGTTCCACCATTGTTGAGAATAGGTACTTTTTTGTGAGTCTGAAATAACGACTAACTGTTCACAAGGTTTCGGTAAATTTTAATAATTTTTTTGTTTGTCATAAAAGTAGGTATGACCAAAAATTAATTTTAAACTGAAGGGTAATTCAGATCATAGATGTTATTTATTTTTTTATTCTTATCTATTTTATAATTTTTCATTTGTTGCTCTATATTGAATCATTTTATATCCTATCAATATTTATATCCTATTATTCAGATACAGATTATTTATATTTTACGTTTTTGCACCTCCACTTCAAAGACTCCGTTTTTAAGTGTCTAGTTATATAACAGTGGAAAGATCATTCATTTTCACTCAGTATGTTATGACTGCATAAAAAAATCGGCAGTAAAGATTCACTTTGTATTTTTTAGGGTTTCCAATGGAAGTGTTTTACTCTACGAACTAGCATCTGCTCCAGCAGGAAGTGAACCGTCAGATATTCCTCTTGTACAATCGTTAGTTCATGCTCATGCGTTTGTGGTTGTTTTGTTGCAAGTCTGTAGGACAGCACAGGTATGGTGATAATAGTTGTTAATAATAAAAATATTGTTTTTAGCCTTTTATCAGTAGTACTTTCAGGATTTTTATTTCTTGCGTTTCTGTATGGTGTTGCCATCAGAATCAGTTAGTTGTAACAGAAATCGGATTATATATGTATATTTCCTGAGTGAAAAGTTCAAATACATTTGACCTCTGCAGAGGATGTATTTTTTTCTCTTATTTTTTTATGCAGCTTAATATCATATATTGGTATAATGCCATCACACTGCGATTGTTTTCTTTATTTGTAAAGGTATTTAATATATCCTTTGCTTGTTCCATTTAGAATGATATCAGGAGTTTGTTGATCAGTCATTGGGCAAGTGAAGATGGTCTGGATGTAAGTAGACAATTTCTCTAGAATGATTTGTTGTTTCTGTTTACGGTTAAAAGTCGTCAATCCACCTTTAGTATAGATAGATATAGTGTGTTACATATATACATGCATACATTAAATAATTTCAAATTACTCTTTGCTTTTCTTGTACATAATATACTGTGTTGACGGCAGTTGATATTGTATCATAATAGTATATATAAAGCATATAACTTGCCCTTCTCTGTGCGGCGTCTAGATTTTCATTTATGTTCAGGGATTTTTATTATTGTGGAAAATTCTCTTATTCGTCATATCGAAACACGTGAATGCAAACATACAAATTAATAATAAATAAACATTTTTGGAATATTTTTAAATCCGTATTTCAAATATCGTGAATTTACTTCTCTGTGCGACGTCTAGATTTTCATTTATGTTCAGAGTTTTTTTTTTATTGTGGAAAATTTCCTCTTTCGTCATATCGAAACCTGTGAATGCAAACATACAAATTAATAATAAATAAACGTTTTTGGAATATTTTTGAATTCCTATTTCAAATATCGTGAATTCACTTCCATAGGCCTATTACAACTATTGACATGTCATCAATGACTTTCGTATTTGTATGAGTTTGGTCATATGATTCTAATAGAGGCAATTTAAGGTTAATTCTCTGTATTTTTGTAATATCATGATATCTTTGACTACATTCATCTTTGCAACTTTTGTTGAAGCATCTCATTTTGATTAAATTTGATATAATGTGGAAAGTTAATATCTTATTAAATACTCATAATAGAACACTTTCTATTAAATGCAGAGATTTCTAGTGTCTGTTGCTGTCGTTAATTTAACTTGACTTTTTCATTTTATTTTATAGGTTTTGAGCAGACTGAATCAATTGTATTGTAGTTTGATATGGGAAAGCACAATGTTACTCAGTGTTTGTACACCTGGTACTGGCATTGACGGATCAGTTGAAAAAGGTAAAAAATTGGTTAAACATGGGAGAGATTTTTTTTTCAGAACTCTTTCTCCCTTTAGATTTGAAAACTTTTGCTTTGATTTACATTTATGTTTTACCAAGAATTTTTGATGAAGTGACTGACTGTGGAATAACACCAACATTTTTATCGCAAAACCCTTATCTTTTTACCATATTTATTTACCTTTATGGATTCCCAAATACGATAATGAAGTTAAATTTGATGACAAATGTTTGTTCTGACCTTTCAATTTTAGTATTCGGTTACATTTGTCTGTGACTCATTCAGCAATTGTTTTGAAATATTCTTACAAAACATTCGATATTTTTGTTTCCTCGATTCTTGTATATTTTTGACAAAAAATTTAGATTTGAGAATTTGATCTTGTTTTCAAAATTTTTACGAGCATTTTATTCTTAGCCCTGTTTAAAATATCATAATATTGAATAGGTTTTTCAATGTTATTACTTTGGGAAGGGGATGTATTGTTATTTCAAATTTTCTAAATAGATCTGATTTAATTTTAAAGAGCAGAATTACCATAGCCTACTTTTATTTTCTTTAAAAAAAGGGAAATTCTATGAAAAATCAGTTATTTTATATATTTGCAACGAATGAATTTTTCGATAAGTTATAATCGTAATTTTTCTAACCAGAATTACCACACCATCACCACATAACTAAGTTGTTGGTATTTTTTCTGTTGGATATTGTATGTTATATATATATGATATGAAATATATGTATTAAATTTATCATACAAATAGTTGTTTGTATCTTTAATCCATGATAATGAAAAATGTGGGCATCTATATTTTTCATTATAAAATCAAACTTGCAATAAATTAATGAATTGAATATCCAGCATCCAATCTAATTAATTTGATATAACTGAATTGAGATTAGAATATTTCAAATAAGATTAATCTCTGTTTGCTTTTAGTTATTCTATTTTGTATATTTGATATATTTTTCAAGTAATATTGAATAATGTTCCAAAATATTACCATTTTAGAAACTGAGGAGAAAACAAAACTCTATAAAATTTTGTCAACAAAATATTCAAAATCAACAAAACAAGGAAAAGATGGAGAACAAAGTAAATTGAAAGCATCTGGTTCATCTGAAGCAATGGAGGAAGATAGTAAAGTAAGGATTTAGCAATTACTTTTTAAATCAATATTTTGTTTTCTGAAATAGTGCAAGTTAATAATAATTATTCAATGTCACCGAAAATGTTATAGCCACGGTTATGTGAGGATATTTATACAATATATCTATACTTTGGGTAATTCAGAATTGTGATTCTCAGTTGTTGCCTTCTATGTTTTAGTGTTTTCACAGTCGTTTCACATGTGTCCCAGTCGTCCTAGTCCACACTTGTTTCTCTTGTCATAATTTTATCATTCTCACTTTACATGAACACTCTAACCTTCTGTATTATTTTTTTTTATCCTAACTCAGGAATGAGTGTGGTAAAGTATAACAATTGTGCTAAAAATGGGACAATTGAGACATGACAATGTTGTGTCACTGTATCAATAGTTGCTGTCCAGGTCCTTGTCGGTGAAGGTTTTTTAGGACTATTAACATAACACTGCCGATGCCACTTATTCACCGGCGGAAAAGAACTTGTCGGCTAGCATACTGCCAGGCAACCACATGCTTGGAAAACATTTATTACATAGGGTCTGATAGAGAGACTTTGTCTTTTCGGTAACCAGGTGGTTACGCTAAAGAGCAGGGGTGGGCAAGGTTTTTGGACCAGGGGCCAAAAATTTTGCCCACCCAGACTGTCGGGCCATTTATATGTGATGTAAAAAGTTACATTTTATGAACAAAATTTACAATGTTACAAAAGCAAAAGTGGAAAACAATAAGCATCGTTCAAAAACTAAATTTAATCGCAATCTTGATTTAAATTGGTTTTAGTTCAGTTGTGGCAGCCTTAGGCGGGTCGGATTGAAATACCCAGCGGGCCGGATTTGGCCCGCGGGATATAGTTTGCCCATACAATACATGTCTTATAGTGGTGTTGATTAGAAGTTTCTAAAACCCAAGGTATTAGCTAAGTCCCATTCACAGATCATTCTAGTGTCAAGTTTGAGTTCGGAGTCGAGTCATTCAATAGGTTGACTCTCACTGGGGGTTGGTTGATTACGAGTCTGCGTCATTCTATTTAAATGACTCAAGTTCCTTCAAGTTAATTGGAGACTTGAATCCAACTCAAGTAGAGTCAATGACTCAAGCCTTCCTAACACTAACATGGAATAGTGGATTGTTAATCAACTCGTATTCTAATTTTAGAATCCCACAGCTTGGGCAGGATGCATGAAAGTCATACGACCTGTGTTGGCAGTTTCATCTAAACTGGGTCGATGTCTTGCTGAATTATTTGGTCTGTTGGCCAAACTCTCCATTGGTTTGCCATTACGCCAAAGATACAGGTAAGCCTGCTCCCATTTTCAGTATTTTTTACAGATATAAGTAAAAGTTGGTCTGAAAAGTGGCCAGCCTTTCATAATAATAATCTTGTCAAGACATTTAATATTCTCACACCATTTTTTGGCAGAAAAGTATGTAAATCATCTAATATAGAGACAATGATCAAAGCTTTATTTAAAAATTTGAAGCGTTGGAATAGAGCCTAAAAATAAAATAATTTATGGAGAAAAGATAATGTTAGTAGCAAATGTAAATAATCTGTTTCTTATTGTCTGATGCGGGGGAGGCCCAACCAAGGGTAAAATTGTCCCATGAAAGTAAATTTGACCTGACTGAGCGGTGAATTTGTTCTCCATTGCACAATAAATGTTATTAGTCTCACAACAGAGATGATCGCTTGTTTCTTAGATATGAATAAAAAAATTGGCATTGGTTGTAGAATTGAAATGATAAAAATGAGGGTAGTTTGCTTTGCAAGGGGGTAAATAATAAAATAAACGATGAGAATCTCTGGTCTAATGCAAAAGATGCCTTTGTTCGAGTGTTTTACTCACTAACAAATGTATGACTCAAAATCAGAGAGAGCAGTTTCGGAAACACTTTTTTTCCCGAAAAAAAAACAAATTTCATATAAATATTCAGTCGTAAAGTTTTCCTTTATTTTGTTTCACCAGGCATAGTGCTACAATGCAATCTAGTCCAACTAAAGCAGCATGCACTGTCGCTGAAAAACTGAGTGAATTGCTGAACATGGGATTGGGATGGACTTTACCTCCTAGCACTTCAATCAAATTCAGGTATAGTAATAATGGTACTCTGGTAATGGGTGTAACAGGTTAGGGTTAGCCCATATATTTATTATATAATTTCCTTATTTTGGTTCTATTGCAAGTTCGGGGCTGTCTGTGTTAGCCAAGTGAATATACCTCCTGCCCATAGGTTTCAGTCCCTTTACACAACTTGAACAAAATTGGTACACGCACTACTTGTGTGCCATATAATATCTATATATATATAGTATGTAGAAAATGATAATAAAAATGGAAACAGGCGGACAATTAATTATAACTTATGCTTCATTAGTTATTTTCTGTAATGTGTGTGCCAAAATGCACATGTATATTATGCAAGAAAAAATATAGTATTTTTCATAACATTTTAGGCCCAACGTGAAACCTTATTTTTATTTTTTTGTATATTCTTGTATCCAGCAAGATACATAACGAGAATTTCGGTAAGAGACCGAAGACTTATTGATCGAAAGTTAGGGGATCACCCAAAACAGCGCTCTTACTTCATAGTGACAGCTTGTGTCCCATCACTAATTAATTAATAACTCGCTGATTATACGACATAAATCAATAGACTTCTAATCCAAGATATGATGAATGCATATGAAAGATTATTAGAAAATATTTGGAGCGGATTCATACCCGCTTTCGTGAGATATCGCGTGTATCTAAAAGACAAACAAACAAACAAATACCTATCAACATACTTACCGATCTTAAGATCGATAACAAGTAATAACCTTAGGTTCTTTTGAGCTTGGGTTTTTTTATTATTATTTTCTTCACTGTATGTTCCCGATAGCTAATGCAAGTGATAACTGCTGTGCATCAGTGCCTGATTAAACTCATTACATAATATTAGTGCGTAGTGAATGCTTATTTGTAGTGAAAGGCAAGAATAAGCATCATTCAAAAAAGATTTTAGTATATTTTACCTGTATGTGCTTTGATGCTTAATACTTGTTTCGAGTACTTTGGAATAAGACTGGCAACTTTGTATTGCTTCCTGTGCACTATTAGAGAAAAACTAACCACAAAAATCCATTACTTACCCTGTCTGGTATGTGATATATTATCACAGACACTATTGTACCGGAGTAATGTTATTTATAGCTCTTAGTTGTTCTAGTCATATCTTTGAATCATTCTCCAAATATAAATGAATGTATTATTGCAGATTATTGGTAAAACTATTCATAATTCTCACTGTTATTGGCACCATTTATTATTTTATACATTTGATTTCACTTGAATTTGTTGGCGACATAACTCTGTTGGTGTCACTCCTAAGAGATACAAATTTAAGAACCAGTACTAGTTAGTCCAGTGATTCGAGGCCATCTAACCTGGGGTGTAAGTTAATAAGAGAGCAATATCAAACTGGGAAAATATTGATTATACCAGTCCCAGTGGCCCCTTTGTGTCAGTAGCAGCTTGTATGATATCTTGCTGGGATAAAATTGTGACTTGATATGTGATATTTCCACCTGAAATCATGTTAAATAGACAGTTGCTATTAAATTAATGTAGATTATTATTGTTAGTATGTTAAATGTAAGTGTTAAGTTTTTAGGGAGTGTTTTATAGGAGTATTGCTCTTACTAGGTACTATATCGAAATACATTTTGCTTGTGAGTTAGCTTTGGGTAGTCAACGATGCTTAACCATTTAGTTACTTTTCCTGTTGCCGCAATTTGGACTTCATGCCATTCAAATTTCAAGTTTGGGATTTATTTTGGATGTATTTCAACAGACAGTATATTGTATGAAACTGAATATTCGGGTAATTGATTTCTGACATATTGTATGAAGGTTATTAATAGAATGCTGTAATCGCTTTCGATTTTGCAATGTTGGCTATATTGTGCTGTGGAATTTGAACTGCTTTGATTTGGATTCATTGTCATTGTCAAATTTCTTTTTTGTTATTGAACGAAGTAATGTTTTTTCAGAGGCGGAAATGTTTTAAATTATTTGACTTTGACAAATTCAGGCTCAATGCTATTCTTTAAAGAATTGAAAGAATTCAGACAATTGGAAATAGATTCATATTGAAATCATCATCTGACATTTGACGTGTCAAATTCCGCTGAAATAATAAATATTACTGTGGTTCTTAAGCTGGGGTGCGCTTACCACTAGGCGTATGCTAATCTATTTCTGATAATTCGTGAGACCTGTAACTGACAAAAATACACTATCTGAAATGAATTTAGGGAATTTTTATTTCCAGTAAAGGAGTTTTTTTTATAGCTGCAATATTCTAGAAGTTGAGGTGCTGAGTTTTTTTTGCATTTCATTGTTGATACTGTTGGGTAAATGGTAATTTTATTTGATGCGCCCTTTTTATTAAAGAAGACTTGCGAGGTTTAATGATTTCAAAGTTAATAAAAACTTTTTGATGCTGGTGAAAATCATGCTCTTCATAATATGTTGAAAAATTATGATCACTCAATCATAGAATGTTGAAAGTCATTGAAGTTGTAAACTTGCAAGTCATGTTTGAGACTCATGTTTGTATTGAGGCAGAATACTTTTTTGAAATCCGGTTATCAGCAGCAGCAAACTGGTGTTATCACTCTGAGTAATATTATTGTTTTACTGAATTTGCATTACTTTTTTTCTCTTGAGTTCATTGGCACACACCTATATAAGATTAAGCCGGTAGGCGCCCAGTATGGATCTCCGCGATGCTCGAGGCCACGTCATTTCGAGGTAACTAACGGGTAAAGGAACTGCCAGTCAATTATGAATGCTGTGCTCTCGTCGGCATTCTTGCGCAAACGATATGCTGTAGCTAATAATTGAAACATGTTCACTAAAATTCCTAAGGCTTCCCCAGTTCATGGAGTATGGAGATGAAAGACATTTTGTTCGAAAGCGTATTTTAATTCTCGCAGGGTAGTGTTTTTAGAATTTGAATATTCAACATTGACATGAAAATGGTGATAAATTATGAAAAAATTATAAAATTTTCACCGATTGGCGTGTTTCTTTGCTGCTGCCAAGGAAACTAAATATCAATCCTGAACTTGGGTGAAACTCGTAATACTAGGGTGACAGGATAACCCATAGAAAAAATTCACCCTGATCTGTCCAGCCGTTTGGACGCTACAGATGGACAAACAGACAGACATACAAAATGACTGAGGAATAAGGGTCTCTTAGAACGAAGATCCAAAAAACACATAGTGTGGTGGTGGCATTAGTAAGGATTAGAAACACCAATTTAGAGCACTCTAAATCATTGTCGAAATAATTGCATGCTTGATTCAGAAAAATATATTTCCAATTTTGATTTGCTATGTCTTGATGTAATGCTAAGTAGTATATGATCCATTCTAAGGTGTTATCTGTCATTCAGTTAGTAGAAGACATAAGACATTGTCAGTACTGGGACAATCGCCAAAAGTTTTTATACCAACGAGACATATGTCACAAACTGCTATGTAGGCGAATTGATTAAAAATGATCTTGGTAACAAATGGGTTTTTTGAAATCATAATATAATATTCTCATTCAGATTTGGTCGTATTTTAGGGATAGTTCATTAAATACCAAAGTTATATTTCTCAAATACTAAATTTCAAAAGGCTTAATAATAATTCATTCATATCAACTGCATGTTCATCTAGTTTTATTGCAATCATTTGGAACCTGTATTTTGTGCTTTTAGAATATTTTAAAAATGTTTTGCAGTGTTAAACTTATTGCTACTGTCCTGTTTTTCAACATTCTTTTACATCACAAGTATTGCTCACATAGTCTGTATTCGCTTGACTCGTAAATTACAAATTTATGCTTTCCTGAGAATTTTAATTTCGACTGGATCGTGGGTTGTAACTTTTTAGTTATAAATCTTACAGATAGATGTCAATAGAAAGAACCCAATTCAAAAATATTTATCTCACTTTTTGCATAACCCAAACAAAGTGGAATTTCAATATAAGTTTTTCGGAAAATGAGCTAATCAAATAATATAATATGATGATATAGTAGGGTTTGAAGAATAAGGAAAGATGAGAGTTGCATTTGAAACACTATCTTCTACAATAATGGTTCAATCTGGAATTATAGAATTCTTGAGTGTTATCTTGTTGATGATATTAAATAAAATAAAATCTACCATATAACATTTGACCTCTCATAACCCAAGAATGCAAAAAAATGGTTTCAATAACATGTGATTTGTATGGGCTACTTGATCTTGATTGTAATAAGATAGGTTTTTGGTAGTTAGCACTTGTAATTGGAGCTTGTTCAAAGACAGATTATCACTTATCAAAACCACACTTGGATTCAGGTTCTTTCATTTAGGAATGTAAGGAATGTTACAGGTATTCTGTTTTGGTAGCATTAATTCAAAATATTATACCATTACCACCTATCACTATATGATCTGTATTATACCTTGTATTATATCATGATATAGTTATTTATTGAGTGTAATTTCTTATATCTTACATTCATGCATATTATGTTCTTATACTTATATCATTTTGCAGTTTAGGATATTATTATATTTTTTTGCTTTGAAAGGTATATGGATATTTTATGTATTTAATGGGAGATAATTTAACTTGAGATTGATATAACAGAATTTTTGAAAAATATATTGCAACTGAAATTTCTTGGCCACAGATGATTGTGAATGCTGTCCTTCTTGTAAAGATTCTTCTTTTTTCAAATCTATGATGGTTTATGTGTAAAGTATACGAATGAAATTTGATGTATACTAAACTGGTGCTATTTTGATTATTTAAAATCAAAGTGACTTCAAATGTAGAATTCTGGAGTATCAAAGTTTTCAATGATGATGATTGTAAATGCTGTCCTTCTTGTAAAGATTCTTCTTTTTTCAAGTTTATGATGGTTTATGTGTAAAGTATACAAATGAAATTTGATGTATAGCCTACTAAACTGGTGCTATTTTGATTATTCAAAATCAAAGTGACATCAAATGTAGAATTCTGGAGTATCAAAGTTTTCAATGATGATGATTGTAAATGCTGTCTTTCTAGTAAAGATTTTCCTCTTTTCAAATAAATCTATGATGATTTATGTGTAAAGTATACAAATAAAATTTGATGTATACTAAACAGGTGCTATTTGGATTATTTAAAATCGAAGCAATTTTAAATGTAGAATTCCAGTGTATGAATTATTTTCTGGCTGAAATGTTCCTAGTACTAATACACTGATATCTAATCATGGCCAGAAACACAAAGAGCGTTTGCTCATACAATGTGGTCTCAATAAAAGGTTCACCAGACTAATAAACCCGGCAACCGGCAATTCACATTTGATCAACATCTATTTGTAGCCCACGGCTCCTTTTTATAGATCGTCAGTCAGACATTGCTTAAACTGCCAACGCTTCATTTCAAATCTGAATCTTGAAACTAAAGCACTTTGGGCCGTCTGTGTAACGTGTATCCGCCCAAATGAACATGTGGTTTGGTTCTGGAAGTCGAGAGTATTTTCTCTCTCCTTATTCTGTACCGTCTGGTGCGGTATTTCTAATGTTTGTATAGCATTCATGAAGTGTAAATATGGGTTCATGAGATGTCAGGATGACTGACTGACTGCAGAGGACCGACCTCATAGTGTCAAGATTTTATCAAGATTCAAGTTTATTGAAACTTGGTTTATATAGCATATATAACACTTTATAACTGGCTCATTTTTATCCATATTTTATCTTGTAAGGTACATTAACTGTTACTGTTTTTTAATAACACATAAATACTTACCGGTATATCGTACCAAAATTTTTTTAAATATTCTTTTCAGGCTGAAGACTACCAAACTAGGAAAATGTTAATACCCCTAATGCCAATATTCAATTAATATTGATATATTGGGTATCTTGTTGTATCTAGATCTTTATATGTAAATTTAGGTAATCTCATATTCTAAACAATTAGACATAGTTTTTTTTTCCTTCATTGAGTAATCAATAAATATAAAACTCTATTATCAATCACTCAAATAAAATTAGGCTCAGATATTTGTACTAATGGATGATGATATTTTTTTTTGTTTGTTTGGTAGATTTTATCTCTACTAATTTTAGCATAATGCGTTGGCTTGAACTGGTTTTACGGGTACGCCTAGAAAATTTAGTATTTTTGGCCTTCATCTATCATGAACAATTTTTGTTAAATATGAATGTTTTCTTATTGTGCTTTTCGTGATTTTAACTTTGCGTAAAACAGCACTTCATCGAAATCGCCATCTTCCCACAATGCAGTTCGAGAACTGAATATTGCGTTTGATTTTTTCGAACCAAAAACGTATACACGTTTCTACACGAACTACAGGCATACCAACGGATTCTGTCTCGCCATTTGTACGCGGGTTTTAACGACTGGGAGCAGTACGTGACACCCTACCTACCGCTGATATCAGCTGCTTGCCTAGGATGTATGTAAATTGCTTGCTTGAGATTACAAAACCCTCTGTAGATTTTACCACGTACTGTCTGGCGTATGTGTGTTGAATGACTGTCATTAATATACGGGGTCGCAGGAAAGAAACCATTTGTGGGTATTTTAGAGCCCAAGCAATGTGAAATCGGAGCATGATATACTTGAACTAACGATTTATCAGTTATATCACTTTCATTATGTAGCTACCGATAATGGTATTTCGTCATACTTCAATTTCATTTGTTTAGACAGACCACGCACGAGCCAGACAGTATTTACATTAAGATACGTCATGCATGATAACGTACAGTTCAGCTTCAGTGATATTATGGATAAATTTTGAGATTTTATCATGAATTTTTTTCATTATCCTCTATTATATTAGTACAACAAATTGAAATACTTCTCGGTCACATAGGCAGGGTCATATAAACCATAACCTTTTTTTTAATACCGGCACTTGTCTTGACCACAGACACAAGCTTCTTTATATCATAAAAACCCTACTTTTAAATTTTCCTTTTCTCTTATTTCTCTTTTCTCCTCACTCATTTACCGGCAGAGATTAAACTGTTCACTCTGCCTGAACAGTCTGACTTAGAGAAAGTCACGTTTCTGCCGTCTAGCCGCCTTTTTCATTTTTTTTCTCTTGTGGTTGCCACTAACATTGTTTATATGAATGGCTCTTTCTTCTTATGCAACAGCATGGCTCAAGCGTATGATGCCATTCTATCGAGCGCTCGCTACACACATGTTAATTTTTATGTAAAATATTTATAAATTTATAAAAGTAGCCAAGGTCAAGTTTGAATTGGCAAGAGATCAGTTGAAGACGGTTCATGTGTACTCGACACGAATAACTTAATGCTTAAGGCCAGAGATTGTGGTTTAGCAGTCTAGTCAGATTTGTTCAACTCTCTGTGCGCTTACTGAAAAAGGCAAGGTTTAGGGCGTTTCTGCATGGCGCTGCGCAATGGAAGTATTGGTGCTAGAACAAAAGCGAATATTGGGAAAATGGATCATTTTATTTTATTCGGTATATAAGAACAATATTGTTGTTATTTTGACATTTCAGTATCCCTGTTGTTGGAATATTAAAATTGTGTACTACGTAAATTTTAATATATTCAGCTGCTTGTTTCGTTGTGGTTAGCTTAATAAGGAGGTACCAGTATATTATCACAACCTTTTAATGGTAGTAAACAATGAATATGACTTCGCAACGAAACTATGTATTGGCGTCCACAAGCTTTCTCAAAGCAAACTTGCTACGTGACGGAACTGCCAAAGCAATTCATATTTTAACGGTATGTTTTGAAAATAATTTTTTTAATTTTTTGTATTGTAGAGAAGTGGACGATGCTGTGTTATTTTGTTCTATCAATTTTTTTATTTTATTTTTTGTGAATATGTTTGAATCGAGAAGCATTATTAACAGTTGTTCATAGGGACTCTAGTAGAACAACTCTTTTTCCTTTTTCAGCGGGCATGCCATAAACAACGCTTTCGATCTCGGTTGATCCAAGTCACGTTTCAGTCTCGTGGTTTGTCAGCTTCTACGTGCCAGGTCTTCTTAGTATTTGAGTCCAAAATTTGTTAACACCCTATCGCCAGAATCAATCCAGTAATGTTTTAGATACTTTTTAAGAGATCGGCCAATTATCATTTTTTGCGGTGATCTCGAAATCAGAGGAATGTTGTGATACGGATCACACTAATTAATTTTGGTTGATGGGAGTCTTGAAACAGGTAGTAGGTCAAGTGTGGTTTAGGAAGACATTTTTCTGAGGCCGTACTCTGGAGAGTGAGAGCTCGACTTAATCTTTTTTAAACGAAGATCTGTTATCATACCTGCTAAATGTCCTAATAAATATCGGATATGAAAAATCTAATCGTTTTTTATATTCTGAACGCATGATGGTAGAATTATATCAATATCACAATGCTCACAAGCTTGAAGCTCAATCAGAGAATATCTGACTAATTTTTTTTTAAATATATTTACTTATTATTACTATCTTAAAGCCTGCTATTAAAGAAAATCTTGTCATGTTTTTCCACATATATTCTAGGACACAAGGTGAAATTGCCCATGTGATACTTTTGAGTCCTGTATCTAAACCTCATTTGAGGTTTTCATAAATTACGAATTTACATCCTGTGTGTTTGTCTCGAATGTTGTTATTTTTTTTGGTATCACAGCAAAGTTGAAAATAAATTAAACAAGTAATTGTGGGCATAACGCCACTGCATTCAAAATCATTATCCCCGTCGTCCCCACTATCAATCTTATCTATGTGGAAAAGTTGCACAATTTCACATGTCTTCGTGAATTTGCAATTTGAAGTACAGAGTATAAAGAGCTTTGCTTCTTTCCGGTTCTTATTTTGTTGATGTTGACTGGACTCGAGGAAGTTACCCTCTACCGTCAGCTATATGCCAATTTTTTAAGATTCTCATATATAGATTAATGAAAAAGCTGGCAATATAAGAGATTTATCATAACAAGTGTATGGTTGACTCATTTTTCTATCTCTTTCCCAATGGTTTCTCATAGTGCTGTAGATTTCCGACAGATCTGTTATGAGGATTTCACTTTGTATCAAAAAATATACATGGAGAAATGTATATGTTAATTGTTGTAATCTCCCCAACAGAGAGTTGACATTTAGAAAATTAATACTTTTTTAATTACGGTAATACTTATTATAGCATTTAATCTCACATTTTCGTTCGTGTAAATAACCCAGAATAAATGATGTTTTGATATGTAGATTTTTTCCATTTAAGCCGTGTTGACCTTTTTAAATAGTCATGTCATTGGATTTAATGTTATGTATTTTATTTCAATAAATGAGTGAAGTATATTTGTCAAATTACACATACACAGGAAATATTCTTCATATATTGTGGAGAAATTTTGTTTAATTTTATCAAGAAAAACAGGAATATAAATATATGCTTCTATACCTTGTTTAGATAAATCAGCTAAAAATATTTTTTAGATATTGCAAATGACCATTAGAAAAAGTGTAAATTGTTTGTCTTTCTGATTTTTCTATGTTGATTGTATGAACAACTTACATTTTTTTCTTTCAACTAGTTTTATTTTGATTTAGGATCACATTTTTGACGTGTACGATTGGTTTTACGATGGGTATGCTGTTCGATGAAAGAAAATTATCATATCATCTCATGCTGCAGTATTTCCAAAAGTCAGGTGCTCTGGAAGCATTCTTTGAGTGAGTTATCAAATTCCCAAAATCAATCTTTGTGAAGTAACTCGTTTACAGGGAAGTAATAAAATTGAAGATGGATCGAAATTGCTCTTTATTTGTTAGAGTTTGTCAAAAAATATGGTTTCTATGAAATGTATACAAAATTCAAAATAATCCTGTTAAGAAAATTAATTAAAAACGGTTATTTTTTCTTTGTGTCGTATGATGGGGTCTTGAAATATGAAATTTAATTGCTCGCATACCCTATGTAGATGTTGTACTGAATGTTTTCTTAAAGGCGACATTTAACGTAAATTGCATTCGTAGCCGCAAACCTCAAAAAATTAGTCGAACCATCAGTTGTGCTCAACCTCTCTTTTATACAGTTTGATGTACAAAAATTTTAAAAATACGTTTCAAATTCATACTTATAATGAGTAGATTCTCAATATACTAATATAACATTTTTTTGTCTAAAGCAATCTAATGTTCTTCTTACAAAGTATGATGTATCTGTTGAGCTTCATATTTAATGTGACAATATTAAGAAATATGTACATGCTGCAGATTTTGACTGCTCTCGTTTTGCAATTCTAAGGCTTCAATTAACAACATTCGCTCGTTTCGGATGTAGTGAAAGACAGCAAATCAGTCGGGGAAACTTTCCATTTTACTGTTTCAGTTTTCGGAATTTTCCTATTTATATTTTGTTGAAGTAACATTTTGTAAAAATATGCCTTTACTTTCAGGAGTTTCAATTGGGCATTGATGGTTCAGGACAGTGAAAATGTTGGTACATCAGTAGCACCAGAACTACCAGGTTTGTATCTATTCTCTCCTTCAATTCATTTTATTCCAAATGACAATTGCCCTAAATCTCATCAAAATTTAGTCACTTACCTATTTGTGTCACTAAAATCTATTTGTGTCACTAAAATCTTCAATTCAAAAATTCTGGCTGTGTGTCTTGTAACACAGAATATAAGTTATCAAATTCTTCATCAAATATTGACTTGAAATTGCCATAGTAATGTACTAACACTTGAAAATGTGTCAACTCTATTGTCAATATTCAATAATAGTCACTGAAATTTGTATATACATTAGCGCTTTTATACTCTCCTACGTAATTTACTGAAATTACAATTCAAATTAGAATATTAATAGCATCATGGAATGTATAACTCTCTCATACTTTGGTGGGAAAAAGGGTAATACAAAAATACATGGCATAGAAAAAAAAGAAAAATATTTTTGGAGGAATTATGTACCGGTGGGGAACTTTTTTGTATTCTTGTATGTTACTTTGCACTTAGCGATCTTAAGGTGACAAAATGAAGTGCGCGTTATGTGAATTAAAATTAATTCATTACATTGGAATGCATTGAATATTTGACAAAATTCACTCATTTTATATTGGTTTGTGTGGCTTCTTGGAAAAATTTCATGAGTAAATGGACATAATTGGACATAAAGTAAACCTCTCGATCATTCTTTTTTGTGAATTAAAATTCAGTTTGATAATGAAGGAATAAATCCTAAATTTGCATCACTTATTAAATTGAAGAAGTCACAACAGCAAACAAGTACTAATTCACTTTCAAATTTTCTTGGAGCCTGATATTTTCTCGAAAAATGCTGTTTTGATTAAATGGGAACACATTAATTCCATACCGCTTGACCACATTCATAAGGCTTTCATTTTAGCCGGTCATTTTGAGTAAACTCGGCTTTTAGACTTTTTATACCAGTCCAACCTTTGTGTCTTCAAATTTGTGCAATGCATGGTCAGGCCAGGGAGGGTCGGGTTCTAGTTTGTGTAGTTTTATTAATATGATATGATTTTTATTCTATTGGAATTCTTTTTGAGTATCATTATACATAGTTCAATCCTGTTAATTAAAAGCAATGAAATTATAATAAGCTTGAAACCCTTTGGCTATGCTTTGAGTTTCTAAAACATTATTTTTCTATATAGATACATTAATATTGCTATGTGGTGTACAAGTGCAATATCCCTTCATATGGTAATATGATTTTTCCTTGTCACTTTTGTCTGGGGAGGAAGTGTGTGATCTTGTTACTAGAATTTGTGTAATTATTCAATGTTACCTGAATTAATCTTGTAGTCAAAATTGGCGCCGGTTTTTGATTGCTTCGGTATTCAAATTACTGTGCTTCACGATTCTTAATTATTTTAACTCTATCGTCGATCACGATTAGAAATCAACTTGGGGTGATGACTGGTTTCACAAACTCAATTTCTGTTTGATTTTTCGATTTTTACCTGTCTAGCATCAGTCACAATTTTCAGCATTGTCCAGTGCATTGTGTATTGCAGACTATGTACTGAACGTTGATAAAATCAAGTATAACAGAGACTCAATTACTTTTTTTTTCTTATGGATTTTAAAGTAAAATCTAGAAGTTGAAAATTCATGTTTGTGTGTATATCAAAAGGGTGTGAATCAACTATTGACTCGCATAGAGTCATATATTATAGGTTTATCTTTGCGTCAAGGGTGACAGTATGACAGTAGATACAGGCTACATTTCATCCATCACAGACAGTCTTCTACTATGCTTCATCCATATAGTTTGAATATAGCCTTGTCTCTGTTTTGCTTTTGTTTTTTTAGTCAATAATATTATAGTCAATCACTCTAACAATCTGATTTTTTTGTAGGTAATTTGGATGCTTTATGTGAAACATGGTTGATGGTTCTGGAACGCTTGGTAAATGTTCGAAATATTATGGATACACCTCACCTGATCGCAGATAAATTTTCACATAATAAAAATCCAGCTCACACTCCTTTTGATCCTGTTGCTTTTCTGCTAAAAACTCATAAGGTGAGTAAAACTCATTAGGTTTAAACATATGAAGAGGATGCACGCTCTTGGAATATAAATTGCTAATCCCAAATCTTTTCTATGCCAAGGTTTTACACGCGAAAGAAAATAGTGATGGTTGTGTTTGAATCTGAGATCTTTATAAATGTTGCTAATTTATAACTAGCTTTGGTTGCCTTGTGTATACTTCACCTCAAGTGCTGTTCTGCTATTAATCTGCAAACTTTGTCACCAGTAACCACAAAGCCATCCACTTGTACTTCCAAATATCATTCTATTTTCGATTCCGAATAATCAAAATTTGTTAAATTACCAAAGGAATTTCTTATCGGACTTGACTGATCATGTTTTCGCGGCCGGTTTTTAAATTTAGTTTGCGGTTTTTGCAATATTGCGTTTTATCTTAGATGTGCAATATCGACCATTGTTCGATTTCATTGCAATATGTAACATAGCGGTTTGCCAATAATAATGATTGAATTTTGGTTTCAGCATGATTTGGGCACGTCTGCTATTCTATTCTCTTGTCAAGTCATGATTTTAATTAATTTATATCAAGCAATTTAAAATTAATTTATTTCAAAATATAATCTTTATTTCCGCCATTTTATCCTATCACATCTTGACGATATTCACTTTCTTCACTTAGTCTTCATTTAAATTTGTTGAATAGGTAATACGTATACTTTTTCAATATTTTGACATAAATATTTATATTAAATACAACAGCATTTTCAATATGCTATCATTCGAATATGCATATTTTGCCAGCAATGATGTTGGAATATCAAAAATATTTTTGTGATTACTACTCCTTCAATATTGGGTATTGGACACAAAGTGTACATATGGATCACTTTGCTAAATTATTGTTGTTGTTTTGTTGGGATGATTGTTGTTGTTAAGAAAAATTCAAATTTCTAGGACTTAATGTTGGTTGAAACCGCTAGAAGGCTGTTACTTTTTTTTCATTACCTATGAGACCCAATTTTTACCCCAAAGTTCGATGTCTCAGTTTAAACAAGGGGAAACACTCTCCCTCACTCCTCCAATTCATCATGCCTGACTTGTTGGCTGAACTTTTCAGACAACTTTTGACTCTCTAATGCCAACAATATCAGGTTAATTATAAATCATTAATTAAAACTAAAATTACTTTTAGGCTGCCTTGGATACACTCAAAAAATTGTGGTCAAGTGATAAACTCCGCAATCTTTCTGCCCGAACTTGCGATTCGGTACTTGTGATATTATGCTACCTCATTCATGGTGAAAAGTTGATCAAAAGAAAAATTCAGAAAAAGCAAACTACTACCAGTAAGTTGTCAATTTGGTTAAAATTGACTGAAGCTTATAGTATTTTTACTGGATGACCTAATGGAAATAATTTTTATGTTTTAATTATATTTGACTATAACATTGGATTGAATCACTGAACATTCGAGCTTATTAAAGGGATTATTTGAATAATTAAAGTACATTTTTGTTACCACTGTCAAAAATGATAATTTTTCAAAATGAAGCTTTTTCAAATTTGTTTTTTTATGATGAATAAAGTATACCCCATAAACCATACAATCAATTTGATATACATATTCGAATGTTTAATACTTTTTGGTACATTGTATCGATAATGGCACACTTACTTATCCTCATTTCGTGGCTTATGTTATGCTAATTTCGCATTCTCTATTTCAGCTGAACCATTACCGCAAGATCCTGGTGCTTCTTCTGTTTCTGTGATTGGTGGAAGGTATTAGGTTTATCAATTATACTTTGGACGTGCTTTTACTATTATAATTTTATTTTTCATTATTGTGTTTGTGTGCTATGTTCATTTCGGAAAAAATAATTCCTGATATTATATATGAAATTTATTTATGCGAAATATAGAAAGTGATCAGTCGAAAAAAAATTTTTGCTAAAATTTCTAGTTTCTTTTGCATAATATAATTTAGATAATGTTTTCGCAAAATTATTATAAAATCAGAATCTGCATCTTATATGGAGAAACTGCGCAGACTTGTCTAATTTAAAATGTTTAAATATAAATTGAAAAAAAAAAAAAATTCAACTTAAAAGATTCAAAAATGTCATACTTACCGTACTTCCATCATTTCCTAGTCATTAAAAAACTTAACAAACCAACAATTCATGTGTTCTTCATATGAATGCCATGTTGATACATTTTAATTTGGTCTATCATGTATTTGTGGTGTGAAATCCGTCATCTTACTAACACAACGTACACTTGTTGTGCGTATAACATGCCACATATGACGTTAAACTTAATCTGCTTTTAAAGCTTTATGACGAAATACTCATTTCTCTTTAATAATGCTACATTGTTTATTACCGAATTTTTACATTACTTTCAATCGTGATAATCTGTGAAAATATTTTTGAATCGAATTTTTTATGAAATTACCTACAATTCTGGACAGAATAGTACTTGTCCTGCTATTAAATTCCTTTTTCCATCTGAAAATTTTTTTTATTGTATGAATTTAGGCTTTCATTACTTTGGGTCATTCTGGGTATTTCTACATATATTTTAGTACTTATTGCTTAAATTGGGTCATGGGAAGAAATAAAAATGGCGGTATCATATCGACATTATGATTAAAAATCTGATCGATCCTTCCTTGTCAGTTGCTGCAATGGGCAAGTCTTAATTAGAAACTGGAAGTGCATGGTCATTGAAACCTGAATACATGCTTTAAATAGGTTTATAAGTTTTCATTTCTCACCAAATTTTAGGTAAGGACTTCAAATCATCTTGCCAAGTAGTGCCATTCTTCAAAATATTTTAAATGATGCAATTTTTGTTAAAATCAAAATTAAATTTTTTTTTTGACTTATGTGGATATTGTATACCAATGCTCATCATTGGCTGTATCTTTAAGTTCAAAAATTTATTTTTATGTTTTTCATATTTTATTTTTATGTCTCAAATTTATGTAATTTTCAGGATAGTCCTAGAATTAGGCATGAAACATGATTGTTCTATAAACATAAAATTTTATTTATGGGACCACAATTTCAATATTTGAATTTTGAGAAAATAATTTTGTATATTCGCTTAATTTATCTTAATTAAAATAATATATATTCACCCGCTTTTGTTTTATCAGATTCATGGGTGGACCTGATCCAGCACCACAAGATCCGACTGAAAATGTTAACTTTCAACTGGTATGTTATGTAAAATATCAATTATTATAAATTGGATGTAGGTTTAGCTGAAGAACTACAGCACTATCACTACATAACTGGTGTTTTGATACTCTAAAATTTGTTTTATAATAATTTAAATATACAAGTTTGGTAATTCCCTCGTTTTTGTTTGGAATTTATGATATATTCTTGTTCGATATTTTTGCCGTGTTTGAAACATAAAGTAAAAGTCTAAGCTTCGGGAAACTACGTGTTTACAAAAAATATCATATAGCATTTACTGAATTGGTAATAAAATATGATTAGTAATAAAAAAATTCAATATTTTCAGCTTGTTGACATGGGATTTTCAAGAGCGAGTGTGATCGATGCATTACTCCACACTCAAACATTAGAAGCTGCAACAGAGTGGATTCTTGGACATCCACAACAAAGTGAAGAAGATCAACTCATGCAAGCCATAACAATGTCACTCGAAGCCACAAGACCAGAGGAGGAGGAGGCTAAAAAAGAGGTACAGTATTAACTATCTTCTTTATGTACTGGATTTAAAAGAATTGTTTTTGTCCAAGCTTAGAGGGGTTTTTCATGGGTCTGGAGATCGTCAAAGTCAGCTTTGTCAGCAATTGTCAACTGGAGACAATGAATTACTATATATTGTGCGTATGTGTTCCATTTAGTTAACCACAACTGTCTGGAATGCGTTAAGAGAAAAGCCAAGAGAGTATGGCGCAATATTTCTCAAGAAGCATAAGTATGTTGTCGCTTATTTTCATTTGAGTTCACAAGTCACAAATTAATATTTAATTAGTGTTTGTCACCTACCTTGAAAACTTGTGTCTTAAAGTTGCTATTTCAATTAGTGGCTATGACGCAATTTTGACCTTAACAATTTTAGGCTGTTTTGGATCAATCAATAAATTATAATTCTCATACTACTAATAGAAACTCTTCGAAACGCGTAAATGCTATGTGTCATATGGATGTGCATTGGAGTTGAGATGGGATGGTTGCAAGACATTCCACAAACTTTTGTTGGAAATTAACTATGCATGTATATACAAATAAACTACACCAAGAGAATGATTTCAAAATTGAAGTTACATTCATTATAAAATAATTTCATTTTAACGTGCAGTACTTTATTTCAATTTCTGGCCATTAAATTGAAAAGGTTCACTGATATTTTTACAGACAACCCGAACTAATGGAAATAGCTCATTTATAACTTGTACATGTATAACTCATGTATAAATAAATTCTCTCTACTATATGTACAAGATTCTTGTTTTCCAAAAGTTGTCCAAATGTGTTTATGGTTGATATCAGATAATCCACAAATCTTTTTTGTATGACTACACTTCATTTATTATTTCCCAGTGGTATAAGACAAAGTTTAAATAATATATGTAGCATATTATTTCCCAATAATTGTTACTAAATTGACAGTAGTCAATACTATAAATGTGTATTATCAAGTCACCAAATTCAACAGACAGAACATAATGAATTTTTGTATGTGTTCGAATCGCGACTTAGGATTTTTTATAGAAGTTCTATGAAAAAATGATGACAAGGAAACTTGTCCCTTTTGTCCAGAAATCAGTCAGATTAGTGTAAACAAAAGCTTGGCAGTTGATGATTTTATATGCACGTACGTGGATGCCACTTTGAATATTAGGAAACTTTCCTCTTGTCAAGTAACATGACTCAGTGCCATTAGTGCTCTGGGTTGAATAAGAAATTTACATGTGGGTGTAGCTTGACACATCCTGTCAATGAAATTATTAAGCGGACATCTGTTGCAATTCAGACTACATTTTGCATATCTTGCAATAATAATGTTATTTTAAAATCAATTGTTTGGTGAATTGAACCAATTCACTGAGCAATTTGCTTATCGAGTACAGTGACAATATATGTGTTTATTATTGCTAATTATGTTTTACTCTTTATTATTATAGTTATGTATATATAAACGAGGTTTGGCAGCATTTTCTAACAATAGCTTTTCCATACCTTAAATCTAAGGATGTCGAAAAAGGTATTTAGGAGCCTATTTGAATAGATTATTAAAAGTTTTGATGTAGACATTGCCATTTTTAATAAAATTGCAATTTATGACAAAATTGCATATATTATGGATTTTGTTGGATTTTATGGATCAAATTATGTGAAATTGAAGGCAAGACAATATTCTGGAAAACCTGTCATGGAAATCTCAGGGTAAAACGATATTGCCTTTGAATTGTTATTGGAGTATCATGTAATGCAGTGATTGTTGCGTTGTTTGAGGGTGCAGGTTGCTAAGTGCTCCGCGAAAATTAACAGGATTGTATTAAACATATTTTACATATTGTATTTATTATAAACATTTTATTGTTACTTATTTTAAATGCTGTGTATATGAATCAAAAAATTCATTTTACCTTCTATGTCCTTTACTTTCTGTGACATAGTGTCCGGCTCCATTGTTACAATTTCACGAGCTGCAATTTATTTATCTGCTGAATCGAGTTTAGCAGACATGAGTGATTTGCCTTTTGCCTTTATTCCTTAGACTTACAATTCCCGAACTTCGAAAGGAATAAATACACATTAACGACCACAAAATTGGGTTTTATGTAAAAGCAGCATTTTTGTCACATAAGGGCGCTGTGAGTTTTTGTACCTGATAATTTGGTGCCGCACGTACAGAAAGTTTGAGAAGCGCTGATCTAATGTTTATTGTGCTTTTTGCATCTAATACGCATTGGTTTTATCATCAACCCAAGGAATAATTTTGTAACCTACCTTGTTGCTTTTGCACTCATATTTTTCATTATTAGCAACTTTTTTTTTGTTGTATTGCAGGTAGAAGATATATTTTTGGATTTGATCAATTTATAATTGTAGATAAGTAGTATATGCACCAACAAATAGCATCGAAACTTGTTTTTATGATTCGAAAATCAAAACGCCCACATATTTATAAAAGCAACCTAATTCAACATCTATTGTCCCCGCTATTGTATATTATCGTGTTTTTCAATTCATTTTTATTGTTAGCAGTTTTCAGCATTTCCTGTGTGGTTCCCATTTGTTGCATATATAGGCAACAATTCTTTTACTGGTAAAACAAAAGGTATTTTGGTATTGTCTTCCTTGGGTATTTTTGCTAGTTTTTTGTTTTTGTTGTTGAGAAAAAATTGCCTTTTTCCACCAATCTTTTTCAGGTAGATGTTAAAGATCACTAGAGTTCCATTACTTAACTTTATTAATTGTTTTCTGCCAGAAAAAAAAGTTTTTCTTGCTTTTATATCTCAAATCACCTTCGAATCTGAGATCATTTCATGGCGATCTACCAGCTTTTAAGGGATTCATTTGCAGCCTAAAGAATGATTCTGAAATAATTTTTTTCAGGTTGAAGTTAAAAAAGAAGATGTGAAACCAGTTTCTGAAGAACAGCCTGGTTCATCCAAGGACAAGGTATTTTGTTATTCATTATTTGAGTTATATGTTGTGTTTTTTAGTGGCAAATTACATCAGTTTTTACTCTTGTTGGCGTGTCATATGCAGTGTGCTTGCTATTGGTTAAATGCCCATTGAAGCTTATTAAATGCAACTGCGCTACAGTTTAAGCTGCAGAAACCAAAGTTGCTGAGTATTATAAAAACTACTGGTCGAATGCTTTGATATTTTTTGAAAGGCATTTTAAAATCCAACAAAACAATACAATGTATTTCAATTTTTCTGAGATGACTTATTGAGGGTGGTTTATCTTATTTTATCCAAAGTCTACTACTCTTGAAATTGAGTCACGACAATTTGTAGGCCATAAATGTTGCCTGAAGTCATCCAGAATTATTTTCAATTTTCTGTCATATATGTTGCAAAAATATTGTATATAATATATAATGATTATATAAAGGAATTGTGTGAAATTGAAAGAACTGAAAATGTTCTGATTTAAATTCTTAAATTTTAAATGAATAAAATGGGTCTATTCTGAACTTATGCATCCAACTCCGTAAAACAAAAAATTGAGATTTTCATTGAATTTACTTGTTAAAATATCTGTGTTCTTTTCAACTTTGACAAAGCCTTATTTATTCAGGAAAAAGAAGGTTATGAAAGTTATCTCAGCGGTGAGGAAATTGATAATTTTGTTGAAGATCTATTGGACGGATGTCTACGCCTTCTTGATAACTTTCCAGACAGTGTGTACAGGTAATGTAATCAAATTATGTCGAAGATAATAAAATCTATTTTTATTCAGTTACATTGCATCTTTTGAGCAATGATCTGCTAAGAAAACATACCAAGACAATCACACGTTTCTCCAGATTGGTCATGTTTTAGTTGAACGTCTGAGCACGCATGTTCTTGACAATGCATTTTGGAAAATAAACATGTTCTGACTCAATGAAGTCAGAGAAATGTGAACTTTTTTAAATTGTATTTTGGGATTTGCTTTTTCTAATATTGTTTATTGTGATAGATTTCATAGGTGTTTTCATGGATACTGCTATCTGTATAGGACTACGTTGTAGTGTATGTAGGCTTTGATGATTTATATTTACATAATCAACTCGATGAATACAGATAATGAATACAGAATATTCTAGTCCTTGGTATTTTGCTCTGTATTTGTTCATATTCAGCAGTATCCTTATGCAATTTTCAAGTTTTGGAAATTGGTGACGCTGTTAAATATTTACATAAAATTAATGATTTTGGTCATTAGACCCAGGAAAGTGTACCATTCAACTAGCTTCTAATGTTACTCCATTATTCATTTATCATCCCAATTCGAGTGCCTGTATAAGAGACTTCCCCATCAGGTCAAGTAGGTTCACTCTATAATCACAGTTGTTTGTCTTGGCTCGGCCCATTGCTGATAGCCTCTTAATCGTAGACACAACAAGACGTTGTCAACTCATGTGCTCGCATTTCCCGCCCAAATTCATCTACGTGACGTATCGAATGGAAACTTGATACATCTCTGTCTGGACCGCGTATAATGGCATTCCATCACGCCGCACCGGCAACATTGTTCTAGGATTTCAGCTGCCAAATTATTACCACAAAGCATTATGCCTTCTTGCTTCTTATTACATAAACCAGTTATATCATTATTATAGCATGCCATTTACTTATGAAATTCCACAAATATATGACTTTTGAGACTTGTACGAGAATAAATTTTTCAGCGATTTTGTTATTGAAGTAGAAAAATAAGTTTCAATTTGTTTTACAGAGTGTATGAAGTATATGAAGCGATCATGAAAAGAAATGGCCCAGAATGGACAGGAGAGAAAAAAGTTTTTGAAAATTTGTTACAAGATGTAAGTTTGTTATACTGTTTCCAAAAGAACTTAACTTTTTGTGAATATTCGTTTTCTAATCCTGATTATTGTGCATATCTGCTTTTTCTTCGACTGTGTCTCCAAAATTTCCAGCCATGAAAATTCTTGAGGCTGAGGGGGAATGAGATTCTTAGTTATTATATTATGTAGATATGAATCGTCTCAATAGGTTATATTATCTCTTTTTCAGAATATTTATATTTTTAGATAACAAGTATGAGTATATATTTCATTTCGGTATTTATGAGAGCTCATTTAGTTCATAAAATACTTATCATTTTTCGTACGAGCGAAACTTATTTATGTCACGCTGATGTTAATCTTTCCACATGATTTACAATTTCCTCATTAGTGACATTTTAATATTAATCGAGTATTCCAGTTCAAACTTAAAAGTTTTTCTGTAATCTTTGCTTTTGCAAGATGTATAATGTAAATATAATGATTTCAATACAAAATAGATCTATTACGAATATTTAGCTACTAAATACAGTCTAGTCAGAATCAGAATTCCATGATACTGATGTGTTGATATAGTCTGGAATTGTGGAAGGAATTCAAAATATGAGTGACTAATTTAAAATATTATAAATTAACCGCTTTGTCAGGATTTCTTTGAACGAATAGCAATCGGATGCCGTCACAAAACAGTTTAGAATGGCTATACGCCATCTGCCTTTTTACTCTTTTGTGTCGAATATTATTGTGGTTATCAGCATTTTATTCTATTCATGTTCATTACGTGACAGCCAAGCTTTATCTTCTACAGATTGCTAAAAGTTGTGACACAATATTAGAAGAATGTTCGTCGTCATCTCCCGTGGATCTCCTTGAGAAATTATGTAGCCCAACGCATAAAAAGTTATCATCACGATGTCTTCTTTTATCTTTGCTCTTTCAGGTATTTATATTTTCAATCTCGATGCACACAAATATATATAGCCCATAAAAATTAATAATTATAATAAACACATTTATGAATTATATTGAAGTACAGTCTTGGTCTTCAGTTAACTAACGACATCTGATGCATTCATTTTGCTTCAGTAATTCAGTTACTTCAACAGTTAGCTGTGTTTAATAGGTACAGATAGATATATGAGTTTGTAATAGTAATAGACAAGGATGTCGGAAGCAAATTGAATATTCGGATGTATTCAAAATTGGTTATAGTTTGTTTAATAGGGCCCGTATAGAATATATTCAATATTCCATTTTCAAAATTATTATTTCAGAATTCATCTTGGATAGTAAATTATTTTGGTATTGGCTTTGGTAATAGAATACAGTATTGCTTTTGCTATTATCATATTTTTCAAATTATATTTTTACTAATTCTGATATCAGACTTTCAAATATTTGTTTTTGATAACATGTTTATTTTTAGGGAAGGCAATTCTCTGACATGTGTGCTGAAGCTTTACATACAAGCAATATTATTCCCAAACTCATTCAATTATTGCATCATGGATCAAGCTGTCTCGTTCTTGAAAACAAAAAATCTCTGACCACACCAGAGTATGTATTTTATATAAATTTATTTATTTTTTATAAATTTGATTTCAAATGTTTGGTAATCTTCCATCATCCAGCATATTTAGTGATACAGATAATATAAGAACACTCTGATGAATCACGAAAAATTATTGATAATTTCTATCATGTATATTGCCAGTCACTTCAAATTTGAAGGTTTAAATTTGATATAAGAAATCTTTTGTAAAATTTACTGAAGTTCTAAAACATATGTGATATATATATTATTCTATATAGAATACACACTTAGAATTTTTTTTACTCATTTTGAAGACCAGAGACCACAGGTTCATAGTTCAGGGTTCTTGAGTCGAGGTTGAGTATGTTTTAACTAAGGTCGGAGTCGTATTTGAAGCTTGTCGGAGTCGAAATTCGGAATTCGAGTTTGGCTCACTCTACTTCAACTCAGGCCCAACACTTCACTTAGGAGAAAATTGAGTAGGCCTAACGTATTAAAAATTATGATTCTTTTAAAACAGATTGCTCTCTGTCTTTCCTTTGCTGCTTTACAGGGCCTTTTTCAAAACATATTGTGACTCACTTCATGTAAATATTTATAGTTGGAGAAAGTTGCCACTACCTACTTCAACTTTTTGTTTTGTTTCAATTTTAGATGGATTGCATCTGTCATTCTACTGATTGATTTATATGAAAGATCCTGTCTTCACAAACATAGAGTTGATGCTCTTGATCAATTCAAATCCATGAACAGAGTATGGAAATGGTTTGATGATAGGTCTGGGAGATGGTGTAACTACAGCACATCTAATCAGAAAATGCTCGATGATGCATACAAAGATGGCGTTAGCAAGATTGTGTAAGTCTGTTACTACTGTCATTTTGTAAATTTACCTCACTATTATTCATTTTCTGATTTTTCAAGGCACAAAAATAAAATAATTTTTTTAACAGTTTCCGTATTTGAAATACACTAAATGTTGCATATTGGAAAGTTATGAAATTAGGTTATTTTATTGAAAAGTGTGTACTACGAGAATGTTACAAATTCATAATCAAGTTTCAGTCCCTTTACCGAACTTAATGTAAAATAGCCAAACGAAATTAGTTGCCTCCATATTAGTACACAAATTTCTAGAGCGCCCATTTTTCTTATATGCAGATCTAAGTTACGTTCTAGCTCCTTGTCTATATCACATTACTCTTATGAATATCTTGTTTGGTTTATTCATTAAAATCAAGCATATCTTTGTTTGACAACATTCTTCGTTTTAATCAGTTTCACTGCTGGAAGAAGAAGATACAATGTTAATTTTCAGCAAATGGTTCAAGTAAACGAAGAATCGGGCAACAGACGTCCAATAATGATTATGTTTTCAAAACAGAAGCCACCAACAACATCGGATTCTACTGAAACAACAACCAATACCACAGAAGGTAAATTTTCAGTCTAGTACTGTAGATTGGGATGGCTAAAACGGAATGATGTACAAAGTGAATTTTTTCAATATGGAATATGTTTTAAAATGATGATATCATAGCAACAAATTTACACAAATCATTGTATTTTCACGAGGATTAATTTTTTCTGGCCAGAAAATGAGAGATGAACTCTCTTGAATGGTTTTCTAGGAATATTAAACGTTGAGCATCTGATATCATTTGAACAAATCATATTCTTCAGAATTGAAATATTTTAAATTAATTTTGAAGTTGTGAATTCACTATGTAAAATAAGTAACCTTGATGGTATTTGAAAATACGATTCGGTCTGGACTTCACTGACAGTATATAATTTTGGTCAGAACACCTTTGTTATATAAATATTTATTTTAAATCAAATATGCTGTCAAACGGGGAACAAGTTGAGGCAATCAATTTTCAGGCACAGAAGAATATAAATTTGGTATTTTCATTTGTAATGACCTCTCTGGCCAACCATCCTATACAAAAAATAGGCTGGGATGTGTTGCGATAAAAAAAATTTTATGCTACTTAAAGTTGGAAATTTTATTATCCATGTGGCTCTTGATACTTGTTAGAAACAATGGCGAAATTAGTTTATATAAATTGCCAAATTTTGTATTGTATAAAATCATATTTGATTAGAATTTTAACCAATATTTTTGCCCAACTTTATTCCAATTTTTTAGAAACGTCTATGGAGACTGACGTTGTTGCTGAAAAAATCGATGAAAAATCTGATAATAAAGTTTCACCCTGGGATGGAATTTCTCAAGAACAAGCACAATCATTACTTCATTCCTGCACTGCTTTGTTAAAAGTTCCTGTTCATACTGATACATTACATGCTATTATGCGACTTTTATTGAGGTGTGATTTTCAAATAAGATTTTTCCTTGTATATGAACCTTTTAGGGTATTACTTCAATTTAAAAAAATTCTTTAAATTGTTTTGTATGCTTTTATCGTGGTCATATGGTTTAACTTTATTCCTCTCCTGAATGGGTTTTTATACTTTTTTCATCTATTTCAATATAAAATTATACGGTACTCCCATAGTGTGTGTAGGCCTAGATTAGGGCATAATTTTTTACTGTTTTTCCATATTTTAGTTCTATTACAAGTTCAGGGACTGTTTGTGTTAGCCAAGTATATACCCCCTGCCCATAGGTTATTCTTTACACAACTTGATTTAAAGTTGATTTAAAGAACAAAATTAATTACCTCCATACTAGTACACACAATTCTGGAGCGCCAATTATATTGCGTATGGATAAGAATTTGTGATGACAAAGATTCCAGTTCTATCGGTAGCTACATATCTTTGTTTGGCGAAATATGTGAAAATGTATAAAAAAAATAAAAAATGCTTTGTGTGAAGCACTAAATAATTTCCAAGTTATTCAATTTTTTTTATTTCAAATAATTTTTAAACTCAACTTTTAACTTATTTATGTTTTTACATTTGCACTGTTTCTATGTGTATACATTATCTTAATTTGTTACTCCTTTTATTTTTCAAGGTTGACAAGAAGTGACAAACCTGGCGGACATGAACGAGCTGTACAATTTGTCAAACTGGAAGGTCCGCAAGCGTTATTGGGTCTGACGAAACGAAGTGAATTTGCAGGTTTTGCTTCTCTTGCCACACTTATATTTTGTCATATATTTGAAGATGCGGAAACATTACGTCACACTATGGAAAAGGTTTGATATTATAAAGGAAAATTTAATTCTATTTTAATTTATTGAAGATCTACCACAATCCACAAGGTTGTTTATGCAAAATCCGAAATTCTATTTATTTCATGATTCTAAAAATGGAAATTAATTTTGTGGGATATTTTACGTATAATGGTTGTTTATTTGAATCATTCATCATAAAAATTAATCGAACTATTTAGATATTTATATCTCTGAATGCCAACTTTGCCAAATATTAATTTTTTTTATCAATACTGTTTTGTGATTCTCTTTAATATATATCTTAGTCTTATTGGGCACAGGATTTTTTTTCTTAAGGTTTATTTTCTAGGTTGCCTGAGGTTGTATCCGATTGTGCCACTTACATTCAATACACGTTATTCAGCCTTTATAAATAAATAAATGAGTCATTTTAACCTCAATTTTGTCTGCGGCTTTAGGATTAGGATAATTTTCCAACTCAACTTCGTGTCATTCAAGTTCGGCAGACGTGTTTGGCCATGATTTTTGTTTTCTTAACTTTTTCCTTTTTTAGGCATGATTTATAGGTGTGCCATATGATAAATGTGTGTAATCTATTGATAAATCATACCTGATCTTTATCTATTGGTTTTCTTGATTTTGTAGACTGTCCGGTTCGCAGCGTTGAGGGGTGTTCCGAATCAATCGAGTGGGGTTTCTGCAACAACAATTGGTAACAGAGAAATGTACTACGTTTTACAAGCTCTAGCACCAATGGCCTGTCGACACCCAAAAACGTTTGTTGACGTTTGCAAGAAAAATTTTAGAATATGCTTGCCAGGCGCAAAGACTAGTCGTAAGTTATTATTGTTATTAGATATAAAAACATTTTCAAATGGTTTCTTGACGTTTTTTGATACTTTGAATATCTTTATTCGTATCAAAAAATTTAACACAATGTTATATAGCATAATTCCTATAATGGTCAGTGTGAATCTAAATTTTTATTTATTGTTATTTAAGGATGTCTGTTAATAATGTAAACGAGACCCATTTTTTTTATTCGACATCCCCCAGACTTTAACCACAAGACCACAGCAGATATATTTTTATGGTAGGAAGTATTTATTCAAAAGTAATGAAAATATAATTTCTGTTTAAATGCTGGGAAGCTTGTCATGTTATTTAGTAGTATAAATACAGTAATATCTCTGTACAAGTTTTTAATCATTTATTTCCATTTTAAATTTAAATCATATCTTTAAGATGTGGAAGATGAAGAAACTAGATTGATGAACGGAAGCATCGTACAAATTCTTGAGTCTGCGAAAGATTCTGATCAACATTCAAAATGTAGAATACCATTGAGTATGACAACCAAGAAAATACTTCAACTCTTACTCAATGGTTTGATAAAATCTAACGGTTCAAGAATTCAAAACCATGGTACGTGAACATACCACTGAATGTTTCTCACTTTGGAAATAAATTGATATAAAATTTGAGGATCTTTGAATTTCCTTCACGCAAGGCTCAAACTAAATATACAATCAATGATACAAAGTTTCTATATATAGCCATAAATTAAATCAAGTAAAAGGACCTTGGGCAACTAATGGTGGACATGTAAAAATGTGTTACATAAAGTGAAAAATCTTAAATAAACACTGATTAAAATAAAAACAAGTCTGGTTAAGATATATTAAGAACTGACTTCATAACAAAATTGAAATTCTAATAGGAATTTTAATTTTATAACAAGAACACCCTGTATTATTAAAATTGTCTATTGGAAATTTTGTTAAAAAAACTATGCCAATATAAATTGAAGTGTTAATTGGAATGACACGATTTCGTAAGGGCCAGCATATTAGTTCAGTTACAATTAATTATCTTTAATATAAGTCAACATATTCATATTTTGTGTGATAAAATGTTCTCTTAAAATCTGTTAGGTGATGCTGCTGGTAAAGCACATTCGAAGTCTGCATCATCAGTAATGTCTGTGGCACAACAACTCAGACAGGTATTCAATTTGTATTTGGTAACATCAATGTTATGAATTATTTTGATTCCAACAGTGGTCGAAGTATGTCGGATTAATATTAGATTGAATATCTGGTTTTTGGTATATTTCATTCCAAAATTGTTTTGTATAATGCATAGATAGTTTTAGAGAATTTAAATATATTTTTTATAACATGCATTTAGAGCTTGTATTAGGATTGTAGCTCAACAATAAATTATAGTTTCACTCAAGTTATAAAAATTCAGGTGCAATGCTAAGTGTTTGAAATATTCTTGGCAATGTCAACCTGTGGGAATTTTTTACAATTTACTGAAGAAATAGCAACAGTTTTGTTCACATTAGTGACTTATCTTTTATTCATAAAGTAGGTGTAAAAGGTCCCATTCTGTATGATTTCCATTTTTATAGGTTGGTGATGACATGCATCGTAGATATAGTGAGAGTGAAGCCGACAGAAGAGAAGAAGAACGAACTACTGCTATGAGACAAGGTAGTATTGCTCCTGTAACTACAATGGAAGAAGGTCCATCGAGGTCATCACAAGAAATGGAAGAAGTTTTTTATCCTTCTGTAAGTCTGCGTGTTTGTTGACAAATATTTGATTAATAAATACCTGAAATATTTGATGAGCCCTGCACTAACTAACCACTCTTCTAATGCACTCAAGATTTTTCAATTTATCATCAAGGTGTATGTTTCTATCATATTTTAGGTTAATAATCTTACTTTCAACATGTTTGTCTATCCAGGATACTCCTGAAGCTACAGATATGGAGAAAGGTTCAGATGATGACAAAGAAAAACAAGAAGATACTAAACAAAAACCCGGTAATGGTGTGCAACCTAATATTTTTTATCTAGAATTTTTTTAAATTTTCTAGTTCACTCATTGGAACTTGTTTTGCTATTTACAGAGGAAGAGACTCCATTGTTTTCCAAAGCTGCTATTCTTCGTTTACTCGCAGAACTTGTTAGCTCATATCCAGCATGTGCTAGTTTTATTGTTTATCATACATATCCTGCTGGTATTTCTTCTTTAATAAAACAGGTGAATTAAATATTTTTACGATTGCTGTATTTTAGCACGAGACCATGGAGATACAGTATATTCATGGGAACTTGTTTCACTAGTAGTCACATTTCTCAAATACTTGAATTGACTCAAGTCATTTGAACGAAATGACTAAATTCCAAAACTCAAATTCTGACTAACTGCCAGAGACTAAATTAGAGATAATTGAGTCTTTGAAAAAGTAAAAAATGAAGATCAGCAGAAATAATATTTACAACATATATTATTAATGTTGTATTGAATAAATAAAATATTCAGTATTTTTCCAGCATTTCCATCAAATAAGCTATGTTGATGTGTTGAATGTTGTCGATATATGATTAGGTTCTAGTTTGAATTTTAAAGTAATGCAAGATATAAACTTAACTTGCCACTCGGGGAGTGCAGTTACTCGATTCGGTATTCAAAATTTTCTGAGATTCAGATAAGACTCTGATCTGATGACTTGTGACAAGGGATGTTTAGTACCTTGTACCCAACATAGCTATGATTGATTATTTTTATTCTCTTTTCATTCTTTTATTCCATCACAATCCTAAATGTTTGTGTTCAGGATTGTTCATGTCTCTCATTCATACTACATCATCTTCTACCTTGTGTCTCGAATAAAAAAGATGAATCTGGAGGATCAACTAACAACAATACTGCAAAGGTACACCCTCACTAGTTCCTGTATAGTTCCATTTGATCTACCAGTTTACTATATCCTGGTTAATTGGTTTATTAAAGGTGTCGAAATCTTAAATAATTAAACTAGAAACCAGGTTTTGCGATATTCAAAATGAGTATTATTGGGGATTGTGAAATCAAAATTACTGCAATCCGGTTTCTGTTAATACGAGGTGTGGCTAAAAAGAAACGAGACTGACGTCACAGATTGCGCAACACGATTAACCATTGGTAATCAACACTTTTACAGTGTGGTGTAATATGTGTTCTTTGTTCAACAGCTTTTTTGACACAATATCGCAATTATTTTTGCTCTTTAGGAGCCATAGGTGAATGTGATTAATTGCTTGTTGAAAAAAAAATTGCCGTGCGAGATCTGATTGAGTTTTTTGGCGATAGGGGGTTCAATTGCAGAATGACGATTGAGCAATGAATTAACATTAAATTTTGTGTCAAACTTGGAAAAACGGCGACTGCGACTTTGAAGAAATTGTGTGATGTTTATGGAGATTCTTCCATGTCCAGAACAAGAGTTTTTGAATGGCACAAGCGATTTGTGGGATGCAGGGAGGATGTGGAGGATGATTCGAAGTCAGGAAGGCCTTGCACTTCCACAACTGATACCAACATCGAAAAGGTATCAGTTGTGAGTTCAGTTGTGAAAGGCAGTTGATTCGCAGCGACCGTCGCTCAACAATTCGCGTCATTGCGAAGTTGGAAAAGACAAAAAAAAACGGTTCGCACCAGTTTGGTTGACACTTTTGGCTTGTGAAAGGTGAGTGCCAAAATGGTGCCAAGGCTGTTGACTGAGGAGCAGAAAGCTCAACGATTAAATGTTGCCCAGTTGACATGCATTTTTCCAAGTTTGACACAAAATTTAATGTTAATTCATTGCTCAATCGTCATTCTGCAATTGAACCCCCTATCGCCAAAAAACTCAATCAGATCTCGCACGGCAATTTTTTTTTCAACAAGCAATTAATCACATTCACCTATGGCTCCTAAAGAGCAAAAATAATTGCGATATTGTGTCAAAAAAGCTGTTGAACAAAGAACACATATTACACCACACTGTAAAAGTGTTGATTACCAATGGTTAATCGTGTTGCGCAATCTGTGACGTCAGTCTCGTTTCTTTTTAGCCACACCTCGTATGTCAGATTCTTGCTAAATTATAAATAACCTGTTATTTGCAACTGAGTTTGTTTCAGAATATCAGAATGGATAAATCATCAATCAGCATGATGATTGTATATATTGTACTGTAATAATCGAAATTGTATAAATTTATAATATTTATGAAATATTTTCGATGCTAGAGTCTATGAATTTTTTTAATATATAGTTTCTACGGTATCAGTATCTGACTCTATTCCATTAAATTGCAAAATACAGTCCCAAATTTTATTTGATCACATAGATTATAAATCAGTGGTTTTCAAACTGAGGAGCGCGGCCCACACCTAGTAGACAATTTTTTGAGGGGGTGAAGATAATTGAAAATAAAAATATTTTTTAGATTTGATCGTGCTCGCCTAATTTTGAATATTTACATTTTTTTATTTTAGATATTTACGTTTCATCCACGTATTCTCAACCTGTTTTTTGAATAAAACATTTCGCCTTACTATCTGTTATTTATAGCTTATTGTTAGCTAGTTATTTTTGAGGCGGAGCGCAAGACTAGACAAATTCCGAAAGGGGGGCGCCGCTTGAAAAGTTTGAGAACCACTGTTCTAAATGAATTGAGGTGTTCTGTAATATTGAATTGAAAATCAATTTTTTCACAGAACAATCAGAATGATAAAGATTGTTGTTCATCATTGGCAAAAATCCTATTGACCAGCATTGTATGTTGTAATCCTAAATCATCAATACAAAATACTGTCATCAGTGAAATCAAATCTTCATTGCACAAGACATTAGTGCTACCTGAATCACAAGGGAAGCATAATGCATTAAGAGCTTTACTAGGTTTGATAAGGTGAGATTCTATATTTTGTTTCCGTTTGGGACAACTAAACTAAAAGTTGATTCAAAGAATATCAAAGTTTTTCATATATATAGTTCTGAGAGCTCTATATAGTTCTATCACTACTTTTTTGGAAGCCAGAGATTTTGCTTTATTTGGACATGTATAAAAACGAAATAGCATGATGTTGAATTTAGTGTATTTTTAGGGTAATATTAAGTTTGATTCTGATTTTTTATGGTGAATTTTGAAATTATTTCAGAAAGAAATCATGTATTTGTATATATTATAATGTCTATTACTTTCCTCATTTTTTTTTTATCAATTTATGCTTCATAATTATCTTTACTGAAATTATTAATTTTAGTACAATAATGGAATGTGCCACGAAAATGATGCATGCATCAGATGGAGGACCTGTGCTATTACCTACTGATGATCCAATGAGTCTTGCCAGAATCATGATAAGCAAAGGTCTAGGTGCTGATCTTGCACAAATCCCAAATTATATCGATCTTGGATCTCCTAACATGGCTGACTCTGTCAATGCAGCTTTGAAACCGTTGGAGGTAATAAATATATGTTCTTTCTGTTGTGTGTTGTTGAAATTTTTTACAAACATTTGCTCTCTTATGATTCAATATTGTGATAGTAACAACTTCATTTTCTAATCCATTTGTATCCGGGTGAAAAATGGTTTAAATAGGAGCTCTTCTGAATTTTTTTGTTGTTCAAAACGGTAATGTGACAGATCAGCTGTCTGCCAGTCTTAATAGCTGTTTGGAGTTAACATCAGGAAAATCAGCGCTTGCAATCTGCAGTCTAGTTTAGAATCAACCTGCACTTAACATTATACCAGCAGTATAAACTTATGTCTTCAAATCAAGGTTTTTCTACTTTTGGTTTAGCATCTCTATTTTCAGTACATGGATTATAGTCACCATTTCAGCTTATGGCTTATATTCACCATTTTCAGCCTATGGCCTTTAACCAGAAGTTTCACCTTATGGCCAATTTTCAACCTATGGCTTGAAAACCAGCTTTTCAAAATTATGGCTTATAACCAAAGTTTCATGTTAATATGGCCTATAGCTAGCCTTTTCAACTTATTGTCAGCATTTTAAAATTATGGCTTAAAACCGCATTTTCAGCTAATGGGTTATAACCAAAGTTTCAACTTCTGACTCAAAAAAGCCTTCATCTCATAGCTTATAACCAACATTTCCAACTAATGTCTTTCAATTGTTTTAAATTGCTTGTTGATCAAAACAATTATGAATTTCTTACAATACAATGATATAGGTTTCATACCTTTATTTTTATTCAATATTTTATTATTCAATAGACATTGTCAAGACTTGTTCATCATTCATCTGCACCAAGCACACCTAAACCATCAGGAGCTGTAGATAAATCAGAAGATCAACAACAGCAACAGCAGCAAAGTTCTTCTCAACCACCTGATGCAGAATCATTACAAAATGCTGTCATTTCTATAAGAGTGAGTATCTGAAGGAAAATGTTGTATGAGTTTTACATCTGGAATTGAATGTCAATTTTTCATTTTTACATTCAAGATTTTTTAAGAAGTTTTCTAATGGTTAGTCATGCAAAGATTCCAATACGTTGATGTTGTTTGTCAGCTAATTATTTGTTTGAATAATATCATTATTGCCTAGTTACAGCTTCTGGACGAATGTTCATGTTAATTCAATGCAATTTCTTCGGTTTATTCAGGTTGATGGCGATTCACAGACAAATCGGGAAGAAGGAATGGATGAGAGTGTTATTGAATCAAATAATGAAGGTTTCGAAATGGCTGGTGCAGGTGGAAAATTACTTCATATATTTCAATGCGAATATTTGAAATTTTGATGTCTGTTACTATAACCAAATCCTTGTTAATTGTTCTTTTATAGGTCTTTTCATATACAATATTTCATGGGTTAGACTATGTTGTAGTGTCAGTTGATTTGCCCCAGCCTATTTGGTAATGGCACTTTTTATGTTAAATAAACAAGCTTACTATTCAGAATATTAGTTGCTTGTATTTTTAAATCTTGGGAGTTATTTTTTTAAAATCTTCAAATCTTATATTTTCTGAAGCTACCCTAACCACAATTTTAAGTTTACTTAAAAAAACATTTCATATGCCAGCTTTTATTTAAATTATGAGTTTTAAAATTTGGATATACATTTCTATGACCCTGTTTTTGCTTTTCAATACCTGACTGACACCAAATAGGTTGACACACAAACAGCCATGATTATTATCCCATTCCAAACAAAATGCATATCAATAAATATTCATTTAATTTTTAGAAGCTTCATTCAATTCAGTGGCAGATGAAAACAATGAATCAATGGAAGATACTTTCCATCTTGTTACAGGTAATTCTGTTAATTAACATCAGAAACCTCTAAAAACGTTATTTAGCTTCTAGTTCAAAAATTGATCGATTGAGATACATTGTTATTGAAAATAATTCATAATCCAATATGTGTTTGGATAAATACCAAGTGCATTGTAATGCCAAACATGCACTTGTAACCAGATAATAAGTCGTGATTCGCGCAGCTCACTTTATCATTACGCCATCCTATTGGTTTCTTCCACCCAGGGTAAAAATGGAAATCCTATCCTAAATATTGTTTGTTCACACATTTTGCTAAAAATTCGTAACAACATGTACATACACGCATGATTTTATTAGTGTATTCAAATTTCACCAGCAGAAGAAATCTTAAAAATTGAACACTTCACTACAATGACTATCACATTTATTTAAAATTCCATATTTAAAACATTAGATTCGGAAGCAACACCACAATTTTCTCATGATCTAATTATGAGTGAGAGTACCGAACATGATGATGACGTTGTTGTTGACATGAATGTGGAAGGTGATCATCATGTCAATGATGATGACGATGATGATGATCAAGATTCAAGCGGAAGTGAGGATCGTACGGAGCATAATAATGATGATCAAGTAAAATATAATAGAATTTTATTATCATTCTCATTGGGATTTTTATAGAGGTTGCATTTTAATGATTCTGGCAACTAAGAATACTCATACGTGATTGAATGTTACGAGCTATTCAACTAACTGACATAGTTCTAGGTACGGATATGTATCAAGCTATATAGTGGAATAATATTCACGACAAAGCTGTTTTATATGTAAATAATAAGTTATAAACACATTGAGAAATTTAAAAATTTTCACATTTTTTAGAATAACCTTAGACTGCAGTAAACGTATGAAATCCATAACTTTGCATAAACTTTCGAAGCAGTTTGCCAAAGTCATTTCATAGTCTTCAATCCAATGGTCCCAATCCTTTTCCGTCTTTTATCCAGTTATATCTTCCTGTTGGGAACAACTGCTCCAATGCGATCCTGCAGTAAGTAATGACTCTGTGTGACTGGGACACAATCATTTAAAAACTTTCCGTGGGGAAATTTTGATATGGGTTACTATACAACTGTATCACAGCGAACCACTTTTTTAGGATCTTGAAGATGAAGGATCTGAGATGGATGATTTGGATGAAGATGATACAGAAGAAGAAGATGACGATGATGATGATGATTCTAACATGAATCGATTAAATTACGAAACATTTGTTTACGATTTGTTGAGCGAAACAACAGATAATAATATTCTTCTGCAACTTGAAGATGTGTTGAGTGGTAGGAATGCTAATACATTCTTATTAATGGTTACATAGTAGAATAATGTGACATATTGTTATAGGATACGATGTCTACCTTTGGATAGTTTGTAAAATTGTTGTTTTTTGGGGGGAAAAATATTGCTATTGTAATCAATTAATGGATTGATGGATTTCCAGTACTCAAAAGATGGAATAAGTCAATAGACGGCTATTACTTATTTCTTTTTAATTTTCATTGGCATCCTATGGTACCCTATGTTTCACTCAAAAACTCAAAATTTTAATTCATTTTAATTTGTGGGAACACTATCAATCCAAATTTAGGGTAAAACAACTGGAACCAGAAAAATTTTGAAAAATGCTGATGTATTAGCTTTTTAGAAAAACATTCATCTTTAACCTCTGGAATTTAAATTGGTCCAGTGTTGGGAAAAAAGTGATTTTTTGTAATAGTAATAGTAACAAAAATGAATCTATAACATCAATTCAGCGAATTTTTAATTTTCCGTAGGCTGCGTTGTGTTTAATGAATATCAGGGTATCCACTTGCAATGTTCTTGATAATGTTTTTTGCTGCTTCCTTTTATCTTGATATTCTTTTTTCTTTCTCAGATGGTTTTGCTGGAAGGATGCCTCAACTTGCAGGAAATGCAAGGACTTCACAACTTTTTGCTATGCCTGTACCTATAGGAGATGATAATACAACTGCAGCTGCTAGTGGTAAATATACCGGTTTTTCTATTTATATTGTATAGTGTACTCAGTGCTTTCAAGTTTTCTTTGGTGTGTATAAGTTGAAAGTTTTATGGTTGAATGTCTACTTTATTTTAGCTCTAAGCTTGGCATACTTACGAGAATTTAAGATACTAATGGTTTGAAAATCGAAAGTTATTAATATAAGGGCTTTTTCCAGCATGCGGCCAAATTCATAAATTTTTCACATTGTCCCTGGTCGCATTGTTGCCTTAATGCTAGGTTTTGAACATTTTGTTGCTTACATATTTTCTAGATATTAGAGCATAAACTCAAATGTGATTCCAATTGGCACATATTTGCATGGGTGTAAGTTTATGGGTGGAGTGCTAACTCCTAGGCCTAGTCATTAGTTTTCATCAAAAATTTTGATTTGAATTTCCTATTACAAAAAGTCTTAAATTGTTAATGCAAAGAATTTGAAATTTCTGCATTAGCCTCTACTATAAGCTTCGAGAAATTTGGAAATATGGCTTTGTCAAACCCAGATTCTACAACCTGTGATATGTTTTTTATATACTTATTATATTGTTCCTATACTTTTAAGGTTTTGCCTCGTCCTGGTTTATTCCGACCACTCACCCAATGTTGACAAGAGCAGGTGGAAGAACTACTTTGCCTGGTGGTACGTCTGCATCAGCAACATCCAATGCACAAGCCAGAAACACTTATCCCAATAGTGTTACAGCTAATCGTAATGGACAAACTTTGCAGATTGAATTCACCAGCAATTCTACTGAAGCCCCACAGATATTAACAAGGTTGTGAGTGTTGTATTTTCTAATGGTAAAATTTTACCTGACCTCGAAGAACTTCAATCATTAGAGTTAAATATATGTGAAAAATTACTAATTTTTATTTATGAGATGGTAGATTTTTAATCATTGGGTCCTCGAAATCAAAGTCACCTGCTCAAATTGCGATAAATTACTTTAAAAACTTTGATATAACTTTTCTAGAGTACCTACATCGGTGCTTGTAAAGAATGGTCCTGGCCTCCAGAATACACTTGCTTTACACTCGCACTCGCTTTAAATAGATATATGTTGGCTAATTTACCAGTAACAGCAACCATACTGCTACAACAGATTATTGGTACTTAGCACTTTTTTTTCAAATGTACTTTTCATTCAGATTGCTTGGTCCAACTGCTACTGCTGATGTTCTTCAGTTGTCGAATTCCTTATACAATGAAGGTGGGGGTCATGCTCAATTACTTGTTAATTCAAGTAATATTCGTCTTTTGCCGCTAAGCAGAGATATTGCTGATAGTGGATTACAGGTAATTGATTTACACTTACCATCACATGTGATTACAATAGGAAATACTGATTGTAAAAGTTTTCGAAAGTGTGATATGTATTAATGTTGATGGACCAGTATAAGATGTCCTAGTTTTTTCATGTCATATTAATATGGCTATCACTCTGAACAAGGCTCTGCAGAAGCAGAAACTGTTAGGTAAGGATATGGTATAGTTGGAAAGACTGGGTTCTGGTTCAACATTTCCTACCCAATTTATTACACCCAAGTGATGGGCGTGAGATTTGAACCGGGGATTTTAATCTAAAAAACATCAAAGTTAAGTTTAATGCTTGAACCACTAGGCCACATCAGCTCTGGATGTTGGTTCAAAGATTTGATATTAAATTAAATAATCTACACCTAATTATTTACAAATTCACAATCATCTTTGAGAAAAATGAATCTTCCTGTGCACACTCAACTGGGAATAATAGTTAAAAAAACAAATTTGTCTTGGTATCTCTATAGAAATTCAAAACAGTAAAAGTACAGTCACTCATCTAATATTATTTAAATTCTAGTTAAATGGTTTCAGATTTACTGACAGATGGTTTTATTTTTCAACATAGAATCACATCATGTCAAGTGGTCGCAATGGTACTGGATCTGGATCATTAAGTGTACCTACTGCTATCACGAGATGGACACAAACTTGCGAAGTTCTGGAGCCAGACAGTACGCAATACTGCTTGCTAGGTAAGCTTATTGTTCTGGTTCATTTTAATCACACCTCTGATTACCCTGCGTGGGTTTGCATGTTTGAATCCTGTGGGATATAATTATGTGTGAGATAGTTGCTGTGCTCTTTGCAATCGGGGTGGTTGACATAAACGCTGTCAGGTTACGTCTTCCTCCATCATCTAACTGGTTTACCATTTTTGCCAAGGACTTGCAACCCGGCGATAAGCCCTATAATTAAGTCTTCTTGTCATCTTTCCTTTCCCCTGGTGTAAATATGAAAATCCCTCGGTGATTGTTAGACAACACCCTATTTTTAATGACGTATCTGTAAACATAGGTTTACGACAAGAGATCATTGATCATCTTGAAGAACGAAGAAATTCTGATATCGAGGAACGACGTGCAAAGAGAGCGCAAGATAAAGAGAAAGAAGAAAAAGAAAAGGCTGCAAAAGAAGAGGCGAAGGAAAAAGATGGAAAAAATAAAGAAACAGAAAATGCAGAAAATATTGACACACCGGCTTCTACTCCTGACGAAGAACGAGAGGTTTGTGTTGTTAGGCATTGTAGGGAATGCCAAAAATGTTATATTCAAACCGCACAAGATTGCCGAGCCTTACCAATCTGTATTAGAAGAGAGGCAGTTTGTTAGGCGCTCCAGAAGTATGTGTTCCAATATGGAGGTTACTATTTGTTTTCGCCTACTCTACATCAAGTTGTGTAAGGGGACTGAAACCTATGAAACATGAAATAAGGAAAATCGGAATAAAATTATGGCCTAAGCCTAACTTGGTACACACACTACGGGTCTGCTGTATCCCATGTAGCGAGTGCAGCTAAGAATACATAGAAGAAACTAGACATAGCTCTGCATTGTTTCAGCTTCTATTTTGAATACATTCAAATTGATTCAAAATTTGATCTCATATCAATGGTGGTCAAGTTCCTCAATCAGTGAGATTACCTTTGGTTTTAATTTTTTTTTCGTTGAATTTTCAGACGCAAATGGACTCTGGAGATGCCGGCATATCAACACCAACTAATACACCTATTGCTACTCGACCTGAATCTCCTGTCAATCAGCAACAAGGTTTGTCAAAAACAGTTGCTATGCATAACATGTACAGAATGAGGGTAGTTTTTACTTTTACAATTTTTACCTATATGAAGTCTGCTGTGTGAGGTAGTAGGTTATGCAGTTGTGCTTTGACGTATTATATTTCCGAGCAAGGAAGATAACTGCATAATCTGAAATCTCTCTAGCGTACTTTACTTTCATCACGCCGTTGGGTTATGCCCATATTCAATTTACTTTTGTTAGAGGCCAAGTTATAAAAACTTTCAAATTCAATTTAGTATATGCATTTGGACTACTGGGGATATTTTAGATTTTCAATATAAGACTTTGATTTTGATGCATTATGTGAATAATATTTTTTGCATATTAATACTCTTAATCCACTAATACTGATAATGGTAATCTTATCACTAATAGAGTAGATAAGTAACTAATTAGATAAGTTCATTCAAATAAGCTATCAATATCAAATAAGTAGACTCATTGGACTTAAACCTATGATTTCCAACTTGCAATGCCACCATAGTTGAATTACTACGTTAATCTTAGATCACTGAATATACGCAATCCATGCTTGTTATGAGTACGTTGATTTAAATATTTTTGCTGTATTGCCGGGTTGAGGTAGTAGGTTATGTAGTGATTGAGCTATAATACAAGGGAGATACTGCCTAACCTTTCACCTCCACCCTGTAATCAGCACTATCATCTTATTAGATGTTGCAAAGAGAAATACTTGGGTAGTAAAGAAACATAGTATCAGTTTCGATCGCTCTGTTAGGTGGAATTATATTTAACTTTGCCTGATCTGGTAATATATCTTTTATATAGAGATATTCGGCTTATGTATGTAAATATCTGCTTTTCAAGTTAGTTTTAATTTGTGATAGATAGTTGTTGGTGCATTGTGCTTAGAGCTAGGAACATGCTCATCATCACTGTGCTGTGATGAAATCCTGTGCGAGATCGTTGGTTTGAATCCTTTTCACTGCCGTAGGGTTGTTTACAGAACTGGTCAGTTACTGCTTCTTCCACCTTTCCTGCTTTGAAATAAATAACGAGTTAACTATTCCCATACCTGACATGGACTGGTAACCAGGCGAAAGTGTCTGGTTTACCTATATGTTGTCTTATTTCTAACTTATGGAAATCCTGTCCTAATAATGTATAACCAAATTATTAACTACACATAACCCATTTTAAAATTATTCAAATCACATTTTAAATGTTATGCTACATCACCTATCTAACATTGATATAAGGTTTCGATCTGGGCACTCAATGAGCTGAGGTAGTAGGTTATATCAGTTGTATTATACCACCAAAAGGAGTTAACTGTATATCCTACTAGCTTACTTATTTTGTCTACAATCAACAAATAAATGAAGCAAATGTTTGGACATTGTTGAAATGAGGTAGTGGTTTATGCAGTTGTGTGAATATACATTGCACAGGTGTTAACTGTATAGTCTACTTTCTCTTTCAATTATTGTCATTTTCATCGCTAAAGTTGCAGTGTGCTCCAGAATAGATATCTTCATTTGCAGTTTCATTTTTTGAGTTTCCATACTGTTCATATTTATATCTTGAATAATACTTGATAAAAATCAGCCCCTATCATTTCTAGTTATCAATTGTAGTTTTGAGTATCAAAAGTTGTTTGGTTTCGATATACTGCCTAAAGCAAAAGATTAAACAGTAAATAAATTTTGGCAGCTCATGCTGACCATCGCCCATCTGTTGTGGTTGGCAAACTAGGTTAATTTAGAAAGAAACCCTTACGTCCCTAAGTATAAATAGTACTTGCATACTACTAATTGTCCAGAGCTTGGTTAGGAGCAAAGTAGAATAATTTTAATAATTTGTATTAATTTAATTTGTAAAAATCTTGTCTTTTTTTTTTTTCCAATTGAAAGGCGCGCATCCTTTATGAAATCGTTTGCCTTTGTTTCAGTGACAACGTCTGTAGAAGTAGATGCAATTGATGCATTGCAACAAGCAAGTTCGTCTCTTCAGTCTGTTTCACTCGAATCAAATCATGATGACGAAGAACATGAGACAACCGAAGTTCAATTACAAGATAGTGATGCAGGTGAAGCAATGCAACAAGATGATGAACAAATAGTTGAAACCACACCTGAAGAGAATGCAAGTATGTATAGGATTTCTTGATTGATAAAGGTTAATTCACTGTTGTTGACATTGGTTAATAAATTCTTGTAAAGACCTAATGGAAATGAACTTAGGAATGGAAGGTCTAAATTGCTTTTTATGCCAAATTTTTATGCTGGATGAAAAGTTTTCCTATAACACAAATATGCTGAATTGTGACTCCTATTTGAATGGAGTTTTCGCTTCTGGCCACTACGTACCACATTACCACACACTACATACCACATTTCTGTGGGCTATATGGCATTTGTTTCTTGTGTGCACTGACGTCATCAAAATTAAAAATTGCACATCTTGTGACGGTTCTGCGTTCATGTTTGTTGCTATCTGGTGATCAGGTGAAGATGTGGAGTCTGTGGTACCGGTAGTCTACTTATCCCGTACTACTTTGTTTTGGCATTTGTGACCATGTATTTTAGTGTCGCTCTATAGTTAATTAAAATAATTTTTTTCACTCAGACCAAGAAAATCAACCTACAATTGCAGATGATGAACCATCATTAAATGTTATAGTACAAGAACCATCAGAACAAGAAATAACTTCTGCAACTGATACTGAACAACAAGCTGCAGCTGGTTAGTTTTTACTCTTATGCTACAAATATTCTCAAATTAAGCTCTATTTCTTGACAACTAATGGAGTATAGGGAGTATAAACTAGTAAAATATGAACCCTAGCTAGAAATTTTTTGCAACGAACTTACTATGGTGTATTCTTCGCTTGTTGATCATTACTTACTGCTGTGTCACCTATTTAAGACACATATATAATGGGATATATATTAAGGAATTTCGTTTAAGATCTCTATAAATCAATGCATTGGTCAATGATGTTTAGTAGCTGTATTTTGGTTAGGACGAATTCTAAATATAACCGACCATATCAAAAAATGTTTATTATCCATTTTTCATTTTACTGACTGCTTGAATAGTTATAAAACCACATACTAATCTACACACATAATAACAAGGTTGTGAAGCATTATATTGTTATATCTTTTTATTTACATTAGCAGGGGCAGAAGCACAAGCATCTTCAGCGAACAACGCTGCCCAATCGAGCAGTGAATTCGAAGGAGTTGACCCATCTTTCCTTGCTGCTTTGCCTGATGATATTCGACAGGAAGTCATAAGGTAGATAGATTACTTCTGTTACTGGTTTTAGTATATTCTTAGTTTCTGCAATGGAAGGTAGTTTCACAAGATTTTTGTCATTACCTTACAGAACTTTATTTTAGACTCTATATTTAGACTGAAAATTTTAGAATCACATTTGCTGTTATAATGCATTTGATATTGATATAAAACTTTTTGTAAATTTGTTGTGAAAAAATTTTTCCGCTCATATTTTGTATCTTATTACCTGATAAATAAACACACATACATTTTTAGTGTGAATTAAGCTAAAAAATTAGAAGAGTTCAAGTTATAAATTTGTTTCATCTCATTTTTCCTTTCAGGGAGCAACTCAGTAGACAAAGTACAGGAAGAACAAGTACATCTGAGAACCAAGCGAGTGGTGTTAGTCCTGAATTTCTTGCTGCGTTACCTCCGTCTATACAACAAGAAGTATTGGCACAAGAACGAGCAGAACAAGTACGTACTATGCAATTTTCATTGTATATTTTTCTTAGCTTCCTCGGGCACATAATTATAAAAAAGCGTATCCTATAAACCACTATGAAATAATTTTGTCCAATTTTGAAGAATACTCCCACATATTTCTGTTAAAAATCTCAGGATTGTACTTGATGCATATAGATTTGCCGCTTCAGAAGTGTGTGTATCAATATGGAGGTAGCTATTTTGTTCTCCTACATTTTTTCAAGTTGTGTAAAAGAACTGAAACCTATGGGAAGGGGGTATATTCATTTGGCTAACACAGACAGTCCCCGAACTTGTAATAGAACCAAAATAAGGAAAATCGAGATAAAATTATGGCCTAACCCTAACCTGGTACACATACTACGGGAGTACTGATTTCCATATATAAAAGTATAGCAGAACGACTTATTTTCAAAACTCAAAAACTTATATGTTCACCTTACATTTAATGGCACAAGTTGGTATGTTAATCCTTGATCTTTTTTTCTTCTAGGCTAGAGCTGCACAACAACAAAGCACAGCCAATGATCCAGTGGACCCAACTGTCTTCATACAAACATTACCGAGCAGCCTACGACAATCCGTCTTAGCTGATATGGATGATTCACTTGTTGCCGTTCTGCCAGCTGATTTAGCTGCTGAAGCCCAGGAACTCAGAGCAACCATGGAAAGACGTCAACAAAGATATTTTCCAGATCCCAGATTGTTTTCAAGAGCACACAGTAATATACTTCAACGCACAAACATGCCGTCTCGATTCCGTTATTCTGGAAGCGGACCTGCGGCATGGGGAACCATGCCAGGTGGCAGAAACAAGAATCAAAACGGTTCACAGAGTGTGAAAATACAAGTTCGTCAGTTGCTTAATCACGATTCGCTAGCATGTCTGCTCTTACTGTTATTCGTTGAAGAACCTCGCTTGAATATGACAAGATTACACAGGGTATTACGAAATCTCTGCTTTCACATACCGACTCGATACTGGTTAGTTAGTACTTTGATAGCGATTTTACAACACTCGCAAGAAAAGCAAGAGCAAGAGAAGGAAGAAGCTTTTACCACTGAAGAATCAATGGATTACAAAACAACTCCAACCACATTGGTTAAACAAAAACCGAATTTGAAGCAACAGCACACGCCAGTTACGTTCGCCCCCGATCATCGAAACACTTCTTGGTTGTCAATTAAGCTTGACGCAGCACTCGGCTCACGAGCCAGTATTTTTAAAGTTGTTAAACCCAATGTACCTTCTGACAGTGGTGGAGCAAGGAAAAAACGGAGCGAAAAGAGGAGCCAATCAGGATGCAGTGTTTATATCCATCCTCAAGCTTCGCCTGTTATTTGCAGACAGACGATAGACACTCTTCTCATGATTGCGAAATTTTTTCCACAACATTTTGTTAATGCTTCTCTTCATCGTACTAAATCTGATAATGTATCTGACAAACATCAGCCAATTGATACTGATTTCTGGGATGTTTTACTGAAATTGGATTTTCTCTCTCCCAGTTCAGATTTGCCAAAGAAAAGTATGTATTTTATTTGTAGATTCTCGAAGTAACCATTTTTGATCGCTTAAAAAAATTCAGAGATTTTTTAAACAAATTTGTACTAGAAGTTTTTTTTGTGATCAAAGAATTCATTATATGAGACGAAATAATAAAATAAATCCATTTTGAGGCTTATATCAAATTGATGCAGAGCAGCATACAATAGTAGGGCATAATCCTACTTGACCTGTACATAAAGGTACATCCATGTTGTACAATCGTTCCATATGTCGAAAGTATGCTTGGTTGCATGCAAGCCATGATCGATATATTGAATTTTTGTTTTACATTTTGATTATATGCAAATCAACTATAAAACATGAAAAACGGCTACTTAGGATGTTTGGCATTTGAGTTGGTATGTGAGCCTCTCTCTCGCAGCCTTAGTTTCTGTACAATTTCTTTATACGGGCTAATGGATGTTTGATGTTTTTTAACCTCATATTAAACTCAATATTTATAGTCCGAAACTTCGTACTTTTTTTTCCCATAGTCATTATGAATTTTTTCCTCCAACTTTAGGTGTCGCTGAAGATAAGCGTGTACAAGACTTGACCAGCAGTGACATCGAATTAACATGTATGGGTGAACTTTTACGAATGCTTGCTCATCCTGTTTTGAAACGAAGTCAACAGTTAACGGATCGATTATTGAGACTTTTAGCCCAAATATCTCTTCATCTCCCAACTCAATCCAAATCAAACATCGGAGATGCGGGTCCCGAAACAAATAAAAAAGATCCCGAGAAAGACAAAGAAGACTCTCAGAATGAGTGAGTACTTGGATGTTATCTATGCATAAAAATTACAATATTTTGCATGCATCAGAAATTACTACATCAGAAATATATATATGTAACATAGCAAAGTTTGAAAAGCCTGTTTTACATCTTCATATGTCCATTGAAAATAAATCAAGAGATATTCAGCTTTGTATACTATTCGGTATGACGCTCATTTCCGCATCCATGTGAATTTCTCAAATCTGTACTACAAATAACTTGTCTTTAACTACTTAGTGACTATGTTATTTAGTATGCAGAGAATAGTGAGGTTTTATTTCTTATCTGACCCGAAATATAATTTCTGTGATCGATGTAAAATTTTTGTGCTCATGGTTTCATTTTTCTTTTTCAGAGAAGCTACCACACCTGAGGGTAAGTCCAGCACTGCAACAATGGGTGCCAGAGCATGCACAAGTTACACAAGTACTGTAGGTCAAGCTACGATGGATACAAAAACAGCAACTACAAGTATATATCAGTTATAGTCACTAAAGTGGCAGCACCTTATCAAGCTTTACCTATATTATTTGTTAGCCATTTCTAACCGGCAACAATTTTATGTACTATATTTTATGGGACTACGAGGCGCACTGTCAATAGTTTGCTTGGATTAGGTTTTTATTCATATATAGGGTGCAACTGGTACTGGTTGTGTAGACAACTACCTGTGACTACTATGTGACTGAATTTTGAGGAAAAAAAAGGTACTCCCGTCGTATGTGTACCAGGTTAGGGTTAGGCCATAATTTTATACTAATTTTCTTTATTTTTTTATTTGTATTACGAGTTCGGAGACTGTCTGTGTTAGCCAAGCAATATACCCCTTCCCATAGGTTTCAGTTCCTTTATACATCTCGGTGTGAAGTAGGCGAACAAAATTAGTTACCTTCTTATTGGCACACACACATCTGGAGGGCCAAAAAAAACATTTTCCAAAAAATTACTCTCCAATTTTGTTATGCCTGAGGTGTTTTATATCCGTTAATTGAGTGATTGTTATCCTTGAGGTTTAGAGATTGCTTGAAATTTATTTACTATTATTTGTTTTACAGGTTCAACTCAAAGTCACGGTTCGATATCGTTTCCATCATTATCTCATGACAGCGTTGCTACAACACCACTCGAGAAAGAACTGGAACTTGCTGTTCAAATTTTAACAAGCCATGCATGTTCTGAAGACGGACTCGAGGATGCCACAACATTGCTTTTCCATTTGTCAAAAACTCAGCCTGTTTTAAGGCCAATTATCATCAGATTGCTTCTGCACGGTAAGAAAAATATATTGATAAATTGTCATCTCTCTACAAGGGCTGGACATTTTCGAATACCTGATGATTTCAGAATAAAATATGTTTTTCTAGATAATTGATATTTGAATTAATACGAAGATTTAATTGTATGTGACTTTTTTATTGTAATGGGTTCTCCAGATACATAAATTTATTATTAAACATAGAATCCATCACTCAGTCAGATCGCGGATTTGTCATACACAATAAGAAACAAGTTTCATCAATAACTCAATAGAAAAAGAGTTGTATATCATAATTGTATTTCAAAAATATACCTAAAAAAATTGAATTGCCTTCAACCTTGGCGAAACAAAAAAACAAGATGGCGGCGAATTGGAAATTTTGTGGAAACATATTCAAAAAATTTACTATTCGATTTGAATGCTCAGCCCTATTCATTACAGTCTCTATTACACTGTATGTCAGCAGTTCCTCATATAATCAACCTCAGACTAGTTGGTCCACAAAAAAAAATTTGGTTTTTAGGTAATATTACGTCTCAATATAATATTTTAAACTAGCGTCATGAAAGCTTGCAGCATCGAAATACATTGGCGACAACTAGCGCTTGGCCTCGCATTAATAAAGCGGCAAAAGATTTAACACAGCGACAAGAGCAAAAAAACACTATGTATTTTTTTTTTTGAATAAAGTTAAATTAGGATTTTAAGCTTGATGGGGAAAAATCTTTTCCTAACGATTTGGCAGGCTGGGTTGTGATTTGCAGGCCGTCTGTTCCACACCCCTGGTCTAAGGACTGTGCCCCAATGATTTCATCCATATACACACTTCCACATATTCAGGTGCTCAAGAAATTGGTCAAAAACTATGTGAACAAGTGATAACATTGTCTGAAGAAATGAATCAGTATAATCAAGAACATACAATCAATCAACAAACATCTAGTGCTCTTGGTACTTCTAGTAGCCTACAACCTCCCCAACAACCACAAGCTGCATCAGCCATACAATCTCAAACAGCTGGAGCTTCAACATCAGCAGCATCTAGTAGCAGGTTGGTACTAAAATTAGTAACATTGGTGCTATTAATATATATTTGGTTTGCTCCATCTCCGATGCAGCATTCCCTCTACAAGACATTTTGACAAGACTCCACACGACTTGGTCGATAAAATTGAAAACTGGTTTCACTCAAGTTGTGGAAAATAAACTGGGATTGGCTGGTGGTTTAAGCATTGAACTTAACTATGTTGGCACCACTAGTTCAGAATCTCAGGTTCTGTTCGCATTCCCATCACCTCACCAATAGTATGTTAAATAGAGTAGGTATTAGGAATTATTCTGATCTTTCCAACGACTCTTTACATATCAGTGGCTGCTTTCACAAATTCTTATTCCGAATGTAAGATGTGAAAAACAGATGAAAAATGAATGCCATGAATTGGATTTTGTGTATCATTAAGAACCTCATTTGGTGTAGACTTGACCGAAGTGACCAATTCTTGAAGACTAAATTAGACTTTTACAGAGAACTTTAAACCAATGTCCTCGACCTTGTTGTTGATTTAACTCAATAAAGATGGATTTTGTTCATGTGGTTTTATTCATTGGCTGTTATCAATTTATTCATAAACATCAATTATAAAATTTACTCATTTTTATTGTATTGTTTCAGGTACGATCCCACTCAGCTTTTTACTTTATCAGGAAAAGTAAAATTAAAAAGAACTGGCAAGGAATTGCAACTTCCCATCATGCAAGTACTAACAAGCAAAACGTCTAATCAGGTAACAAATTGGCTATTTGATTATCTTTTGTTAATTTATGCTTTTTAACTCAATCGTTATTTACTAATTCGTAATTCCACCCTACTAATTTTTTATATGGTTTCAGTAGCTTTAGCACTTAGTGGTTGACCGTAACTTCGCTCAGACACCAGTCTGAGCTAAATACAATCAGGCAGTTCATCTCATATTTTTATGCCCACAGACTGTCGTGGTATTTTAGAGTAGTACTGCTTTTATTCTTACGTAGAGAACACAACCGCGAGTAGCGTTGGACACAAATTAAAGTAAAAGTCAACTCCTAACGAGCGCGTAATCACGACGACTGTTTCAGAAGGGAATGGGAATTTCCAATTTTTGAAACACCCCCTTTTGAAAATCCTGGCTGCGCGCCTGCCAGTACCCTTTATTGCGAGTGAGTGTGTATGATTTTTCATTCCTTATATACAAATCAAGCCCTGAAGTATGCAAAATGCTAAGTGCATTTTTTGTATAGTGTAATACAATTACAATAAAACTAGATATATTGTGATATTATCTTCAAAATATTCTCCAATGTTTTGCAGGCTTTCTTTCTTCGAATACTCAAAGTAATTATACAATTACGAAAAAGTAAGAAAGATGAGAAACAAGACGTTGATCAACGTTCAAGGATTTCTGGTCCACAAGGAAGAGGTTGGACAAGAATGTCAGGTAATTTTTTATTAGAATTTATTTTTTATTAGAATAGAAAAATTGTTGTTTAGGTACACATTTTGTTAATATTTTGTGTATTTTAAAATGCGCAAGGATGATTTAAAATATTTTCCATTGTTTCGTTTGGCAAAAAAGTCATACAAAACGGTGGTCAAATAACAACCCGGAACGAATTATGTTTTACTACCGAGGTATCACTGTATATATATATCTATATAACTGCTCCACAGCATCTAAGACATTTATATTTTTCTTTGTGTATGGCAATTTATTTTCAAATAAACCATTATGTTAACTGGAAGAATTGAGACTGTTACTGGAAGAATTGAGAGACTACAACTTCTTTGTTCAAATTTATCAACCTACCCGATTTCTTAAGTTATATATGATGGCGATTTCTACTAACTTACTGATCAAATTTCAAGCTCAATATTTCTATCCTGTAATTCCAACATATTTATAGGTAGGCCAATGCACATAACTTATTGTCATATTGAATGGACAACATCGGGAATCCGTATTATTTGCTTTTAAATATCATTGTTACCATTTCAGTTCTGTTTCTTTGAATCTATTGAAATCGAGCTGATTGTTTGTTGTATTATATTTTATCTGTGATTTTCAAGTCAATTTTCCTTCTTTTTTAGCTGCTACATCAGCTATTCGTAATGCTTTTGTGCAAATATCTCAAGAGGAACAAGACGTCAGTAATCAAGCAATGTTAAATCAGGCTATTTCATCTGATAATGCAACAAATTCTGGTGCAACAACATCAACATCTGGTGCTGCAGCTAGTTCAGAGAAAATTGAAAAAAAGACTGAAGATGAAGAAGGTTGGCAGCTTTTATTTTACTTGCTTCTGTTTTCTCAGTCATAGTTTATTTATTTAATATATTAATAAAAAGAATCGGGTTGCAAGTCATTTTTGGACAGGTTTGATCAAATTTCAAAGTTGTTAAAAAATAGTTTGTTTTAAAATTTCATGATTTTTGTGAAATTTTTTCTGTATCGCATTGAATACTTGTGGTCATGGAAGTGCATTGAATTAAAAGTGGAATTCTGTATCAGATCCCAGAAGTCTGTGTGAACAATTGCAGTTGGAATCATTGTGGGATAATCTTGGAAAATGTTTGAAACAATTGGAAGAAAGCAATGATCCACATGCTGTGCTGGTACTCCAGGTAATAACCATTTCAAAACTTTCACTCGATCTGTTATTATGAATAAATAGTCAGTTTAATTGATTAGATAGCTAGTCGACAAATTTTAAGTTCTTATTTGGCAAAATTGTATGGATCAAATGGAAAATGTAGTTGAACATTATATCAATATTAAAAATGTCGCAGTATTTCATTTAAATGAAATTTGAGATTGAAGTTTCAAAAAATGTATTTTGCGAATAATGATCATATTAATTACAATTCTATTGTAAAATCTATGCAGTAAGATCATAATTTACAGAATTTTTTGAATTTTTGAAAAAGAATCTGGCATGTTTGATGATTTTTCTGCCAAATTAATCTATTTTGGATATTAGGAATTGATTACTTTGACAACAAATTTCTGGAATAACTATTCAATCAATTATAGACATTTATGAGAAACTTTTTCATGATCTAAATCAGTGGTGTGCAACAGTCCTCCCGTGGGCCACAACCCGGCCCACTAAGCCATTCGGATTTTTCCCCATCAAGCATAAATTCGAATCCGACAGTTTATGTTTGAAAAGTCGCTCACATGGGTTAATATACATAATGTTTTTTGCCGTTGTCGCTGCATTAAATCTTTCGCTGTTTTTATTACTGTAAGGCTAAGCAATAGCTGCGTTCTCTTCTCTTGCCTTTCTCGCATGGAAAAACTAAATTTTTAGTGTGGTCCGACTAGATTTCCAGAATTGGCTATATGGCCCTCCGACAAAAAATATTGTTCACCCCTGATCTAAATACTTAAACTTCCTATGTCACATTACTGAATTTTGCACCCACAAGTATTATATTATTCAGTGGCCAAATAGTTCTATCGAAAGCCTGCAATGGCATAATGATGTTGATATTGTGTGCTGTAGTATTGAATATCTATTTACATCAATCCCAGCCGACTGTAGAAGCTTTTTTCCTGGTGCATGCCTCCAAACAAAATGCAACCAAATCAGCAGATGTGCATAAGGATGGTGAATCACAATTATCACATTTGGATCTACAACCTCTTTCTCCATCTCTAAGTTCAGGTTGTTATTTTTTGATATTGGATATTTCTGTAACATAAATATTTCTCATATGGGCATGTTCATATGGTTTGAATAGCAAATGTCTGAGTTGAGTGAATTTCACATCTATGTGTGCCATTTCAAATTTCATTCTTATAATAGTGAAATAAAGTAAGGGTTATTATAAAACTGTGTGATCTATCCCCTTCTGCCTATATTATTACTATTGGACAATACCAATTGTGCGCATGATAGCATAGTGGTTAAAATGTTTGACGTTCGCATCGCCGGTTTTTTACCCCAAGTTCAAATCCCATGCCTTCCACCTCGCTTCAATTGGTTGGGCAATGCCGAATTGGAAAGATTTTAGTTCTTTTAAAAATAGTGAGTTACTTACATATCATTAGATATCAGTGGCTTCTTGCAAAGATTTTTTAGGGGCAAAAATTAGCGTCTTATTTGTGCAGTTTCCAGCTGTCTGTTCTGGTTCACTTATAATAGTTAAATATTCAACTTTGATTCCTATTTTTCAGAAGTAGCAACTTCACAACAATCACAAAGTTCAGTATCCAATGATGATAATTTGAGTAGCGAAACAAAGAAATTCCTTGACTTTGCAGGTAAGTGATCTAAATTAATTGAAACAAACTGCTGATCTATTATACATATTATGTTAAATAAGCGCTTAAATATATCATATTGATATGCGTTAGAGAATTTTTGTTGTGGCGTCTAATAGTGATATACATAGTTATATAATTGGACATTTAAAGATTTTGTCCAGAATTAATGCAGAACACCAATTTCTGAACACCATGTTGTTAATTTGTTTATTTTATGCAATTTATTTAACTTGGTGATTTCAGTTGTAAAGTTTATTGAGAAGCAATAAAAATTAGTTTCATTATATGCTCAAATTTGTTAGGGAGAGAATCTATCTGAATTTTGATATAAAAATTAGGAATTTGGTTATTGTCACGTGTCTGTTTTTAAGAAAATAAATATATTTGTTTGCCTACTGTTTTCATTTCAAGTTTTTTGAAGTGTTTTGTACGAATTTAATTTTAGACACACATCGCAGCATTCTCAACCAGATACTGCGTCAATCCAATGTGCCATTGACAGAAGGTCCATTCTCTGTTCTTGTAAATCACACAAAAGTACTGGATTTTGATGTTAAAAGACAACATTTCAGACAAGTGAGAAACCACTGGTCCAATCCTGGTTAAAATATTTTAAGATAACAAAATTAAATTTGTAACAGGACTTTATGAACACTCTGTATTATAACATGACTATAAAGATGCTATTAGTCATCTTGAATTAATTGCTCATTAATTTTAAATTTCAAATAAGAGTTATTTATGCCATATCTAGTTTGGTGAAGTAAAAAAAAATTGGATAAACTCCAATTAAAATAAAACAATCTCTGTTAAGATATATTGTCACTCTGACAATGAACATATTATAACATGACTAATAAGATGCGATTAGTCCATCTGAATTCTTGTCAACTTTTGTCCACTCATATAAATCTTATAATATATTATCAGGAACTTGAACGATTGGAAGAGAATTCAATGTCTAGAAGAGATGACATTGCAATAAGAGTTCGAAGACAACATGTGTTTGAAGATTCATTCCGTGAATTACACAGAAAATCAAAAGAAGAATTGAAAAGTCGTTTGTACATTGTTTTCGAAGGAGAAGAAGGACAGGTAATGCATTATTCGGAGTATTAGTATAAGAATGTGGATATAATTGCCATTATCCAATACACAGGAACAAATTGAGTATTCTCAGAAAATAGGTTTATCTAAAACAGTTACCGTAATTCTTGATTTTAAGAGTAAATGTTACATTTTTCCTCAATAAAATAGGGTCATTTTGAGAGATTGATACCTGACCATTGGGTAGAAAATAAGGTATTTTAAATTGTGAAAACTGTAAAAGGTATAAAATCAAATAGACAAAGGGTACTTCCGTTGTGTGTGTACCATGTTGAGGTTAGGCCATGATTTTATTCCGATTTTCTATATTTTAGTCTATTTACGAGTCTATTTACGGGTTCAGGGACTGTCTGTGTTAGCCAAGTGAATATACCCCGTGCCCATAGGTTTCTGTCCCTTTGCACAACTTGATGTAACATAGGCGAACAAAATTAGTTACCTCCATATTGGTACACACACTTCTGGAACGCTGAACAATGTATATTAGAATCTGCATTATTACATTTGATCATCATCAATATTCACTGATTTGTACAGATTTCACTACTGAGTAAGACTGAATTGAGATTAGGCTCAATATTTAGCTGTTCTACAGTTCACATATCCTAATACAGCTTCGTAATATCTATTTTATTTATATTTAGACGTACATTTTCTAAGGTAAAATTTAGCTCTAATTGATCTCCATATACCACAGGATGCAGGTGGATTACTCAGAGAATGGTATTTAATCATTTCAAAGGAAATATTCAATCCTATGTATGCATTGTTCCGTACATCACCAGGTGACAGAGTCACGTACACTATTAATCCAGCATCCTATATCAACTCTAATCATCTCTCCTATTTCAAGGTTTGTGCATTGCGTTTAAATTTGACACATTTTTAAGAACAACTGTAAAAAGGAATGCTTCTATATATTTGGATTGCAAGATTTGGATATAATTCCGAGTTATGCAAATCTGCTCTCTTTAGTAACTTAAAACAACTTTTTACAAGCTTTTGAGGGGCAACATTAGTGGATTTTTGTTCATCTCAAAATTGATTTTTACTGGTGGATTTTTGGTCATCTCAAAAACTCAAAATTGACTTTTATGAGTTGTGTCAAACATCTCGTTTTGTAAATTGTGCTGATCCACCTCATTTGTTCTGTAAAATTTGATACGACAAATTTAACTAAAAATTTATAATATATAAATATCTGAATTTTTTAAATAAAAATTATTGTTCGAATTAATTTAATTTTGATCTTCATTTGGACAAGATTCTTCAGTTGTTTGTACCCTAACATCAAAAATTGTTTCAGTTTGTTGGTGGAATTGTAGCAAAAGCAATATACGACAACAAGTTACTGGATTGTTATTTCACTCGGTCATTTTATAAACATATTCTCGGAAAACCAGTTCGTTATCAAGATATGGAAAGTGAAGATTATGCATTCTCACAAGGCCTTGTCTATTTGCTTGAAAACGATGTGTCATCATTTGGAAGTGAACTCAACTTCAGTGTAGAGGTGTGTGTTTTATCAGTTTTCATCGAGAGCAGTGGATCTCCAACTTTTTAAGTCGCGCTTCCTTCCACGACGCCTCACCTAAAAAATAACTAGCTAGCAATAAGCTACAAATAACAGATAGTAAGGCGAAAGTATGTTTTTTTCGAAAAAATATGTGGAAGTTGAATATACATGGAGGGAGTGGTAAATAATGAAAAAAAGGAAAGGTTTTGAAATGTAAATATCCAAATTAAGGCGGGCAAGTTCAAATCTAACAAATATTTTTATTTTTCATTAGCTTCACGCCCCCTCAAAAAATTGTCTACACCCTCTTGCGGGGCGCGCCCAATCGTTTGAAACCACTGATCTAAGGATAAACTGCGAATATGCTTTCAAATATTTTATTGTCTTTTTTAAGAAGTATGTTCTATTTATAACTGAAGCTTTTTCAGTTGTCAGATTCAATATGGCGGAATGGTTTATCTTGCATTGGATATGATTTCATAATAAAGCTCATTCAATGCACAATTTCAAATATTTTAATTAGGTATTTTTAACGTCCGATCGTAGCATAGTAATCTGAAAGTGCTTTGTAATTTATTATACAGTAACATATTCATTGTTGCTTTTATCCTATTATATACCAATCATTGCAATTTCATCATTCTATTCAAGATTATGGAGTTTGGAAAAACAGAAACAAGAGACTTAAAAGAAAATGGTCGTGATATTCCAGTTGAAGAATCTAATAAAAAAGAATATGTCCATCTGGTATGTCAGGAAAAAATGACCGGTGCAATTCGACAACAACTGAGGTAAGAGTGCATACTTATATATAACATTAAATCTCACAATCTTGCCTGAAACTTCATTTCAAATCGTACTTTTGGAACAAACATATCACGATGAGCTTTATGTCTACTATTTGGTTGGATGCTATGGGAGGTTTGGATTTGTCCACTGTGTGTGCAATGTTGAGCAACTTATAATCAATTACTATATTCAAAAGAAATTGTATGTTCTTAGTCAACAATTTTCTTGGCACACAAAATGAATATTTGTTCTAATACTCAGTTAAAGCCTTCACAGAATTTGAACAAAACTCATGGTTTCATTGCTACATGAGTTATAAATCCTACTGAATAATTGGTTAGAGCTTACTGATATATAAGTTTATGAAATTCTAATAGTATTTGATAGTTTTTGAGTTACCGGTTTTTGTCTTTCAGTGCATTTTTGGAAGGATTTTACGAAATCATACCGAAAAGGTTAATTTCAATATTTGATGAACAAGAATTGGAATTACTTATTTCGGGTCTCCCAACTGTCGACATCGAGGATTTACGCAACAACACTGAATATCACAAATACGAAACAAGCTCACTGCAAATTCAATGGTTCTGGAGAGCATTGCGTTCGTTTGATCAAGCAGAAAGAGCAAAATTTTTGCAATTTGTAACAGGTTAGCAGTGGGTAGTTAAATTGTTCTCCAGAAGTGTGTACCAATATGGGGGTAACTAATTTTGTTTGCCTTTTTTACATCAAATTGTGTAAAGGGACCAATACCTATGGGCAGGGCGCATATTCAATGGCCAACACAGACAGTCCCGGAACTCCGGTAATAGGACTAAAATAAGTAAAATCTGAATGAAAAAAAATAAGACCTCACCCTAACCTGGTACACACACTACGGGAATACCGTTAAATGTAGTCACTGCAGGTGTTGGTTGCCTGCTAGAGGGCAAACTTCAGCCGTCTTTTCTGAAGTTAAATACATTGAACGTTTTTGAGATAATTTGCTCGAAGCAAGGTCAAGTGCAGTCTACCAGTAATAAAGGTGACACATCCCATGGCAAACTGAAACTCTATATAGTTATAGTGATGCATTATGCGGCTATGCTCTATTAAATGTCGATAAAGGCACAGCATGTGGAAATCTTGTCAAATACAAAATACAGAATATGTAACATAATTAATGTTGTAGGAACATCAAAAGTACCCCTGCAAGGTTTTGCTCATCTAGAAGGAATGACTGGTGCTCAGAAATTCCAAATTCACAGAGACAGTAGATCTACATCAAGACTACCTTCAGCTCATACATGGTAAGGTTGTAATCATAAAGTTAAAAATGTGGTGTCTGATCTCCAAATATAGTTCTGATTCAGGTTTATAAAACATTGTCTGGAGAAAAGGTTTGAAACAAATCACTAGGAAATATTTTAGATTAATTAGAGTTACATGAAATAACATTGTAACATATCAATTCGATTAGAGGTAATTGAAAAGCTGTTCAAGTTTCTTTGATCTTTTGTGTTCTCAGTAGTATATTTAGACAGAAGATATTATTATTCAAAAAAATTGTATGTAGTTCGATAGCCTTTCATTGGTACATAAAAAGAATCGAATTGTTATTCAATAATGGGAGAAAAATCAGTACTCCTCTAGTCACCCGAAAAATCATTTCATGAACCATAGTTTCTACCATTCTGACTAGCATTGCATGGGAATACCTCGTCAGTGGTAGACAGCGGAATGTATGGTATCTCCCGTATAGTACTGCCCAACAGAATTAACCGGTTTTCTACCTCTGATGTAATTAACATCCCCAAAGTCCTCTTCATATTCAACTTGCCTTTGTATTTTTCAGTTTCAACCAATTGGATCTACCAGCGTATGAAACCTATGACAAACTTCGACATATGTTATCGCTTGCCATCAATGAATGTCAGGAAGGATTTGGACTTGCTTGATCACAGCGACATTTTTTTGTCGTTTTAGGGCCAATGCGCAATATAGCATTTTCTCTTTGATGCGTGATTCATCTTGTAATGTTATGCTAAATTTTATAGGTGCATACTACAATATGATTTATAAATAATAGTACAGTTTTTGCCTGAATCTATTTTTGTTCCATGTTTCTACTTAGTCCTAAAGTTTCCTTAAATGTTCAGACATAACTGTGAGTGATTGAAAATCTTTCTCTCTCATTACCATACGTCCATTTTAAAATTTTTTGAAGTTCAACTCAAATGTTTCTGATAGAAAGTATGAAGAGCGATTACTTTCTATGACTTACAACTTGCCCACCCAAACCTTTTTTTGATGCTTGCCAGGGTTGTCCAAAACGAATCGAATATTCGAATGTATTCGAATATCAAAGTATTCGAATACCTTTTCGGCTGATTTTCGAATAATTCCGAATAGTAGTCACTTTTCGCCGTAAACGTGGTGTTTCGTTTTACGGGAATCTTTAAACGACTTGTTACGCTGTCTCACGTAATGACGATGAAATAGAATCGGCACTTTGATTGTTTATATTCTTTGCGACAGCACGTCGCATAGTGTTGCGACACATTTATACGTGGACATTGCCGACATTCGTGTACGAGGCTTTTAATTTACAAATTCATTTCCATTACGTCGAAAAATTGAGAAAGTATGTTTATTTTATTTCTATGTGGCCTAATTATTATTCGCATGAGTCTTCTCAAGCATGATTTGTGTAACCTTATATTTGGGTCTTAGGGTCTACCAATCATGATATTTATTCGCAGGCCGGTTATCGTTACTTTAAAGAGAAACACGGCCACCGAGATAAAGTGATTTTGTGACCCTTTCGTTTTGCTGATTCAGCAAAACACGACAGGGACAGGAAAACACAGCTGTGAAATAACCCGTGGACGTACAGTGTAGTACTTATCATCACATTCCAAAATTATTTCAACATTCGGGTTAATAGGTTGTCCAAAATGATTGTCGCTTTACAACTTAAATTTACCGCTCAATTGTTAAAAATAGTTAATTCTGTGAGTATGATTCTACCAAACTAACATGATCTGGTTCTGAACATATAAAATTATTAGCGAATTTTTCGACCCGTCTTATTGGAGGCCTATATGGAAAAACCCCTTTTTTGAGTGCTAAAAATAGACATCGTCCTATTTGCCATGTGGACTTATTAGCCGGGAAATACGGTATTTATAGCCGACATTGTTACGATATCCAATAAATTGTCACAAGTTGGAAAAACAAGTCGATTTATTAGAAAATAATTTCTGGCAAATAATTCTGATAACGATAGTTAAAAGTATTCATCCTTTACCAGGATTATTTTTTGTTGCGCAAAATAATCCAATCCATGACTGGTACCAGCATTTAAAATGTCATGCCGTATTAATTTAATTCTGTTCAACGTAACTCATGGTTGTATCGACAATCTGTGGACATAAAATGTGTAGTTAACTGACCGATATTATTAAATATTGATTCCTATTTTTATATTGATAAAATAATGAAAGTATTTAATGCCAAATACAACGTGTATTTGTGGACATGAAATACGCGGTAAACTGCCCAATTATAATTAATTTCGGATTCGTGTTTACAAAATAATAAAACTAATAATTTTAAAATGCAATGGCGATTTGTGGCCTTCAAATATGTGGTAAACAGCCCGATTTACCAACATTTGAGTTATGATAATAGAATTAAATTAACACGGTAAGGCATTTTAAGTAGTGGTATCGGTCATGGATTCGAATATTTTGCGCAGCACGAAATCATCCTAGTAAAAAGTCCATACTTTCAAATACGAACCAATGGGAACCATTATCCAAATTAGTTCCCAAGAGCGGGATAAAATATAAACTTGTGACAATTTTTCGTGAGTACTAAAATAAGAATCAAAACTAATTATATTCGGCACAATATCACGACAATCTGTGGACATAAATTGTGTGGCAAACTCGCGATTAATATTAATTTTTGATTCCTATTTTCGTATTTACAAAATACAACGGCGATCTGTGGACTTACAATGTGTGGTAAACTACCCGATTATAAATAGTTTTTGATTCCTATTTTCATATTTATAAAATAATAAAAGTATTATTACTCAAACATACAACGGCGATCTGCGGACTTAAAATGTGTGGTAAAGTTCCCGAATATAATTAATTTTTGAGTCGTATTTTTGTACTCACGAAAAAATTGTCACAAGCCGGAAAAATACCTCATACTTTATCCCGCTTTTCGACAAATAATTTGGATAATGGTTGGTATTTAAAAGTATGGGCGTTTTACTAGGATGATTTTGTGTTGCGCAAATATTCAAATCCATCGTCGATACCACTATTGTCGTATTAATTTAATTCTGTTAACATGACTCATGGTATATAAAATATATACTGCAATAATCTGCAAATATGAAATGCCTGGTAATACAGCTAGGTTGTAACTTGTAGATAGCAGTTATTCCATTGCTTATTGTATGGAAATTCCTACATACATTTAGATAAGCTTCAATTAGTGGATTTTATTTTCGAAGTATTCGAAATTTCATATTCGAAAAAAATAATTTCGAATGTATTCGAAATAGTGAACTATTCGGTATTGGCCATCCCTGCATCTGTATTATTGTGCTACAAATATAAATGCTTACCTGAAGCAGTTGACGTATCCACTGCATTATCAAACGGAACCACCTGACTCAAAACTTGTTTTTCTGGTTTGCTGTTCTGTGTCTTGAGCAAGTTTATATAACTGATTGAAAATTTTAAAGTAAGGCTCGTATTGGCATGATTTCATGTGAATACTTCATCTATTCGAAGCCCATCCCTACCATTAAAGTAGATATATTGTGTGATTTTTGTAAACTTTGAAAAAAATTCAAAGACAAACGACTACGACACATCAGCATGTATATGGTGATATCAAATAATATAGGTATTTAGTCGTTGTGTGTTCCAATTTTTTGCCTTGGCAGACTTTTGATAAATTTATAGAAATTAAGTTCAAATGTGTGATCAACAAAGCATGATGGCATATGTGTGACATGATGTTGTATAAATCTTTTTTTCTTATTTGCTGTGTTAATGACGTTTATTTGCGCGTTTTCTGGGATAAATAAATTGAATGAATTAAAGCGTGCTTGTATTTGGTTTATGGATGGTCTGCAGATAGTGATCTTCCGTAAAGTATTGGGGAAAATATCGTCTCAGTGTTAACAGACTTAGATATCGTGTATTTGCTGCGGTTGTCCATAGTTGACTTTGCAATTCTGGCTGTGGTTTAACGACCGTTTGCTTGCGTCGCTAGAAGGCTAATCCCATTACAGAGTGGTATCTTTACTTCGGGGTAGAGAAAGTCTATTTTTTGGCAAAAATAGTGTCGATTAAACATGAGTATCATCTTTATTATAATCAGGCAAAGGTAGCCGTAGTCTCTCTCATGGCTAGCGGATACACTTGTTCCATGTAATTCCACGTGCACAGGGCTGGAGCGTACACTCTGCTCGTAAACAGTGATACAATAAGAGTTTTTATACACAGAATGCTTATCTCGGTAACTGTGAACCATTGATTTGGGTTAATTATTACATAAATTTGATTGGTTAATATGGGCTTTGCTGTGAACGTGTTTAGTACGACACTAGGCGGATTAGGCCCCTTGAACTGATGCTTCCAGATTGGGCAGCAAAATTAAGCCATGTCACCCTTCGTAAGAAATAAATATTTCCCAAATATAAGCAAGATTACACAAGTTTATATAAGTTCACTCCTAAACGTATACACGGAGTTGACTCGGTTTTGAGTTAGAATCACGGCGATTAGTTGGACTTCCACCAAGCAAATATTTGAGCTTGTATCTCCTGACCAGAAGCTCTAGCACTTTATGGCTCTTTTGCATTCTGTTATTCATTTTTAGTGAAAAGATTGCAGCGTTAATGGCTCCACGCCGAACTGAAGAAAATCTTTTGTCTTTCGTGACGACAGGTGTATCCGAACGTTTTTTCCTGGGATTTCGTATGCGAAAATCTAATGTTGAAGCAATGTAGAAACCTTCTTCGTCGTCTGTTTTAAGGCTTGGGTTAATTTTTCCCTTTTCATTATTACTTATTGTCGCAATTTTTACAGTTTTTTCTTTTTGAGTAATTTTCTTCTCAGTAATTTTCTTTTCTTCTCCACAGTTTTTCATATTATTGCTCGAAACTGTGCCCAATTCTTCGTTTTCCAACTGGTTTTTAGGCCTGCCTATCATATTTTTGCCAAATCGAAATACGTAACACACGATGCGGTGCATATTTGGTATCAAATTCATCGGCGGAGGCCTGATCACTTCTCGACGAAAGAACCGGATCCAAACGGACGTTCTATGGAACTTCCATTCCATATCTTCATTTTCGCTAGTGACGGTATAAGAATTGTTCAACATGGCTATCAACATATTCATCATAACAATGACGGCAGCTCCATAGTAAAGTCCTAACATTAAAAACCCTATAATAAAACGAAAAAGAGTATTAAAGGAAAGAGAACAGAATTGGCAAGGGTTACCGATTAAGGTTCGGACAATCTCATTTCTGCGTTTTCCGATGCTTTTCTCGGCTGCAAATAGAATGAAGATGTTGTGAATGAATAGAATGAAAACTTTTCATTCCTTTTTTCACAGCGTTTGAATTATAACTTAGGGTCTCAATCGCCATTTAAATGGCCTGTTGTAGCTTATAGAGGGCCATTGGGATGACACACAAGCAACAGTTTGACGTTAGGGAAGCTACACAAAATGCGTTTTGTCAATTAGTCACATAGGCTTTTTATTCTATTCGGATCAAGTGTATTGAGCTAAAAAAAACTCTTGGATATATTCACATTTAAAATAACTACAAAACAAAGAGAAATATATATAAAATATTACTCGCCTAACTGTTCTGTAAACTTATGATTTCCGTTGAGAGCCAGATTATCTGGCTCGAAATATCCAAACAAAGCCCAAAATAAACTTCTCAATGCATATAGAATGGTGCTAAAGGATTTGCCTTTCAAACTGGTACAATCCGCCGTTGTGGTGGAAGACGAAGTTGTTGTGTTAACTGGAAGTGTAAAGATGCTACATTAAACTGAGATGAACTAATCCATTTAAAACATCTTAATTTTTCATATATATTCAAATTTCCCTCTTCAACATATTGTTACCTCCAAGGTCCCAGAGCTGAATTTTCATATTGTGCATAAGAATATGAGGAATAGGCATAGCCGCATGTGGTAAATCAAATAAATTATTAAACTAAGAACTATCTTTTTTTATTCATGGTATGTGCAAAAATTCATATTTTGCTTTATGAATTTTTAAACCCCAGTCAAACGCACATCCAGTCATTTCAAATTAGACCTTTAAATATAAACTAAAACAGTTAATAACTAATTTATACCGTATGAAATTGGGGGAGACTCGTTGGAAAAAAAAAAAACTTTTCGTCGAGTCCTAAGGCTAAATCAAACCTAGTCTGATCTTTACTCTTTTCTGTCCAATGCAACTTAATATCTCAGTATATCTTTATCTTTTGGTGCTATTTATGACAGATTTGTCTTAGTAAAACAGACCTCTGAACGAGTTATATTCTAATTCTTGAACTGGAACAACAGCATTACAGTCACTGATTTGAAACGTTATCACTATAGGTGTACAGATACCTGGCGGAACTCTCTTGTGTGAGCAGTAAATGCGTGTGCCCTCTTTCGTACCATAATACCAGTATAAGTGATTGAGACCGAATGCAAATCCACACATCATGAGAAGAAAAATGTATAGAAATCGCATTACATCATACATCATTCGTCCCAGTGATACCTGAAGTGGGCCTGAGAAATGAGGATCATAAATAAGCAATAAATGGACTATACGATTTCAGGGTTTTCAATCAAGTTATTCACATATTATGCACAACCATATAAATCAAGAAAAACTTGTTCGTGCGTTGTATTCCTACCGACTAGCTAGTTGTGTATAAGTTTATGTCGCTCGTATTAAGGGCTTGTGTTAAAGCTGTTGAAGTGTGATTTCTATTTTAAGTATATATGTTATGCAGTATATATTTGAGTTAATGGCAATGTCACGGTAACCATTTCATATTATATATATTACGAAATGTTCTGGAAATTTCATGTTGGCGAATGTTTTCCGCTATAAGGAACTTACCTAAGCTTTGATTTACTCTGAGCAGACCAAGAAGACGGACAAATGCAAATAAGTAAGCACATGATTGTAAACCATCAGCTACAAGCCTCGGCTCATACGAACTCCATTTCACTCTATGTAGGGTTCTGCTTGCATTTTGGTTTTGCAAAATGTCGACGCACCTTAAACAATACGTCACATGTTAGGCTAAGGCCTCGTCAACGTTAATAGAGAGCAACTGAATTCTAAAAAAATGAAAATTTGTAAAACATGTCCCGCATGTTCAAAAAAATTTAATTTGGTCCCAAATAACAATTCAAAGGCAAAATTCATGTTGAACAAATGCTAGGCCTTTTCCTAATACCAGAACGTGAGCATTTTTATACTCGTACTACGTTGGTAATAAAACATGAAGACGTGATTAGCTAAAAGGACTTACCGTATCTATTTCGGTACTTCTAAAATATGCGTACCCAGCTGACGGAGACCGGAACGTAGTATATGTGTGTACCAGGTCATAATTTTAAGTACAAATACTACGGGAGTCACTTTGCTAGTCCAAACTCGTAATAGAACTGATATGGGAATAAAATTATGGCCTAACCATAAACTGGTACACATACTACGTTCCGGTGTCCGCGATCTTAATACGCATACTTCAAGAGCACTTCATTTTCTTCCAACCCAGAGTTCAAAAAATGCTATGATCCCCTCATACGTATCTACATATTTATTCAGTCTATAAATAATTTCTAGACCAGTTATTTTGCAGGAAAATGACCAATTGTACCCTGCTTTTGCATCCCCATAAATAAAAACCTAAGTAAACAACCTTAGAGCGATGCTAGCTGTTGAGAATGTTAGGAATATGAGATCTACATAGTTCCAGTTGTCACTGAAGTAACTTCGCGGTCCTCTCTTCTCACATTCCTGAATTTCTTGCACCCATTTCCCAAGAATCCAGACGAAAATTAACCATTCAACTGTTGTAGGTAACGCACCTGAAATGAACGAAATATGTTATAAAAATTCAATCGCATTATTTCGTCAGATGCGAAATTAGCAAATTCAATGATTCATTTCACAAGAATATGTAACACTTTTCACTTATTTGTAACAACCTTGTAAATATAAAAAAAAAATGGAAAAGTTACCCAAAACGTCGTTTTCCACCGTATGTGATATGATGTTGAAAAACAAGAGTACGCAAAATACTATATCCGACATCAGGTGACAGAAGAATAAAACAGTGGGAAGCTTTATTAAACCTGAAATAAAATTTGTTTATGCGATTGTTATAAAAAAATATGACATGAAAAGTGTAATACAAAGTGATATGCAATTGGGTACAGTTACGGAAAAGTAAGCTATAAAATTCTGTACTTTACTTACTCCCAAGCTTGCTGTTTGGAGCAAAGATGTAAAATATTGATAGAATGGGAAACATAAGTCCGATCAATACTGAAATCAATGAACGAGAGTACCATCCTTTTTTCCTGAGGAATGGAGTTCCTCTATTGCGAATGTAAGCCATTGCAAGCTAAATTAAACGAAAAATCACGATTATATCTTTTTTAAATTACCCCAAGAATAGATCTGAAAATGCCACTAAACTTTTGTGTCCAAGCAAAACTGTAAAGTGTTCGAGGTGTATCAGTACAAGCATAAAGTTTGACAAAGGCTGTACTAATTCAGAGAGGATTAACTAATGTGTACGTACGACATAATATTAACTTTCAAATATGTTTCAAACTTCCCTATAGTAGTCAAAAACAATTTAGCCTATATATAATTGAATTCGCAATACCCATTTTGGCTTGTGCCATTTGTCGTTACGAACTGTTTGTGCACATGTTTGCATGACGCTAATTCACTTTTTGTATTAAAAAAAAAACTCTACAACCTGCGGCTGTCGATGTGTCACGAATCTAGAAAGATTTTCATCGCTGGCACTTTCCAATAATTTGAATCTGTTTCCAAGTTGACAGCGATTTTTTGATTCTTTCAGGAAGGATCGAAAATCCGATTTTTCTGATGTCATAGGCTCGTAATCGTAATGGAAAAAATCTGCAAGTTCTTGTGACGAACAGATCTTAAATAAATATATTTATTTAAATATTCACCAATTCATTGACACTTGTACGACTAACATTATATTTATATATATGCTTTATTATCAAACTTTTCTCCCATATTGAATACTTAGTAATTAGTTGGATTAAAAGGACCGATTTGGTTCGAAGACAAAAATCTTGAATCCTATAGGCTCCTCATTGACATCGTATTTTTACATTAATGTGAAAAAAGGGATAATCGTTAAATTTACAACTTGACAAAAACTTATAATTTACCTCGTCAAGTAGTGAACACATGTAATCTTCTAAATTGTCTGTCAACCCTTTATAAAACGCGTATTCGTGATATTTTTGTGCGTATATCTTGTTTGATTGAATTTCCCCGAGGCAATAAGTTATTGGGTTTTTACGACCAAGCTATAAAATGAACAGTTTATTAAGATTAGATTATTGTATTGCCCGATAGGGCTGTGTAGCTTGAGAAAAGTAGAATATAACTTCGACTCATTTTTAGTCAAAAATCACAATTCTCGACTCGGGAGAAGTTTCAATACAACTTCTAATATATAGAAATTTCAGTCTCCGACCCCACAGTGCATGAAATGCACGCACGTTGTGGGACTATGTCTATATATAAATATATTAATATATAAATTCAATAAGTTATCATAAACACAACATTACATGTTTTTTATAGAATTTGTTGAAAACAAATTATTTTATAAACGTCTTACCTCTGACATCAAGGTGATGAACGCGGGACAAGCCCTTGCTTTTGAAATCATTCGTCTCTCATTGCAAGCTTCCCATGCTTCTTCATATCCGTCTCCCCAATCACATATCGTCTAATCAAACGAGAAAGCATAATTGAGGGAAGGGAAGAGAGTATAGATCACAGACCCACAAACCATTTCCTCTGTGAGATACTTATCCAACGCTTCTGAATTGCCTTATATATGCGCGCTATATTCATTGAATTGAAACCAATAGGCTATGTAGATTCTAGATTGTAGATGAATATTAACCAATTATTAGCTGCTACATGATATGTCAAAATATTTCACGGAATAAAAATGAAAACAAAGAGTCGCGAATAGCGGGAGGCTGAAATTTAGATTTATAAACGCCTGGTTTTGTCTCCACAAACAAGTGATAAAATAAAAATTGGAATGAGCTATTCTGTAATTCATAACTGCAAGAAATGTCATGAGGTTGCGTCCTAAAAAATTCATTTTTGCATTTTCTGTCTGTTTTGATAGTCTTTAAAAATTGGCGTGCCACTTCCCGATCCTATTTGTTTACTTTAATTTTGTGAATATTTCCAATTGTATCACCCCAATTTTTTGATAACGTCCAGGTGTCACGAGCATTTTCAAATGCGTACCCAGCCGTCTTTGCCAGTCCCTAATCTGGCAACATTAATTTTTTCTCTTTGTTTTTGTGAATTTGGCGGCGCGCCTCCCGTTGGTGAGTTTTGAACAATTTGCTTGCGAGTCTCAATGTTCTCCATGTTTTTTTTTGATAGCTCTTTTTAGTTAGAGTGAGGATTATCAAATAGAATAAATTGTTAGTTTTGTCGGAATAAACTGTGCCATTAACTTCCGCCGCTGCAATGAAGTCAGTCTCTGCGGCAAGGGCTGGATTATCAGTCTGCGTTGGAATTGGCTTCTCAGGTATTTCTGGTATTACCAGCACATCATATTCATATCACACCACATCACTCCATAGTCTTCGCCGGTCAAGAAAGCCAGTTTTTACATACTCACTCATCAACTAACTAAATAACTTGTATATATACGGTACTACCAATTGCAAAAAATGAAAACTTACGCTTAGTCTATGGTCTCGCTCATATAAAAGTGACAAAATTTCATAATTGTTGTTGTAAGCTGCCAAAAGCATTGGCGTCATTCCAATGTGAAAGTAATGGTTTTCTCCGGATATTTTTGCATTTGTACCTGAATCACAATCCAATATCGCCTTCACACCGTCAACAAAATCACTTTCTATTGCATGAAATATAGCTTCACCAATGTTTACCTTAACATGAACATGTTGCCTTGAATAAACGAGAGCAGTTCCCAAAAATATGGACACGAAAGTCAAATAGCTTAACTTCGAAGGAAATCACCCTATTTTGTCGCCGCTCTTTCTGATGCCCTCATTTCGCTGACAAATATATGTTGTTTAATATTTATATTCAAATATTGGAACAATCTTGGAATCAGAGAAGTGTGTGGTATTTCGGTAAAACATTCATCTGGTTCATGCGGCATTAAATTCACTCATATTCATTTGGTAATTATCATTGTTGTGCTTCCCGCAGAAATTGAAATAAGTTAAATATGCCGCATTCTAGTCAAGAAATACCGACTTGGAATTAAGAGGTGAAATTGGTTGAATTTTCTAAACCTTAAGGCTGACAGACATAAAGCATAAACATTTGTACCCGCAACTGGCAAGCACTGAGTTTCCGGAACAAAACCATGGACAAGCTTGACAGAAAAAAATTCGACGGAAAAGTAATAAATTAGTTTACAACATTAGTTTCACACCCGTGTCTAATGAGTAGGAAATTCACCCACCTGCTTTTTCAGTAAAATATTGATCATCATCAAGTTTCTGTTTTCAATTGAAATGATCAAAGCTGATTTCTCGCGTTCATCTACACAATTTTTATCGAAGCTAACAGTTTTATCCATCTTTGCTAACGTAAATATAGTTTCTACTTCTTTCTGCATCTCATGTTTAACGCAGCAAAGGTAGAACGCGTCTATAGACTCATCACTGGAATAGCAAAAGAGTACAAGAATCACTTAAAGATTTTTTTCATATTGGAAACAAAGTAGGGCGAGCCTAAAAATATGGTCACAGGTACTCCTGGCAACCATAAGACGTCAATAAAAATCACTAGATAAATTTAAACTCGAATAACTTGGGCTCATTCTGTGTCGTGATTTCGTAGTAAAGACAATGTTTGTATATATTCGACATGCAGTATAAAATCACAGTCACTTAGCCATAAAACCACTCATCCACGCATACAGGAAGCCATCATACGTAATGGATGTTTCTCCGATTCTTGACCCCAAAATGCTACATGTACTTTGCAAAGGATGGTATGCTTATTTTAAAAGTTTTTTTTTGCGAAACGGCTCTTACAAACTGGTTTACGACGAAACTTAAACTCCTTTTATTTTTGGTACTCCCGTGGTATGTGCAACAAGATGGCGGACACCGGAACGTAGTATGTGTATCAGGTTAGGGTTAGGCTTTGATTTCAGGTACAAATACTATGGGAGTCACTTGGCTAGTTCTCGAACTCGTAATAGATCTGAAATAAGAACAATTGGAATAAAATTATGGCCTAACCTGGTACCGGTACACATACTATATTCAGGCGTCCGCCATCTTGTTGCACATACTACGGGAGCGCCGATTTATCTACATTCGTTTTACGTTTATTTTAGTATTAATACTGAAACATACTCTGACAGATCATGTAGACATCTTCGAACATTGTAGCCCGCCGTTATAGTTTCGATCTGCGTCTTATCAAGCCCATATCTCCGTTTCTTCCTTTGACGATATTCCCACAGAGTGGCTGGAGTCCACGACAATGCTGAACCAAAAGCATTTTTCTATCAAACGTTTTTAATTGACGTTGACATAAATTACTAACTTTAGATAAAGGCGTGGTTTTGCGTAGTTCGTTTTTATGCGGGGCAAAACTACACTCAAACTTACCCGGTTTCGAAACCTTTCTCAAATGGAATTTGGCATCCTTCAGTGCGCGTGGAGTTACCACTTCTGTGAGACCTGGTGTATCACTCACATTCATGCCACCATACACTCGATTATTGTACATCTTCTTGACGTAAATTATAAATAAAATACAATATATAAGAAAATTATTTACGAACATTAATATAGTATACAGGTGTTCAAACATCCTATGTAGCCCCACAGCACTGATATTGTAGCATTTCCCATAATCGATGCAACCCTCAAGATCGGAATGCAAGCAGTGATTGGTAGTCTAATTATTGATTACAGTTCAACGCAAACCACATCACAATTTTCACAACAATATGTCGGCTACAAAGAAATACAGCAATTTTCCGTTCCGTATAATTTGAGCATTCTTCTCTTATGGGATACTTCATCTAGGCAACTGCAGAAAATATTTACCTACCTCCGAAATTTGCGTTTGCGCAAAAAATTGCATTTCATTGTTATATAATACTCATTGAATCAACACAAACCAATGAAATGTATCTTCTATATATATACAAACAAATATAAAGTTCTGAGATTTGTTTCTAAACCACGCGAAATGACATCATTCGGTTTACATTACAATGTTATTAATATACCGATACAGCAACTTATGCCATAGCCTACGAAAAACGTTCCTCTAATTCCTGATCACCGATTTACGTTAAATATTACCACCATTTGAAACTACCTTGCCATCTGATCGAGTTGTGTCTCGAATTTTAAAATTGAATATGTTTTCATCGGAATCCGAAGATGTAGAATATTTCTTTGGCGAAACTGAAATAATGTGAATAAAATATTTTTAAATTTGGAGTATTCTTGTAAATGATTTAAGTTTGGAAATATGGCGTATAACTTTGACTTTGATCAAGTTATTATATTTAATCAATAGTTTTGTAGTATGAATTGGTATTTTGTGAAATGGTATGTAGTAAAAATCGAATGTATACCGACACCCTCCATGCCCCAAATATTCATTAGTACAGTATAGTCATAATTGTGGAGTTCACGTAAGATTTTTTTTGTTGCTTTTGAAGTATATATCTACATTTTTATGTTTAGTTTGGATACTACTCAGTCAAACGACCGAGTTCAGCTATACCACCGACTTGTTTTGATTATTCGCTGATTTTGAAAACTTACTTGTGTATTTTTGTATTGTCCTTGGTGAATTTCTAAAATCAAACCTTTTGTTATCAATTAGCTTGCTGGTTCTGTTTGTTCTTCTGATTCTCTCATTCACTGATTTTCGTTCGAATATATTGAAGCTTTGACTTCGACTCGGAATGTCACGACAACGGAGGCGCATTTTTGGTTGATTGAATTTATTTGGAGACTCATCCCACCCCCTTTCGGCATCATCCAAATACAATGGATTTAAATAGAACGGAACTTTTGCTTTATGCTTCTCCGGACGGTTTGGTTGGTTTTGAAACGACATATTTATTTCGCAAATATTAGTCTGGAAAGTTTCAGTTTCAAGCTTTTATCAATTATAACACTGAACAAAAATTCGGACATTCATTGTTTTTTGCCTAACCAAATAAGAAGTTATTTAACGGAGAGTGGTGATCGCTTAAACAGATACATTTTCAGTTGAATCGATGATATACTTATCCGTGATCGATTGTATAAACATATCTTACTTCATAAATGTATAAATTTGCATTGTACAAACAAACACAAGTACAGCTTTGTTTCTGAGTAATACATATTATAGATGATATCCGGAATTAACTAATATCCGGGAATAAAGTATCGATGTATAGTTGTTTCAAATTTTATTGAACTGTTGAAATGTGTGTGCGTGAAAATCTAACAACTTCGTCACCGCAAGATAAAAATAAACTTGAGGGCGGGGTTTAAAAAAATAATGAGAATTTACTGATGGTTTTACTACTAACTTTTCCAATGTATCACCATCCGTTGGCAGTAGTGTTATTGCATTTACACGATTATATAAGTCAAGTAGTCCGTGATTTGTATTACAATTACAGCGAATCGCAAATAATAGTAGGCTACACCTCAAATGTAACCTCTACTCACTAGCTTGTATCCACTATCAATCAGCCCATATTCTCATTGATCAACATTATCCTATTCACTACCATTTACAAAAGATTGGACTTGCTGATGTAAAATCTCGAAAAAATTTCTAGTTATGACTAGTACTATGTTATTGGGATACTAAAAGTAAGGAAAAGAACAAATGACGCGGGTAACCCTCAATTTTTTTTTTAAATATTTGCCAAATAATACCGGAAAACAAGCAATAATTCACGGTTGTGTCACAGTGAATATACGTCAACGGAACTGACATGTAGAGAATGAAGTAATATCATGATAGGACGTGGAATTGTGGAATGATAATTTTTTAGTCTCACTAGAAGACAAGAATAATTGATAGGTATAGTTATTATTCAGTGGGCTTGAATTCAGTACAGTATTATCTTTCATCATGCTTGTTGTCGAATAAATTATCCACGCTGTTACGCCTAATCGCATTTTCAGCATCCCATTCTATCACATCATCTCTGTTTCATTTCAAGATATTTATTCAACTAAATTCAATGTTTCATTGTTTTCTATAACAACCATAGATAAATGTGGCAGGATGTTTCACGCATTAACTATCCCAAAATTGTTTACACGTTTATATCTGCGGTATATAAATTTTGTTATATCTGTTGGGATTTGATATATTTGTTGGGATTTTCAAGAAATTGGGCAACAGTAACAGAAATTTTTAACAACCAACAAATTTGTCTGCAACCACTCTACTGTCAAATTCCAATTCGACAATAATATTCGATGTATTACAAACGAGAGAAAAATAAAAACGGTTCAACCTCTTTTTTAATTTGCATCTGTTTGTACCAACGTTGCTATTTTCATAAGTGCTAGTTCGACTCAAAGTCGAACACACCTCAACATATAGTTTTTGAATGACATACAATATATCTATCTTAATATTTGACCAATTAGATGATTCTTGGACCTATATAGAATGCTTTTATTCGTCGCATCCTCTTTCCAGGGCAGAATCCATAGATATAATTTGGCGCTTGGGTTGATTCAGTTTAAAAAATTACTTCAATTTTAACAGAGCTAATAAAAAATCAATACTGAAAAACCAAAAAGTTTAATGTACTAAAATACCGAAAAATATTGTGCCTATTTATACCCAAACCTGGCAACCTCAAGTCCGTACGCTATTACGCTTCCTGAATTATTCAAAAGATGTTAGGACGAAACTTAATCTTTTCTACTGTACACGTCGCTGACAAGAATTCGTGCGTTTGCTGTAAAATATCCCGTCTTCAGTTCAGTTTACCCAGTGTTTTGTAGGCTTTAATTATTACCCAGTTAAATAGAGTATAATTAGAATAAACGGCCAATCAAATTTTATGAGCAATAAGAACAGCTTGCTAGTTAGTTATGGAAATGTAAGTGATATCGGCTGAAGAATATCCGACAAACTATGCTCAAATACTGTCGGGATGAAATAAAGTTTTAACTAGTTCAAAATGCATCCATATCTAAAGCGAACTGTTCTGTGTATCAGACTCAACCAATGCAGGGTAATAAATCTGAGCAATAAAGATAGAGAAATGTTGACTGTACACATATCGTCACGCTAATAACCGAATTGCGTAAGTCATTTTTAGCAGTTTTGAAAAAAACTTCCTAATGATATTGCTATGCCATTGAGAGTCAATAATTTGCCATAGTTCAATTTTTTGATCGTTGCCGAATTTAAGTTAATTTGTATGACGCAGTCATGTGACGTCATTATGGCGCAGAAATGTGTCTATGACTAGGGGACATACGCAATTTTGCACTTGACTGTATGTACCAGTCCCGGAAACTAAACAATCCAAAAACGAATGTAATTCTTAGTATATACGATGTCTAATCCCCAAAATAGCTAGTCTGTTTCAATTACATTATTTTTTATGTTTAAAAATATATATTTTATCAATATAACACGCTCTGCACATCCACCGAAATAAGACTAAAGTTAAATATAAAGAATAAAACAGCAATGTACCTTTATATAAAAGCCAACCAAGGTGAATTCGACTCAGACAGTGATTATCACAAGTGCACGCCTTCCTATACTGTAGTATAAATTGAAATTTATAAGCGCTAAGCTAGAATCTGAGATGCAAAAACTCAAAAATCCTTCGCCGAGGTTATTTTGCCTTTGTGACGTCACAATAGTCCTGATATAACGATGATAATTTATTATGACGAAACAATTGAAAAATTTGCATATAATACAAAATCTCTATTTTTATGGGTTCCGGAATTCTTAAAATAAAATCTGAGTTAACAGGCAGATGCGCAGCATTACATAAATACCTATTTTATGAAAAACTCAAAAGCGCCAAAAAAGACTTACGCAATTCGGTTATTAGCGTGACGATATGTCGATAAATGGAAAGGTCGTTCAAATATAGCTTCATTGAGGCTTTAAAGCAGGGTGGTTCAAGATTGTCGGCTCCGCGGGCCACAAAATTATTTTTGCATTGTTCGCGGGCCACAATAATGCCAAGAATAGGTAAACAGTGCAATACAAAACGAACACTTTTATTGTGCAAACATAATTATCAGGCATAGCCATTCTAGGCTAATAGAATCCGCATTCAATATTTAGTTTTATCTGATTCCTATATTGTTAGCATATATTCCCGACCAAAAAGTTATATAGCCAGTTAACAATTCAGACTGCCAAGCACATCATTCAAATTTCAATTTCGCTAGTTGCCTCAGCTAGCCTTAACTTTATTTAATTCAGGGACATTAGTGATGACAGTATGTCAAAAGATTTTTCTGAATAATTTTATGACGAAACAACACGAAATGCGATTTTTTGATTACTCTCCGAATGTGACGCGGGCCACAGATAATGAAGCGACGGGCCACATGTGGCCCGCAGGCCTGGGTTTGGACCACCCTGCTTTAAGAGTATATGGTTGAAATGGGGTAGTGAGGACAATTTATAAAGAAAGGGCACATGCAAGGCAAAAAATAAATGGATTAAAACTGCCTGATATTCAATTGACTGGCTTAAGTCTTTTTACATATTTTTATGATATTTTCTTGTCGGTATCAATAAATTTTGGTGATTTGCCCCGTTGAATCACGCATATCGGTTTTGTGTGTTTTCTATATAAAATAGTATTCTTGTTTTAAATAGAACTCAAATTAGCTTTTCCATCATTATTAAATTTAATAGACTTCAAAGATCATTTTTACCTGTATTAGGTTTGTCTTTGTATATATTTATATAATTCAGACAATAACAGGCAATTGAACTATCTCACAAGGTTCTCTCGATGCTCTGGAATGCTACATGAATGCTCAACAAAAAAACAACGTTTATTTAAATAGATTGATTGGGTCATATACAGATGAGACCTATTGAATACTAAAAAGTCTATGACCAATGCGAAATCAAACCGACGTTCAAGTTATCAACAGATACATTTGCTAATGCAACCATACCATCACGAAAATAGTGTTTCGTTTCAAATATATATAAATGTATAAAAACATATCAGATTCCGTCGCCAATAGTCAACCCAAAAAAGATAAAGTTATTATTAAAGGTAAGTATGTGTGAGACGATGGGATAGTGATTTTAGCTTCTAATACATAAATGGTGAAAGATAAAAATGGTAGAAAAGAATTTCATCGACAGCTGTCATACCATGAAATTACATATTCCGCCTATCGATGACTTTTGTATAAATCATTACGTTGGTTTAGTTATAGCTATGCAGGCTTACCAAAATGTATTTCTCAGCCTGGCATAACGAATTTTACAAGATGAAACAGGATGTTATTTTGAATGATGATCGTGTTTGTAATTTTATATTTTGAAATATACAAAAGCAAGTTTTCTATCCTGTTTAATTTGCTAAATATGTGGAAATTATTTTACAGCTCACCCGCCAAATAGTAATGTGACAAAGCGACCAACAATAGGAAAAAAATTGACCGGACGCTACCAGTTCCAGAAGGTGAGCCTCCCAGCAATGCGATCATTCGTGATGATGAAATTCTCGTTCACAATATAAATTTTGAGAAGGTTGAGGAAAATTCTGATATAAAAGAAAGAAAACAAAACATTGACACAAAACTTGAAAAAGAAACGGATAAATCTGTGAACAGTAGTATTGAAAATCCAACAGAATGTAACGGTGAAAATAATCACCAGGATAAAACTGATTCAAATTCCAATTTACCTCCACAGACGAAAATGAAGAAGATTGAAAATATGAATGCAAACAAGATTGATTCCAAGAAAAAGAGCATGGACGATGAGAAGACCACGTCCATAAATGGCGATAAGAAAAAATGCAAAGTCACACATAAAATTAGCGAAGAGAAAAATCGCAGCGAATCTCGCAAAACTGAAGAGGGTATTGTCGTCAATGTCAGCGACGACGCCGAACGAAAGAGGAGAATGATTGGGTTGCACCACAAACATTCACAAACTTCTTTCACTGATTTAGTAAAACTTGAAACCGAGAATAAATGTTGTAAAGCAGAATGCACACGGACGGAATGCTGTGTATCTACTGCTAAACAATTTAATTCCAAGAAGACAAAGAAAAAGAGAAGGCGTAGAATTCCTATACGAGTCAAACGAAGAAAAAGCTTCGACATCGTTGTTAATCATATCGCAGATGACAAACATATAAAAAAGGATGAAATGAAACTGTTCATTGTTGGGGTGAGTGTGACAATAAAGTTTATAATGATAATAATTGAACCCACTGTGATGGCTCAATCACATTGAGAAACAATTGAACAAACAAAAAATCAACAAGAACGACAACATAATAACAAAACGATCCATTCGTGTCCAGTGAGAAAATAGTTCCGTCGAAAAATTCTTGTTAGCTAGTTGATCAGAATGGTTTGTCTAATTTGTAAACTCATTTATAAAGATTAGTGATATTATCAACAGGTTTCTAAAATTTACCCCGATTCATATTAAAATCGTAAAAACAGAATTAATTATTCTATTCCGATATCGTCCATTACTTTAAATTACAACTAAGAATTTCGTAGTAACCAATATTACAATTTAAGTTTTCAAAAATATGTTCGATATGTATATTTATTTGCTGTTCAAGTAAGGTGTATATACTGCTTGTTATCTCTTCAAAAATGGATTGAGGTTAAGGATTGAGGAAATTAATTTGAATTCTATATACCATTCAGAATCCATAATAAATATCAACAGCGATGTATGACTTACCGTTGGTGTAATTCATGGACAGAGAACTCGGCTAATATTGTGTAGATCGATAAGAATCACTATATATGTACTTAAAACTTAATACTTACCCTATTGCATAGTTATAATCTGGCTCGTGGCTGTTAAACATATCAGGCAGGACATAAAACTAAAAACAAGAAAGATGAAATTTGATGGTTAGAAGCCTCACGTCAGATTTTTTTTAATTCTGAAAGTATATAATACTGTCATATCCAACACATGGTGTTTCGAATGTGTGATAATATAATTCAATGTGTCCTTTATTTCAAATAGCTGGTATTTGCAGGTATTTCAAATTTGTGCGGGAGCAATTTCTATACCTCTGGGAATAGCAAACTTTTATATTCAAAGAGTGTCTGGAAAATACGACGTTCTTCCCAGTGGCATATGGTGTGGAATTATCGTAAGTACAGTAACGTATAACTAAACTGTGAACTGATGTTAAAATGACACTATATTGAGTTTAATGTGTATTTACGGTGTCAAGGTGGTTGTATTGGCGGTGTCGAATTAAGTTATTCTTAATTGAAGTCGATGCAAAACATCTGCCCCTGAAAGCTTAAGTGGAGCTGCTTTCATCTTAAAGTTGATATTTTACAATATTTTATTACATTTATTTTATCTGAAACCCCCTTAACAAGTGAATGATATATAGTATACCCACTACAAGATTTCGAACGAGTACAATGCATTTGTGTTTGGTCTTCTTAACTTTAAAACTCTAACTGATAACTGTTTTATGATTAATAAAGCAGTTCACTCAAATGATGATAACGAGTAACATAAAAATTTTCAAAATTGAATTTTCCGAATGAAATTGGACTTATGAGGCATATAAGTCACAAACGTTTTAGCATTCCACAAGAGACAAACAACCTTTTGATTTTTGGTTCAAAACATTCGAATGATGGCTCAAGAAAAATAAATTTACTCTAATTCCCAGGAGGTTGCTTTCATTGGTGACACATGACTTACAAAATGAACTTTGACTTTGTTGTGCTGCGAATGTAGAGAAAGTATTTGATTGCCAAGTGCAAAGATAATTCAATGGGTGTCTCGAAATTGACAAATCAAATTTGACTCGGTTTGAGTCAATATCAAAATTAAAATTGATAGGCCTAGGTGGCCGGTAATCTTCAGCATGAAGGCTTAAAATTGTTATCTTTTTTCAGTTCATACTAGCGGGAGCCCAAGCTATTATCACCAGTAGATATCCAAGTAAAATAAAGGTGAAGAATTTGCCTCAATTATGTATTTTATGCATCAGACAATTTACAAGAATACAACTGTTTTATATTTCTAGGCAATCATAGGACTGGTGTTGTCAATTTTATCATCTTTGAGTTCAGTGGTTGTTGAAATCTTAGAAATAATATCGGCAACCAAACATTCCGATTGTAACATAATAAGAAAGAATATTACTTCACAAGAAAATGCTCTTCTGTGTTTGGTAAGCATTAGATTAGATGAACTACTTGCACATAAATGACACAATAGCACTTTTATGCAATTAAAATTAGAAAATGCCATATGATTTATTTGGTACGTTCCAAAGACGCCCCTAGTGGCCAAGAACTTCATTCTAAGATGACAAAATAGTGCAGTCGTCTTGCCCCCAATCTTGGGGACAAACTTCGCTCTCTAACAAAAATATATTACATTGTGTAGTAACGCATATGCGGCCAGTTTACCAGAATTATTCAAAGTAATGCCAATTAGTCCCCCATTTTTGTAACTTTTCGATTTTTCCTTATTTAATACAGAAATCGGTTCTTGCGCTGCACGTCACATTATGTGGCGTTGTTTTCACTGAGATAGTAATATCTGGAATCCATACTTATTACGGTTTTCATCTCTCAAAGCATCATCAGGTAAGATGAATTGAATTTTTCAAAAAATTGAAAGTACTTTGCTAATAATGCTCTGTGCAGCAGTTACAGTGCTACGGATTTACCGAGGTTTAAATGGCAATAAACCTTCTTGTTCGGCATAGCCTACACAATCTGCTTCACGCTGTGTGGCGAATAACTTCAACACTTCACATCTTGCACTCATACAAAACGACTTGCTTGCGAAATTTCGTTTTAGTGAATCTTCTTTTGCATAACAGCTATTTCTAGATGAACTGCGTTCACATAAATCCCTCTCTCACGAGATTCTTACAAAATAGCTTGCAATTTTTTTCAATCACTTATGTTGCGAGCACATAAGTTTTTAATCGTATTCTTTGTCTGTCTCAGGTATCGAATGAAGTCACAGCAATGAAAATTATCGAAAAACGTGTACAGTGATGATCACCTATAAATATGCTAAAAACTGTTACAAACACTGACGAGAAATTGAAGATCCTTCTATGTTTTGCTTTCAAAATTTTCTGATAAATTAAGTGGAGATCGAGCTAATATAAATAAAAAGGGGGCAATGGGATAATATACATTAAAAAGCAAAAAAGAAAGCTCAAATTGATATGATTTCTAAAGTTATTTTTCAATGCAATATTTTGTAAACTAGACAAATAAATTGATCGAGATAGTGCGTTTGTTCGGGTGGTGGCATCGTTGCTGGTTGTGTAAAGGAAGTTTGCGTCCATGTCAAAATTCAAATGCAGAATAGCAGGAGTGAATATGTTGATGTGATCAGTTTATCCATCGTTGACCTGAAGTATCTAACAATGTCCAGAACTCGGACTTCAGATTGAAGAGGCGCACATTATTGGATTGTGTTTTTTTTATAAAGATTCACTTTAAAATAAATATTATACTACTTGTTGAAAAGGAGTTAATAATGAATATCAACATGATTTTTTATGTGCCCTTTTTCTGATATCTAGTTTCAATTCTGTGATACATGCTAGCTTATTGCTACCACGTTTGCTTCAAAAACTAAAGCAAACAGTTAAGATATTGCATTTCGTGAATAAAGAAGGCAAAAATTACAGACGTGTCATATACCGGTTTCCGCTCACTTTATTACAACGGATATTACATACTCTCACTTCAATTGTATTTTTGCAAAGGAAATGATAAATCTGAAGACGAAATATTATTCAATGTATATGTAAAAGCGGACTATCTTCCATTCTAGTCTGGGTGATCAGTATATATTTTTGTATTCACATTTACATATATAAAACATGCCATATCATGCTTGAAGTTTTGTGCCTGTTAAAAAACACGAAAATTCAGAGGCATTCAGTGGTTACTTTAACCATAATGCAACTAGAAATGAAACATATATATTCATAATATCATATCTAAACATGCATTTCTACAAGTATACGATGTATTGCTTTCCAGTCAACACGAAAACAAGGAATTCTACATGTTACTTGATATTAAATTACGCAAAAATCCCATATCATTTTACAATTGCAGAAGATAGCGCGAGATGAAAAAAATGAAAACAGAGGAAACGGGGTTATTGAGTTTATAATGTACAAGTCGCAATATATATATATATATATTGACAATTTTTATTCGTGGTATCGAGTAATTTGGTACTTCGGTCAGCTGACAACGAATTATGTCATTCATTGAATCAAATTCTGGTTGTAAATTAAATGGCTCACAGCAACCAATGTCACCTTGTATTGAAAATACCTGGGCTCAGATGCCTAGTTTTAACGGAAAACCCCTCTCAGAAGCAAGCGAAATGAGCACTGCAACATGCACAGATTCTTTGACTTGTGCCGGGGAGCGAACCTGTTCCAGATTAGGTGAGTAGCAACGCTAGAGTAAAGAATTTTTACCTCGCTTTTTTTCTGACTAGAGCTACCTAATCGGTTAGCACCCATGGTAATTTTATAAATGGTGTATGCCACTAAATTGGCGAAATATAATGCAAGTTTGGATTTACGGCGTCAATTTCGCATTGGCTGAGTGTACGTATTCGACCAGATCGTTTATCCATATTATTTTCTATGTATGTGCCTATCATGGTATCGCCATAAATTAATACTAAAAAATGCAATCCGTACGATATAAATATAATGATAAATTTCATTTATCGATGATAATACCTGTATATTTCTAATGTCAGAGCCTAATAATTTATTATTTATGTCTATGCCGTAGAAAAATCTATTTGTCAAATGGATAACAGTTTACAAAAAGCAGGACGTATGAACAACAGTTTGTTTATGGACCAGACATGGAATAACAACTTGCAAGATTGTGATAAAAAAGAACTGATATCTCTCGAGCAACTGCTAGACAAGAGAGATTGTGTTGATTCAACTTTCAGCCAGGTATCATGAAAGAAAATGCAAGACTGCAAGATATAGACAATGCTGTTTAAATTCATAATTGATCACGCGTTGGAATGGATTCGGTATCTAGTGCAACTATCGGAACAAATCTAAAATTCCAGTTCTAAAATAAGTTGAAAATAGTTCTACCTATATATATGCAATGTTTACAATAAAATAATTTGGTTGTAATCGTCCTCATCAGTGTAATGGATTTGGTTGTTAAAATCAATTCAAGACCTGAGCATGGCTTGTGAGATATTCCAACTAGAGTACCGCCCAGCTCGATTTCAAGTGGCATATGGTTATGATGCTGCTGTGTTACATCATTCTATGCATTTTTGTATTTTAAAATATTCGAATCGAGAAATTTTTTTAAACTCAGGTATCTAATTCTGCAACTGCAACCATTTTTGAGGCAACTTACAGTGAAGCATCCGAATTCCAAGATCAATCATCGAGGTTTGATAAATCAAGTAAATATCGAAGATGTTCAATAATTTTCGACTTTTCGTACCAAAAACAATCTTCACTCGAAAGATTTCGTTGAAGTCCCCTTGACGATGAGGGGGAGGGGTGGACTGCTGACATCCCATCCGTCACTTCGTTTTTATAACTATTGGTCGGTTACTGTGTTCTTCACACCAATCCTCCATTCCTGTATCTGAAATATGAAGCTGATTAGATCACTAATCATTCAATGCCTGCTGAAAACTAGCAATTGGATATGCAATCCAGCTGAATTGTGAGCAATAGCGAGTCATCTTCTGGCAACACAAATCGTGGCCTGGACGGATACGTCATGATTTTGTTTTTTATTCTTGCGTCTTTTTTTTTTTTACAGAATATTCAAAAAATTATCGTTTGCCTGACGTGGTTAGCGCAGCGCATACTGCAGAAATGCAACACCCTATCTCAGAAATATTCTTACGAACGTCTCAAACATCGGGAGATGCCCCAATAACCGCACGTGCACACACAAAGACATCTGTTGAAAATTTTACACCAGACACTTTCGTACATAAACACGAATTCACGGTTAGTGAAAAAATGAAATAATTGCTGATTTCACATATCTGAATAACAATTCTTGGTTACAAAATACCTTTAAATTCTGTAATTTTTTATATTTGTTTTTTAAGCCGATAAAAGAATACCCGGAAACAATCGAATCTTCTGGTCAATTTGCATACGCGGGGATACAAATACATCCAATTATACGTAAAGCAAGAAAAGTCTACGTTCCAGAGGAATGCAAGGTAAAAATTAAATGAAAGATCTAGACGAGAAGAAAACCTTGATCATCTCAATTTAATGTTTGTTACAATATTGAGTTATAGTCATTACCATCACATTCAGTATTCGAGACATTATCTAACCATTTTATCACATTTTTTCCACATCTGATAATTACTCATATACATTGCTGCTTATAGATATTTCTCTGCTATTCTCTGAGTACGGAAATCCCATATTTACTGTATGCACGCATTTAAAATAGAAGAGCGTGACCAAATTTATATTTCGAACAATATCACGGTACAGGATGGAAAATATTGGAAAAGGAGATTAAAAAATAACGTTGCAGCCAGAAGATCAAGAGAAGCTAAGCGAATGAAGGAAAATCAAATCGCCATGCGAGTGAGTTTTCTGCAATCTGAAAATGATAACTTGCGCGCACAGGTTGCACATTTAAGGTAAACTCATTTTATGGATACGTTTCTACAACTCACTCTCTTATTGAATTATGTTACAAATTTATACTTGATAACGTTCAAGACTTCATGTATATAAAGCAGTTCCGGTCTAAATCATTTTTAATATTTGCATCGTGTTTGAATATAGTTTAAGGCAGGGGTCGGCAAACTACGGCCCGCGGAACAATATAATCCGGCCCGCGACGCTTCACTGAATTATATTAACAAAACAACTGTATTGACGATTATATTCTTCACGTAACAATATTTGTTTGGAGACACTAAATTATATTATATCCTGACAAGTATGTAATTCAATCACTCGTTTAATGAGCTTATAAATTGATTATAATAAGACAAATGGCAACAGTACGTAAAAAAGTTGATGCTCAGTGCAAATGGTTTAATGGCGCAAAAAATATTCAAATAATCAGTCTTCGCGCGCTGCTTGAAATTTATCTGAAATCTGTGTGAAAACATCCAATTCATTGGCCATTCCTTCGGTTTTTAACTTGCTAAAAATATGTGCAGCCCGCTAATGACTTACAGCCTTTAGTTTTGGACCGCGAATGACAAAATTTTGCCGACACCTGGTTTAATGATATAAGTTTGACACCTTTTTTTGAAGATGTTATCTTTGCTCCATAAGCCTTCTGAGCTGTGAACGATGGAGTACCCAAACATCGGTATCACAGTGTCTTGGGCTATGAACTAGTACTACTAACTAGTACCCACTACAATTTGTATGACGAATATATATATAAATTCATTTTATGAAAATATGTTCACTGTCTTATTTCATCTTGCCTTATCAGAAAAAATGACACAACAGTATAATAAGTATAATAACAGTATATAAACAGCATAATAAGAAATATACATATATATATATTGTTTTTGTATAAATTCTAATAACAAATCGGTGAATTAAAAAAGTTTTATTTTTGTTTCACAGAAAAGAAATGAGAAGAATGGCTGGAACAATGGAACCAAAAAGGCAACTGATATAAAGGCTCACTTAGTGTAAACAACTAAATATCGTCTAATTAAATATTATTCAACATATTATTAGTTTGAGACTCAAAATCGTCTCTTTGTTTAGATATGAGAAATAAAAATACTTTTGTGTACTTTCCATTGCGTTGTCATTCGGAGTGTCATGTACATTGGAACTTTTTTGCTGTTAATTTGCTGGCAAAACATGTCTCCGGGTTACCTCACGCGGTTCATAAGGATAACCATATTTTTTCAGTATGCCATATAAAAGACAGGGTACAGTATCAAACGTGATTATAGTAGACTGAAACAGTCATAATTTTAGATAACTAAAACGGCTAAAATGTTACATTCAACAGACGGAGGCGGGTGACTGATGCTACGTTTACAACCGATGTTAGAGAATTCAAATAAGTGACAGCCAGCAGGCTGGGATTTCGTATCGAACAGTTATATATGAATAAGTTTTATTGTTTAACTCAAGCTGGTTTATATAGTGTCCATAAACATCTACATTCACTTAATGAATATTATGTAAATATTACGATATTATTTATAACTATACAAAACGACTTTCATTTCTTTAAAACGTTAGACATTGCATCACAAATTAAAACAAATTTGTCTTCCATGGAATCAAACTATTTCCTTAGAATTGTTTTTAACAATTCCCGCCTACGCGATATTTGAACAAAGAGTTTTCGTGACGTAGAGTCTCGCCGCAATCAAATCTTGCTTCTGCTTAAATTGTTTAATGTATCATTTGCGATAGTGAGATACCTCAAATGTTCATACAGCGGAGTTTTCTCGTTGTGATGTGGTCGGCGTTGGGTTTACGTAAAATTGTAAACGTGCCATTTACCCATGGTTGTTGAATGTATTCAACTTACTTATACCTGGTAAAGATTATAATACAGTTTAGTACAATTGAGTATTTTTATGCTATAAATGCATTCTTGCTGATAAGTGGGATATTTCATTTTTCATTTCAATTTTGAAATTTGGTTGCATTGCAGTCGAGCAATAATCACGGTTTGCGGTTGCGGTACAATAGCGTTTACATCGGGTATACAACCACAGTTTGATTAAGTGAAAAATTATTTACAGTTTATGAACTGTAACTTATTGGTAAAGGTATTTCTTTTATTTAAGACCTGTATTGTAATTTTATCAAACAAGAGTTCTCATCTTGGTTAAAATCGGTTAGGTACCTCAACCCCTTATACCTCAAAATGAAAAGATCACCTGTTTGGGGATTTTTATGCTAATTGATACTCGTAGGTATTGCTAGAACAACAAATTTTATTGTCAATAAAAATAATATTAAAGACAAACAGGCTTTCTTCCCCTAACTAAACCATTAGATTTAAATTCGAGTGATATTACGTGAATAAAAAAGACTATTTGTTAGAATCACACATATTCAAATTCAATTTGATAATGTTTAAATATTATTTGAATTGAGTTCTCTGAAAAAAGTATAAAATTACCCGAAAATTTTCCGAAGTTGGTATACCAAGAACTTCAGTACGATCCTATTTTCATTGCGGTTGAAATCAATATTTGATCAAGTCGACGAAACTCCATTTTGATTCTATTTCTTCGTATCTATTTACAATCACAGGTCTTCCATGATACTTTGGGACTTTTCCACAGAAGAGGGGTTAGTCCTAAAAATTTCATGGAACTCACGTTTGTCAACATTCCATACAAGGTGAGGAATATTTAACTGTATTTATTTAAATATCTCACAAATACTTTGTCAGCCATCTGTGCTTCCCCTCGGAGGGTCTTTGGGCAAACAGCTAGATTAGCGCAATAATGACGTTATCTTTAACCTTTTTTTCTTCATAAATAATACTGAAATTTGCGTATAAAAGTATGATCGTTTGCCCGAAAAGACATCGTTTTGAAGAGTCTGCAAGCCGAATAAAATGGAAAATCGAAAACTCGACTTTTTGAGAATATGTGGTCTAATTGTAGTATTTTTGACCTATACGAACTGTGACAAGTGCATTGAATGTCGTCCATTACAGGGTAAGCTATGATAAAATGGTGCATGAATGTTGACCTTCCTGTAGAAATTATGTGGGTATTATTTCGTATGTCAATCCGTTATGTATAGGTAAAATGTTTACCTTAATTAAGCGATTCTTGAAAGCCTACCAATATTCAATATTGTTGTTATGATTTTCATTATGTCTATAACTTGGCGCACTTTTATGAGTGGATTGATTACTTTTTTACTTACGCGAATAGAAATTTTGTAATTCTCCCGACCAGAGCAAAGACTTGGGAATGAGCTGATTACTAGACTGGCCAGGGCCCAAACCTGAGATCTAAAACCTACCGCCGAAATAGTAACATGAACGCATTATTTACAATGCTCGCGCTAAGCATATATATAATAACGATTTAAAAAACTTCGGCAATTCACTTTGGCCATTATATTCTTAGTATCTGATTTTCACAACGTTTCTAAGGCTAAGCCTTCACAACGAAGTGCTTTATATATATAAATGTTATTGTTTCAGGAGGAGAAAGTTTCAGAGATTGTAGATCGACTAATTCATCAGTTTATAGACGGGATGGTAACAACGTATACGTCAATTTGGTAGTTGATGTTGCCGATATCGAAATTGAATGGCTGACAATAAAACGCCGGGTTTATAATGGAGATCTTTGCGGACCAACAATACAAATGAAACCTGGAGATACTGTTTATGTTCATTTGGTAAAACAATGTTCTTATTATTCCCGGTTTATAAAATAGCTTAAAGTGAGTTTGTATTGTAATCAATCAATTTTTAACTTAACGTGTCGTTTAAAATGAATTTGAGATATTCAAAGTATTGACTGATATTTTATACAAATTAAATATGTCATTTTCAGGAAAACCGCCTTGGACCAGATCAACCTGAAAGAGAGCATAATGATCTAAGACATCCTAACACTACAAATATGCATACACATGGACTGCACATATCTTCTCTGGTAAAATGTTTGTACAATGCGTGAATGCTTCCATTCGAAATTATTGTTTTAATATGAAGAATAAAAATATTTTTCCAACATAGTTAAAAAATGTTTCTTTCCATTCTTATTTAGCCTCCAGGTGACGACGTCTTCACAAGAGTAGATCCTGGAAAATCTCACAATTATTCGTTTAATATAAACATAAACCAACCAGCTGGCACGTATTGGTATCATGCTCATTGGCACGGATCCACTTGGTTTCAGGTTTGTATTGACTTTCCTATGTGTAGTAAACAAATATTTCGCATGATATACTATGTTAAAAAATAACAATACAATGGGTTTGATAATACACTGCTTAAAAGTAGGCTATTTAGTATTTTTTGACCTCCTGAAGTATGCGCACCAAGATGGCGCACAACCTGAACTCAGGTCGTGTACCAGGTTAGGGTTCAGGTTGTGCATATTGGTGTGACATATTGGTGCGCATACTTCAGGAATACCGTATTTTTTCCCCAATTTGCTTCAAATTCCAAGTGTTTAATAAGGATAAGACAATAAAATTGAGTGTTAAGAAAATAGAATTTTTTTTTTGCGGTTGAATTCCATGAGTGCGACAGAGTAATGTAGAAAGGCACGTTTTCAACCGGAAGGAATTGAACAATTTTGTCCTTCGTGGGAAGGATTTGTATTTTGGTTATATTGCTAATATTTTTTGGTTCTTTATTTTAACCATAAAATTTATTTATGTACACACTATAAACTACTAAAACAGCTAAGCTAGTGCAAAAGCTAGAGTAGAAATTCTGCATAATTCTGCAATCACTAGGTAATTTTCTTTAAAAAGTGAATAATCAACGGAGCAGAGTTTTAACGTTAACTATTGGAAGGATAATGGTTCGAAACAGCCAAAGGGAGAAATATATCGAAAAAGGTTATACAGTATAATATATATATACTAGCCCGTTAGCAGTGGCTGCTTTTTCTGAGCCTTTTGCGGGGTGCAAGGCGTATAAAAAGAATGATATATATAAAACTTTTCAAAAGTATTTCTTGGAAAAAAATAATAGGTACATAAAAAGGTTTCACTTTACCTGGACATATATAAACATATGTACATATCATTGCAGGTTATGAGTGGTCTATCTGGATTGTTGATTGTTGATGATGAATCGACCGATATGGATGTGAAACTAGATGCCGTTTCATGCCCAAATCATTGTGAGCATGACGTCGATATACTGCTTCAATCAACGTTGCAATACACCAACGATTCTGTGGACTTTATACATGAAGCTCAGGAACAGATGGGGGATCCTTTCAGGTAACATACATACTCTAAACTAATTTCTCCCCTAATCTAGTCTTTTCATTATATTTTATCTTTTTCAGTAACTTTTCTTGCGGTGTTCTGTGTCATTTATGTATCTTGCTACATTTTTTTCTTTTATCATGTCTATTTCATCTCTCTTTTTTTAATAAATTGCTAGGTTGAACAAATCCACGGAAGATTGGCTTATGAACGTTGAAAATGGATTTAATTATTTTACAACAAATGGTCTATATAATCCTACATTAACAATTCAGAAAAATCAGATGAAAAGATTTCGGTAAATACTCTATTATATATATATATATAGTTTGAACCTCCGCTCAAAGAGATCTTTGTTCTTAGTCTTTATGTCTGTCTGTGTAACTATGTGTCTGTTTGTCCGTGTGTGTAGCTGTAACGTATAGAAAACTGTACCAATCTAGATAAAATTGCTCACGTGGGTTACCTGTCATCCTAGTAATATGCATTTCATCTAAAGTGATGTTTCGTTTCTATGACAGCAGCGAAAAAAGGTCCGATCGTTGGAAAATGTCTAATTTTCTCACAATTCGTCGCCATTTTATTGTAAACTAAATCGAAATTCCAAGATTGACCCCTGCTACTCTTCCTTGCGAAAGAAAATGATTTTCGTTAGCAAGCCGTCCCTATCTTCTCTAAATTGGGGAGCCTTGTAAAGTGTTAGTGAACATTATTTAAATATTAGCAGTACAACACTCACGTAAGGATACCGACGCGATCCGCGCGATTGGGGTTCCATACCAGGCGTTCCCAAACTAGATAACATGTACCCCCAGAGGTAGGCTATATTACGACTTTTCAAGAGGTGCATAAGAATATTATTTCCGTAACCCTTTAATTACCATCAAATATATCTTTTATTTCCTGATGTTAGTATTTGAAGATCTGAATATTTCTCCTCATATTAATGAGCTATTCGCTCGAAAGCGGTTCATTTGTCACAATAGCTAGGCCGCTGGGTCGGCGTATTCAGTCGATATATTGTTAGTTTGATTGTAGTGTTAGTCTGGCTTGGAGTACATTAGTATGATGTTTTCAGCGGAAATTCCAGGCGTCTATACTAGCTTGTTCAAATGTTGATATGAGTTATATTATACAAAATTTATTGAATATTCAGAATTGCTAATGCGGGAGGTTATGTTGGACTCGAGGTCGAAATAGCAAATATTGGAGGTACTGGACAATGTGTAATCAGAGAAATTGCATTTGATGGTGTTTATCTCGATGCTCCTAGGAATCAGATATATCAACAAACTTATCTTGCAGTTGGTGCGCGAGTTGACTGGATGATTTATTGCGATGAGCCTGGAATATATCAAGTAATTCCATTTTTATAAATCAGATAAAATATTATCAATAAAGTGATTATATATCTGTTCAATACTTAGATAAGTAGCCTAAATAATACAAGTACTTGGTTGTTATGTACTATCGCGTGTATCTAATTTATTAAAATATATTCTAAAAAGTTACCAACGGCTGTTGGATAATTTTTTGGTATTGAAAATTACGGTATATATATAAATTATTTACAATCATTAAAATGTGGAAAGTTGTTTTTATTTGAAGGTTTGAGAAATATATGGCAGCGTTAAAGTGTAGTATAGCAGAAACACCATGTGTTGTATATATCGAAACATCAAATCAAAGTGTGTTAATTTTTACAAGAGGAATTGGTAATAAATCTATGATAATATATTCTATATTCAGAATTTTGTAGTATATATATTGCTATCGTATTTCACCCAACCTTTCCATTTATTAACCTTTTAGCTCCGTTCAATGTCGTTGCCCGATAGTGAATGGTCAATTGGAACATTTCGTAGATACAATGGTACATTCATGACCATCAATGTTACTGAAAGCAACTTGGCAGTTCCCAGTTTTTCAACCTCTTTACCCACCAGACCAGATTTCATCAAAGACCTACGCAATATCAATAACGTGCCAGAAGAAAACAAATTCACTGTTGAACTCTCAGACAACTTTTTCATGAATCGTCAAAAATATGTCAAAAAAGAAGATTATGGGTAAGTTACATAAACCTGTACGCTGACTAAAAAGTGGCAAATTTAAACTACAGTTTGTTTGTATTTTACAATCCAGAATCTTTGTTTTGCATAATTTTCTTTTTTGTATTTTGACCAGACACCGAATGGAGGTAGGAAGCGTGCAAGAATGGACTTTTGTTAACTCTGTTCAAAGATCGCCACACCCATTGCACATCCATGTTAATCACTTCCAGGTAAGATACTATATGAAACATCAATTTTAATGGGAAACTTTAAAATTTGACTGAGGCTACAACAATATTAAATGGAAAATGAACGAGTCATATTACTATTATTTAAATATATAGTAAAAAAGTACGTGCGGTATGAAAGTGGTTTTCCGCGTGAAAGAAAATTCTCACAGCAGAAGAAAAAATGTTTAAAATTAAGCGGATAAAAAGGAGAACGTATTTCTAATTTCAAATGTTTTTACCTTAATAGTTTATTTTAAATATAAATTGTGTGGGAGCGAAGATAATGAGCTTGGCTATATAACGAGCTTTGATAAACACTGAATAACAATGATTTTTATATAATTCATATTAAATATGTGACTTCACCAATGAACCCAATTTATTTCAGGTTATTAGTTACAACGATTATATAGGTCCTCTGAGCGGTAGATCACAGCATTATTTTGCGGAATATCCAACGTTCGTACTACGATCTCAAAATGGTGACCTTTGCAACGATACGTATGGTATCCCTTCACTTCAATACGAAGGTGAGTTCCATAAATTATCTTTTTTTTATCTTACAGTCCATACGCTTGATCGAATAATGACAGACACATATTACTACAAGCTCGATAGGTGGCTTAAACTAAGCGATTTGAGTTATTCAATGATGTTTGGATACGACTTATTGAACTCTTTGAGAACGCTCTCCACATCTGGAACAATAGTAGAACATTTATAAGATTCCAGGCAAGACAAACTAGACAACACTGTGTTGTTTGAAATTGGCCTGTTATAAATTTTAGGCAGTCCTAATACAATCTTATATTTTCTTAACATAAGATCCAAACCTTATTTGGCCTGATCATCCGGACAAAAAGTTCGTGGATCACAGGAAACGCTGGGAGGCGCTAGAACAAGGAGTAGAAAACGGAAAATCAGTGGGCTACGTAAAAAGCGGAGATTGGAGGGATGTGATCAATGTACCACCTTATTCCAACATAACGGTAATTATATTGTATAGTTCTATGATTCGACAATTAGGTATAGGTGTATCCTAATGGAGAAAAACTTTTCTTTCATAGGTTCGTTTCAATGTACATGAGTATGATGGCCCAGTAGTGATCCATTGTCATGTATTGAAGCACGAAGATTTGGGAATGATGCTAACAGTTGATTCTGTCAAAGGTAATAGAATTCGGCACTTACTTTTATTTTTTGTTGCTTTGTATGTTGGTAAAGAAATTAATAATGACCCAGAGGCTTTTTTTGTTCGATTTGTTTAGAAAATTTAAAATTCGGAAATGAAATGAAAGCAAATCGACCCACACAAAATGTGGTAAATTTCTGTAACGGGTGACCATAAATTTTCTGCCAATATACAAGCGTATGAAACTTTCAAATACGACTGTAATGGGCTGCTTTTCTTGGGCTTGTAATAGGAAAAATGATATGAAATATCACATGAAAAAATATTTCTAGCATCGTTTATATAGTATACTTATTTTTTTCGCCTAGCACTAACTTTCTTATGTAAACTAAAATGACAACATCCAGTTCTTATTTTCATAGATATAAAGACATCGAACTACATTCCTAAAAAAGATTTAAGTTGCAAGGAAGTTGAAAAGTAAGCACTTGTGTTCATATTCATTCTACGCATTTATATAATCTTGTTGTTAAATGTTACCTGCTTAGTCCAAAGTTATTGTAAGTAGTTGCAATTTCCTATTTCACGATTAAAGAAAAGCTGCTTTGAATCTATTCTGTGATTTCAAATTCGCATGTATGCTAAATAATTATTATTTTTTTTCAGAAAACCAGAACCACAAGCATTAGATGGGCAAGAAATCACGATTATTGTTTTATCCGTTGTCTGTTTTGTATCAATTGTAACTGGATTAATTTTTATTTTTCTATATTGTAAGGAAAAAAAATAATTTTTGAAAAGGTTCTGAATGAAATAAAAGTAGTACTTTCTACTTTTACTTGCCAATGGCGCTTATTTTTAATAAATATATAAAAATTCATTACGTTTTATGCGATTAAACTGAAACTTAGAGTAATTCTTTTGTAGCATATTACGTTATGATAAAAAATTGAATAAGATTATATTTTTATTTATGCAAGTCTTATACGTAATAAAACAAAACAGGTCAATGCTCAGATTCATGGCTCCAAGGTCAGTTTATCACATGGAGGAACACTCTTTCAAAATAAACAAAATTTGAATTCTATGGTCAGCTTATCCATTAATATGTACCTATTTCTATTTGGATATGATTCTCACGTAGGCAAACAAATCAGTAGATTGGCAAATGGCAAAAACCCATCCGTGTATGATTTTCATTGAATAGGCAGACGGTCGGGAGGAGGCAGAGTTTACTTTTCATATCGAAGCATCGGGATCCGGATCAGTCTTCACATGCTCGACGCTAATCAGTTTCATTTTGTTTATTTCGATTTGAAATCAGGATATAATACTTATTTACTGACAATTTCCAATAACATCTTGAAGAACAAAAGTGTTGCCGATCTTTAGACGCAGACATTTGAGTATGCGCACCCGCATAAGCCAGATTCGTTTAGCTATCGTGGTGCACTTTCACTAAGAAAATAACAGTGTCATAAACAGCCCATATTTTATATTAGGTGCAGTAATATGAGGAATGCGATCACCAGATCATAAATTAGTATTATGTTTTGTTTGGTTTCAGAAGGCGTAATGCTTTTGGGCAGAATGGTAAAGTTCAGTTTGTTCAGGTATTTCTATTCATTTAATATATAATATGAATAAGAGTTAACTTATATAAATTTTAACTGAAGGCTGTCTATTTTTGCTTGGGAATGAATTAGATTTCCTAATAAATGTCAAAACTGCTATTGAATTGGTGTATTTATACATAGCTATCTGAATTAATTAAATATGGTGTATGAGTTGGCAGGTGCTTATTTTAAAATATCTGCAGTCGAAAATATCGAAATGATGCCTACCATCAACCAGCACTTTCACTGGTACTCACTGGTCAGGTCACGATTTTAGGTATAAATACTACGGGTTTCACTTTGCTAGTCCCGAACTAAAATAAGAAAAATTGGAATACAATTATGACCTAACCCTAACCTGGTACACATACTACGTTCCGGTGTCCGCTATCTTGATACGCATCAGGAGTACCCTTTCACTTGTAGTGACGTCCCACGCGTCGTCATACCTACAATGGCTGCTTCTGGGTGGGTTAGGATTGTGATGACAGAATGAGGGAAATAAACAATATATGTCCAATTACTTGTTTTATTCCTTATTCTGCATGCACACAGAGACGAAATACATCTTAGTTACTTAGTTATTACTTCAATAATTTGTTAACGTTGCTTGCGTTGACTTGAAAAAAATATTTAAAAAAAATGGGAATTTTCAAGTTTCTACCAGCATCCATCTTCCTTGGTGAAATGCATGTATTTTTTTTTCGTCCTTTCTTGGATGAAAGTCAAAGCAAGATACCTCGGCGAAGTATTTCAAAGCAACCATGATATTCGTGTCGTAACCGAAAGCTACAAAATTATCAGTGCTATCATATTAGAGTATATACAGATGAAATTGCCTAACTTGTGATGAAAATTCCCGAGTTCCTCAAACTAATCATGTATAAAATCCTCGGCCCAATTGAAAAAGTGCAAGACAAATTTATACCCTTCTCTAAAGTATTTCAAGTTTACTGCATGCTGTACTTTAGCCGAGTGCAGAGGTGTGCAAGAAGTTACCCGCCAAGCCATTTAGTATGACATATGTCAACACTCCTTATCAAGCATTAAATCCTAAACCGGTAGTGTATGTTTAAAAAGGCGCTCAAGTGGGTATAATAGAATAATATTTTTTGCTCTTGTCGTTGCAACAAATCTTTTGCGGTTCGCCGATGTCTTTAGTACTGTAAGTCTAAGGCTAAGCGATTGTCTTTTTATTGTTAGAATTTATCAATTCGTTATGTAGATGAAAAATTAATATATTATGTTGGCCCAGCTGGATGTCTGGAGTTGGTTATATGAGCCACCAAAAAATGTTGCACACCGCTTCTTTATCGGATTCACTCCGAGGCAGGTATGGGAGTTCACAAAGGTGTTTCGATTTTCAAAATACAATGACGCCACTCCATAAATGGAAAAATGAAAAACTTTTATTAGGTTGAAAAATAACTACCGAAAATGACGTATATTTTCTTAACAAAATCATTTCCACATGGTTAACCTTTACACACTTTACTTACTTTATTTTAAAGGCAAAACTACCACAAATATCTGCCGCCAAAATGAAACAACGTCGAGCAAAAGTTTGTACATGAAGATGTACATAGCCACAAGTTATACGTAAAATAAAGGTTAGTCGCACAACCCTCAAAATATCTCCTATGATGAATAATGCTTTCACTTTTTTGCAAAACATCTAAAAACACTCACGCAATTTGGAGTCAATCAAAAATGGAATTTTGAACCTCGCCCCGACCTCATTTGTGTTTCACAACTTACCAGTCCAATGTCGACGACGAAAATAGCACAAAAACTTCCTCATCCTCAAAAGTTCTGATTGAAATGGCAAGCACATCACTAAAGAACACCATAAGCGGAAGATTTGATTTCTGTGAACCTCTGAGTCCCAATTATGAGAAGTCACAATCGGCAGTTTGTGGCTAAATATAGACTTTTGGTATGCTATCCTAGATCTAAGTATACCCAAGCAAAGATAGAGCACATTGCTTCACTCACATATAGATTACGTCAATGCCTAGTGATTCTTTTTCTAAGGTGCAAATAACAAAATCAATGTATTATCTCAACATCTTATAACAATTCAGCATTTTACACCTTCGGGAATAGTAATCATTCTTGTTATGGGTGCCATCTCCAGCTTAGAATACTCAACGGAATTTATTCAACTTGTGTGTGAGATATATATAATTTGTTAAAAATATGCATAAATACAAGAACACAATAGTAGTAGTTTTTCCTCTGTTACTAATTGCATTTTGGCTGTCTTCAAGGTTCCAAGCAAGAGTAGATAATTGAAATGTTGCTGCACAGCTATTAGTTTAGTATTTCCTAGATATTTTACTGGATTGGTTACGGTTCTCTCATTTTTAACGTTTGTAAGAGCTTGTTTGACATCACAAACTCCTTGCTCAAACAATTCCAGTAGAAACACGGCAGGTAAATGCTAGTCCAGTCTGTAATTGTGAACTTGGCATACCATACAGTAATCTGATTAAACCCCTGTCGTGTCCCTTATTATATTGGAGGCAAATAGACACGTTGTTCGTATGAATGGAATAGTCTTTAATCTTAGCAGCAAAACAGTACCATCACATGAACAACAGCCTACTCGAATCCCATTATTACGCGTCTGCGTCGAATAGACCCAGACGCTATTATTACGTCACAATACTAACATACACAACACCCCCCCTTACTGGAAAGATATGTCTCTAAACATTATCAAAAAGTGAACATAAAACAATTTAAAGAAATTTGCACAATAACGATGTTCTCACAATATGACCGCCTTCATAATTATTTACAAATTTAGTTTTTCTGGCGGTCTGGAAATTCGTCCAGATCTTGAAATGTTCACTTTCTCCGTATTATCTTGAACAGGCTCGTTCGGTTCAACCTGTACATCCGTTTTGATGGGAGTGTTTCTTCGTCCGAAGTTGGTCTTTCTGGAACTTTCTTGAGATGTCGACGATTACGTCTCAACGTACCACTCGGTGTTAGGATCATATATGAACGTGGTGTATCAGCATACCCAGTTATAACACCTTGCTCTTTTTAAAGACCATCTTTGATCCATGCATGATCACCAATCTGCAATTTTTCCATATTTTGAGCTCTGTGCCTTTTATCAAAATGCATCTTTTGTTTCATTTTATCGCCCAACTCTTTATTTTGCAATTCATCCATGTTAGGCCATTTTGGAATCAATTCACTTGAATAAACTGGTAACTTCGTTCTCAACTTTCTTCCCATGAGAAGTTCACTTGGAGAATAACCATTTTTTAAAGCTGTACTTCTATAATTCAGCAATGCCATGTATAGATCTTTTGTTCTTTTAAGCAGATTTTTAACAGTTTGGACTGCACGCTCCGCCTCTCCGTTACATTGAGCATAGCGAGGACTTGACGTTATATGACAAAATCCATATTCTTCTGCAAATTTGGAAAATTCTCCCGAAGAGTAGTGTGGTCCATTGTCAGAAATTATCACTTTAGGTATTCCGTACTTTGCGAAAATTGACTTTAGATGATTGATTACTGTAAGCGACGTCGTATCCTGTAATAATGCAATCTCGATCCATCTGGAGAAATAATCAACAGCTAACAAATATTTTGAACCTTCAACTCAAATGAATCCGTTGCAATCTTTTTCCATGGTCTATCAGGATATTCCCTCGGACTATTGGTTGAGTGTTGGTTTGTGAAAATTCACAACAAGAAGGACAGCTCTTACAAACTTCTTCCACTTGCTTGTTCATGTAAGGCCACCACACTGAAGATCTTGCTCGACGTCGGCATTTTACGATCCCCATATGTCCTTCATGTATTTTCTCCAAAATATCAAGTCGCAACGATGCTGGAATCACTCATAAGGTTCCGCGTAGCAACAATCCGTCAATTACAGTAAGATCACCGCGTACTTGGTAGTACGGCAACAATACATCATTAAGCCTGGATTCATCCGGCCATCCGTGCATACGAAAATTCATAACTTCTTTACAGACAATGTCCTCATTTAAATGTACACGAATTTGCTGCAAGCGCTTTTCTGATGCTGGGAACCCATCAATAACAGAACGAACATAAATATCGCTGTCTTCATTCAGCTGGATATCTTCTTCTCGCATGTCGTCCAGTGGTGCACGAGACAAAGTGTCTGCTATTATCAAGTGCTTTCCTGGGATGTGAGAAATATCGAAGAAAAACCGCATCAATCTCATCCTAAATCTTTGGATTCGCGGAGGCAACTCATCTAGGCTTTTCGTGCCGAATAAAGCAACTAGTGGTTTGTGGTCTGTGTTTATCATGAAATGCATTCCTACGAGAAAATCTTGAAAACGCTCACACGCCCACGTAACTGCTAATGCCTCTTTTTCTACTTGCGCATATTTCTGCTCTGTGGTGTTCATAGCGCGCGAAGCAAACGCCACAGGTTTCCATTGTCCTTTAGAATTTTTCTGTTTCAGGGTGGCTCCTAAGCCGTAAGAACTTGCGTCTGCTGATACAATAGTTGCACTATTCGGGTTGTATAGCGACAAAACTTTCTTAGACAAGCATTCTTGCTTCACCCTCTGAAACGAATCAATTTAAGGTTGTTCCCATATCCATGAATACTTTTTACTTAATAGGTCACACAATGGTTTCGATATGTCAGCGAGGTTTCTAGAGAATCTTCCCAATTGATTAAACATTCCCAGAAAAGATCTCAGTTCGGAAACATTTGTGGGAGCTGGCATTTTGGAAATAGCCATGACCTTTTGAGGGTCAGGGTGAACACCTTCTGAATCTATCATAAAACCAAGAAACTTTAATTTTCGGCGGGAAAACTGACATTTGTCGTTTAACGTAAGACCTGCTTTTGCTATCTTTTTCAAAACAGCGTCAAGTCTTTTGTCATGTTTCTCTTGGTTTCGTCCGTGAACCAAGACATCGTCCATTGAACATACTACGCCGTCAAGACCTATTAAAATATCGCACATCCTTCGCTGGAAGTGTTCAGGGGCACTTTCATACCAAAAACGTCCAATAGGAGTCATAAATGTGATCAATAAACGTGACTCTTTTGCAAGCTTGACTTGCCAAAATCCCGATTTTGCATCGAGTTTACTGAACACTTTCGAACCACTTAATTGTCCCAAAATTTGTTCGGATGCTGGTAACGAATGTTTTTCACGCTTGACTGCTTTATTTAGATGCGTCAAATCTGTACAAATGCGAACGCTACCATCCGGTTTTGGTACAACCACCATCCCTGCACACCAATCTGTAGGCTCGTTTACGCGGGAAATCACTCCGTCTTGTATCATTTTCAACAGTAACTTTTGACAAAAGGGGTAACTGTACACGTCTTGGTACGTTTATTGCGAATGGAACAGCATTTTCGTGCAATTCAATTTTATATTCGCCCTCAAGTTGTCCTAATCTGAAGAATAGCTTTGGATATTTCTTTTTGTATTTTTGATCCTCAGACGGGACGTCACCAACAAAATTAACAATGGCGAGAGATTCGATCGCAGGTCGACCTAATAACGGATATTTCAAATGCTTGCTAACATATATATATATCTGTTCATCGCATGAACGATTTTTGTGTTGCAGCGTTACCTTGAACTTGCCAATTACATCCAGGCATTTACCATTAGCCCCGAATAATTTTCTGTGACTTGGGGTCAATTTCACGTTTTTCATCTTTTTGAAATCATTTTCGGATATAACCGTAACATCGGCGCCAGTATCAACTTTAAAATTTATTTTGACATTCTTTACAAACAAATCTACCATCCACTTGTGTGATGATGATTCACCGACATTCCCAAGAATCCTTTATTTTTGTGCTTTTCGACATCTGAATCTGGAGAATCGACATCCCTATCGACGTGATCAACATTTGTGGCTCCATGGCATCATCTAGCGTAATGTCCAATTTTAGAACATTTGAAACATTTCACATTTTTCGCCGGACATTTTTCTCGACTGTGTTTGTCTGATTTACCACACCTGCCGCCTCGATAATTATTGCTTTGCGACTTTTGCAAGCCATGTTTGTGCTTACCAAATTTCCTGTGAGATTTCACGAAATCAACAAAATCAGAACTTTTGGGAAGAATATCACCTTGTCGCAACATTGATTGCTGACCTTTTACCTGTTCGCTTTGCCGAACTTGTTTAATCGCCTTTTCTAGTGTCAAATCAGGGTCTAACTGTAGCCTTTCCGACAATTTTGCGTCTCGAATTCCTACTACGATTCGGTCACGGATTAAATCATCGTGCAAATCCCCAAACTGCAAATATTTCGCCATACTGTGGACTGCGGTAATAAATGAATCGACCGACTCATTTTCTCCCTGACAACGAAGGTTGAACTGCGCACGCTCGAAAATTATGTTTCGGCGGATTACAAAATGATTTTGAAACTTGTTTTTAACAGTCTCATAACTTTTCAGCTCATCGTCGCTCAGTTTACAAGAAGATAATATATCCTCGGCTTTCGCGCCCATCGAATAAATAAGCAGGTTCACCTGGGATTCACCGTCTTTTTTGGACACGTAGTGGACATAACGATCGTTTCAATATTATGTTGTTGTTGTTCTTGTTCTTTGACACGTTTTTAAAAAGTCGCTTTTCTCTTCGAATACTGGACCAATTGCTTTGAAATTTTCAGTGGTTAAAGATAAAAATTTTCTCCAGAAGGCTATTACTTTTTTTTCGCTATGACGTCATCAAAATTATGTGACTCTACGTGTCCATATATTTGAGCATAGCTCTCTTGTTATTCAACTCGGAAGCAATTCTGTACCGGTCGAAACGTTTAATCCATTGCTGCCATCCTTCCGCAACTTGAATCGACGCCATGACACTTTTCCGCAAATGCTTTGAAGCTTCATTTGACTGGTAGTTTTTGCAGCGTTGACACCGTTTTCAATTTGACTTATTCACAATCCAGATCCCATTTCTGACACCATGTCGTGTCCCTTATTATATTGGAGGCAAATAAACACGTTGTTCGTATGAATGGAATAGTCTTTAATCTTAGCAGCAAAACAGTACCATCACATAAACAACAGCCTACTCGAATCCCATTATTACGCGTCTGCGTCGAGTAGACCCAGACGCTATTATTACGTCACAATACTAACATACACAACACCCCTTACTGTCCCAGTATGTACCTCGCAGAAGCAAGTTTTTTAAGATATTCTTCAGTAGTTGGCTTGGTATTTCAATCAATGTACAGCAACTATGGTGATCAGGGGGAAGAGCTCAAGCATGAAGGTTTTCTCCAGCTGTAAGTGTTCAAATTGTGAACATCTGAAACAGAAAGTGATATACTTACATACTTACTCTGTGTAATTGTTTGTGGGCACAGTTTTTATCTATCATACCGGTAGTGTTATTACTTGTAAACAATAATGACATATCATGGAATCTTACCTTATAACTTAAAAAAAAAGTAAACTCTTCGTGTAGCATACTTTTTATGAGCTATGGGTAACTGTATCAATATTATCCAAGATTGCATCCCGTTCAGGCATTCACATATGGAAGCCTACGGTAGGCTCAATGAGCATATATACAATGAGTGGAAACTTGCAAAGATTTGCTCATTTTGGTATTGTTCCCTGCATTTTTACCTCGTCCAGCTAAATGGTTCGTTGCATATTAAGAAAACGCATTGCTCGCTGCCAAAATCCCTTGCTTCAGCCGAGTCGGGTGCGAAATTGGCCGTATTGAGGTCTGTAATTCTTCAATACATATTTGGTTTTGGGTTTCAAAGTATGGTACGCTGAAAGCATACAACTATGAGCATATGCTTATTGGGAATGCATATCTATTAGGCAGAAAACGTATCTACAGAACAGAATATGAACCAGTCGCCGAGAGGGGTGCGGTTATTTATGTATTTATTCATTGATATAACATGGGATTTACATATTTATCCATGGGAGAGGAAAGCCGAGAAGAATGCCTAAATATATGGCGAACCACGGCCTCTCACAATCATAGCTCTGTCCTCCATATGAATCACATGGCTCTGCGAGCTATTCGTTTACCTATTAAAAATACTGATTTTAACTATAAATTACTCTGGGATATCTTGCCTTTGAAAACAAAAGCCAGAAATTGGAAGAAAATCAGGGAATGAAACGTGTGTATTATGTAATGGAGAACCTGAGTTTGTTTCATATATTTTCATGTATTGTAAATTACAAAAAATATTTATGAAGAATTTGTTTTAGATATATTAAAATTGATTAGAATACATTTTGTTATCAATATGATTCTTGCATATCATTTAATTTTAACGATCCTTTATATAGTCATATAGATACTGTTGATTTGGATGCAATTATACTTTTGTTATCAATAGTGAGAAATATTTCAGGACTGCTATTAACTATGTGAGCTATTTTTTCTGCAATGCAAAATACATCTTGCGTCTGCTATTTACTATGTGAATTAATTTTTCTGCAATGTAAAGTATTTCCATAACTGCTTTTACTATGTGGGCTGTTTTTTCGGTACTCTTGTAGTATGTGTACCAGGTTAGGTTACGATTCTCCTTATTTTTGTTCTATTAAAAGTTCGGGAATTGTCTGTGTTACACAAGTGAATATCCCCTACCGATAGAATTTAGTCCATTTACACAACTTGATATAAAATAGGCGAACAAAATTAGTTACCTTCATATTGGTACACATACTTCTGGAGCACCATTTTCACCTCAAAATAGTTAGCTAACAATAATAAGCTACAAATAACAGTAGTAACAGTAAGGCATAAGTACGTTTTATTGGAAA